ATATCTTTTGTTTTAATATGAAATACATGTAGTACATGTATTTCATATTAAAACAAAAGATATGTAGCACCAAAAATACTTCTGACTGGTAAGACAAATTAAGTATTTAGGCCTAGATGCTTCATCCATCCGTTCACGTTGTATGATCGCCATTAGGTAAACGAAATGACCCTAAAATCTGTATCGTCCAAAAATGCGATTTCAGGAATTGTCGTTATAATTGTCTTGAAACATCACCAGCGATAAAACCTTTTTAAAAGTTAAAAATATTCAACAATGTTCTTTTGAAGACCCATTCTTAAAAAAAAACCCTGTGCATTTTATAAATCTTATTGTTTAATAGCCGAAGCAGGGTTGTTAATAAAGACATTGTGTACTACATGCAGTTGGTTGAAACAAGTATTCCGTGTCATTTTCTTAGTTTGTTGTTCCAAACAGTCAGAACACACAACAAATTGCTTTTGTGGACTAAACTGATTTTAGGGTTACTTCGATTACACAGTGATAACATTTTCACTTGTAGAGCAATTGAAACAATTTTCTCACTTAAAAGTAGTTTAATAAATGGGCTTCCAAGTCATGATTGATTTAGATGCTACTTATTTTTTTATGAAATAAATGTCTTCGTTTTTGGGTTCCACTTTTTTTTTTTACTCGCCTTGTACTTCCCTTGCCCACTCCACACCACATTCTACACCCCGTGCACTCTAGTCAGTATAGATCATGGAGCTATCTTAGTCAGTATAGTCAGTTGGTTAACGCAGTAAACCAACTCCGAATATGACAACATCCTGTCCTTGCCCTTGCCCTTGGCGTAATTGGTAATTGGCCAGACTAATTAACTTAATTTATTGCCAATTTGAAGTGTAAATTACATTTGTAATGGTATTTGGCATTGTCAACACGGCAGCGGTTGGTCGTTGCGTGCGCTAACCACCAACGCCCCCGGGGCTTTCGAGTTTCGCACCCCCGTATTTTTGTCCATTTTTCTGGTTTTCAGATTAAAGAATCACCTTTTTTGAATTTGCCGCTTTGAAGTGTTACCATTCAATTGCTGATTTGTGGTCTAAAGTATATTTGTTCAACCGGAGGCCCTCGACTTGACAAATTTATGTTTTCCCCTGAAGTGTGTTAATTCTATGTGTGTGGTAAATTTCCCCTGGTACAATTTGAAAAAAGTCCCAATTTACATCTCGAGTTAAACAAGTGTAAAAATTAAACAGGTGTTATAAATCGTGCTATAATACCAAAAAACTAAAAAATGTCTTTGAAAAACGGACAGCTAGAACATTTTGCGCATTGAGGTGGTGGGCCTTGGCCCTATTTTTTTTCTGCAAACTGTTAAAGATTCGAATTCCATTTTATGTTTGCAGAAATTCATTCCTGTTCATTTCAAATCATGAGCGAGTCTCCGATTGCGTGCCTGATCACAGCTCCGCTGACAGAGATTGATTTTTGCGGTTGATTTGTTGTCCATTTTTATCCAAACAGAACGATGTTCCTTCATTCACCCGTTTCACTTTTGACCTTCATGGAGTGACGTCATAACCTTGAGGTCATACGTCACATCTCGGACTGTTAATGTTTAGGACTATATTATGCACCGCAGGGTGGCATGCATCAGTCAAAATAGAAAACACCTGGTCTGAACGTTTTGATTTTTTTAAAACTCCGCTGCTCCTTCATAGCAAACCGTGGTTAAATAAAACGAGCAAACGCTAAGGTGGTAGAAATGTTTAATTTAGGTATTATGGAAAATTCGCTTGATATTAGACTGGTTCCCGCTTTCCATACACATACGTGCGGAACGAGAGCGACCGTGGAGGGCCGCGATATTTCTTTTTTTTCATACCGCACATTCGCTATGGGCGTAGGCCTATATCGAAGCAAGTAGAGTTGCAAGTAAGGTTCTCGGACTTTCCCTTGAAAAAACAACAAACATCTAAACAACAATTTAGAAAAAAAACCTAAGTTCTTATAAGATAGAAAGAGAAAGACAAAGCTCACAACGCATTCAGGGAACTCGATCTAAAATGGCATTTCTCGTCAATAACGGTCATATACCGACTAGCCACTGCCACTTTCCCATTTGTTTGAGCGTTTTTTTGGTTGTTTATAGTATCTGACAGCCAGCTAATTTGGTAGTAAATGTATTACGACTGATATCTAGAAACGACCAAACAAAAACTGTAAAAGATGAGTATTTTCTGAAACTGAAATATGAAATGAAAAAAAATATGATGGGCCCTAAAGTACGCCCAAAGATAGTTTTAAAGAGCTTGGTTTTCTTAATTCTTAAAGGTTGTAATCACAACAGGGCCAGCTGGTGCGATTTCTGCATGCCGTTGATTTCTGCATGCTGTTGATTTCTGCATACCGTTGCAGAAATAGCAATATCAGGCTGCTGTGATTATTCTTGTGCAGAATGTTCTTGAAAATTCCGATTATTTAACGTCATACCAAATGAAACCATTGTGGGGTTTGATGACCAAAAAATTGGTACACATTTTCAATAACACCAACGTCAGTTTCCAATAAAAAAATTCAAGAACGCTGTTGAAATTTAAACATCAACTACACGTTCTAAATAAAAACATCAACTACACGTTCGAAAATAAAAGCATGAACTACACGTTCAAAAATAAAAACATCAACTACACGTTATAAATAAAAACATCAACTACACGTTCAAAATAAAACATCAACTACACGTTCAACAATAAAACCTTTTAAATTTCGAACGTGTAGTTGATGTTTTATATATAACGTGTAGTTAATGTTTTAATTTTTGAACGTGTAGTTGATGTTTTTATTTATAACGTGTATTTGATGTTTTTATTTAAAACGTGTAGTTGATGTTTTTATTTATAACGTGTAGTTGATGTTTTTATTTTCGAACGTGTAGTTGATGTTTTTATTTTTGAACGTGTAGTTCAGGTTTTTATTTTCGAACGTGTAGTTGATGCTTTTATTTTGTATCTATGGAGAATTACGTGGAGGGCGCTATACATGCACTAATATAATGTTCAAAACAACTCGGTATATGCCGTACAATGTGGTAGATGACTACTTAAAGCTATAGTCCATCATTTGTAATTTGTGCATTTTGTTCGGTTGAAGCAACGAAAGAGTTCAAAATCTAATGAAGGATACTGAGCAACTAACCTGATGAAGTTTCAGCTAAGCTTCAGCTGTATATTCCGAGAAAAACAGCATTCTAAGATCTCAATTTCAAATCAAAAGTTACTGAATCATGTTTTGAATTGTTTTGAATTGCAGCTATACGCGACGTAGCGCACTGATCCGACGAATTATAACAACCGCGCGCGCGTGTGCGTCGTTCCAAACCTTGTGCGCGCTGCGCTGAATAACAAAACGAACTACTAATTTAAATTTTCCTACGGTGCTTCTTAAGAATCACCGTTGGAAATGCCTTCTTTTGTTGATTACTTCAAAATGACAGCTTCCCAGAAAGAATAATTTCACAGGGAGTTTAGTTCCCTTACTATCTTTCAACCAAGTTTGTTTTTCAACAGTAATTACGCCAGTTACTTTTCAGATGGCTGCAAATGATGGACTATAGCTTTAACTATAAATCCGTAGGTAATCAGTTCGAATCACACAGGTTGTGTGTTACCTTTTTCCAAAGGAATTTGGAATATTTCTTTTTTGCTATGTTTGGTTTGGAGGATTGTTTTTATTCAAGGGACAATGAAGTTGGAGAACCTTACTGGCAACTCAACATGCTTCGATATACGCCCATAGCGAATGTGCGGTATGGAAAAATAATAACTGGGACGGGAACCAGTCTAGTTTGACGCCTCAAGTGGCACGAGTCATTGTATTGTAGATATTAGGTAGAAATATCGTTCATTCCAAATTGAAATGTTAATAGTTTGATCTCAGTTTACCACTTGTGCCCGGTGTAAGCAGACTTTTTTTTCTAAGAAATCTAGTTGATTTTTCCTCCAAAAATGTCGACGATGAACAGCCGTTGCGGCCATCGTTATCACTGTAAACTTGCGACCAATGAAAAACGTCAATTTTTTTTATAGACAAATGAAGTTTACGAACCGCCTAACTCTTAAAGAAAAAAAAATGGCACCGATAATGGTGTCTTCAACACAGATCCAGAAACCACCGCCGGAAATGTTTCGCTGAGAATTTTTAAGTCAGACTGTTACTCGGATTCCCAAGACGTTTCTCCGAATAACGATGACAGATTTTGCGCCTCGTGGGGGGACAACTAGAGCGAGCCAGACAGACTCACAGAGAGGAAAGAATTGGGAAACAATGTGTAAGCGATGACACGTCAAGGTGAGCGGTTATTATTCTTTTGTCTGGCGGGAAAAGGAAATGAAATGAAAACAAACCTCGACCGTACCTTCAACAAAACTGGAAACGATTTCAAGAAACAACTGGAACTCCAAACAAAACCATAGCCAATGGAAATGACACTGAACAACTGAAATCAATTACCATATAGTTATCAATGGACAGGTGGCCATATTGCGGCTACAATGGACAGGTGGTCACACTAGACACATGGTCACAATTGGACAGGTGCTACAATGGACAGGTGGTGACTATGGACATGTGGTCACAATGGACAGGTGGTCACAATGGACAGGTGGTCACAATTGACACATGGTCACAATTGGACAGGTGGCTACAATGGACAGGTGGTCACAATGGACAGGTAACCACAATGAACAGGTGGCCACAGTGGACAGGTGGCCACAATAGACGGGTTGAAACAATGAACAGGTGGTCACAATGGACAGGTGGCCATAATAGACAGGTGGTCACAATGGACAGGTGGCCACAACAGATTGATGACCACAATGGACAGGTTGAACAATATGTGGATCAGGTTTCATTTAGGTAGCCACTATAATAGCAGGTCCAAAGTGAATGTCGGTATAATGGTGACCCCCCCCCCCCTTCCAAAGTTAACTTGCACCTCTTACAAATAAAATAAACATTACTCGCCATCCATGTCATTTTCACTGTTGGTGTGCAGAGGTATTTTATTCCACTCAAAAATCGAATTGTGAATAAAACAAACATCATGATGACGTAACGATGACGCAAGCACTGAGGATCAAATGCTGTAAAAGACGCATTATTGGATATTTTTTTTATCAAGAGACTACACTAAGCTACGCTAGTTTAACTACTAAGGGACTGTGTGATATATTATATAATCGTAAAGCACATGATATATATGTATATATATGTACAGGAAATACAGGTAACATTAACCTCACTATAATGTAGTAAAGATGTTGTGTTTTAGGCTAAGTTACCATAGAAACCAGTCAATAAATAGTTAGACTTGCCTCTTCTCTGAAGAAGATAACATTTAGTAAACCCGGATGTAGTCATTTCTTTTTCAAGAACACTGGGTTGGTGCTTGTTTTTTTTTTTTATAATTCCCGACAGCTTTAAGCACTTTGCTTAGTTGTTGATATGCAAGCATAGTTAATGATCACCAGTACACATATTGCATAAAATTGGCTGGTATATACGCTTGTTGCTTTAGCAAGAGAACGCTCTTTACACAAGCAGTTCAAGAAAATGTGTTCCGAGTATCAATTATCCTGTAAACCTTCGTCATTAAGTACCTAACATCTGATAGAAATTGAACAAGTAGACTAGTTTTAAAAAGAACAAACTTATCAAAATTAGTGATTTTTTGTTTACACACACGAAAATGGCACATATGGAATAATAGTTATTACTACACGGGGCAGCCCCCCATGACAGCATACTTGCAGCAAAAATCGACAAATGCTTCATTTTCTTTTAAATCTAAGAATAAAAATAATAGTAAAATCACACAGCCTTCCCATTATGAAAACGATTGAATCTGACTCAAAAACTATATACAAAAACAAAAGCAGTAGAAAACTTAAAATACTCAACTAAAAAAAGAACTCTACTTAAAAAGAATGCTATACTGTTGGAATAGTACAAGTTCGCAAACCGACCAAAGTTTATGGAATGAGTTACATTTCTTTGCCAAAAGGGTGCAACTTTTGCATCCTAATACATTTTCCGAGGCCTGAAATGACTTGAAAATTCCACTTTGAAAAACAAACCATTGCAACATTGCAAACGGGCATTACATTAGCCGTAAAATTCCAAGCGGTACAAAACACAAAAGTTTTTGAGCCAAATCATTCGGCAAAATGACGGCAACAAAACAAACAAGCTGAACTTATAACTCGTTCAGAGCACTTGATAATCATAATAATAGAAATTTTTTAAGCAGTTTGCATAGTTATTTTAAGACAATAGTATTTTAGTACAAAAAAAGAGAAAAAGTAATGAAAATTCAAGCATCTAGAGACTACAAATTGCAATGTGAAACCGTTACGCTCGAACACTCTCAGTTTTTTTTCTTATATACACTTATACCTCTTTTAGCTTGCAAAACTGACACATCTTACATACGTACATACCCATTCATAAAGTCCGCCTGATAATAATTAAGCAAAACATTACGTGGAATGTGACACCAAAAACTAATGTCTAAAAGCGCGTTTATTGTAAAGGAGCGATGCAACATGCACTCGTTGATGTGCTTGAGTCATATTGGCATATGATGGAAATGATGACGGATAAATGGTCCAATTAATTACTTACTTACTAGATTGATTGATTGACTTATTGAAAAATCCATAAAAGACTTATAATGCTCCAAATGATTAGAGCAAAAAAAAAAAATCACCAGAAAATGGCCTGACATAAGGTCAAAAAAGTGTTTTTTAAAGACCATTTTGAAGATCTGAAAACCACAGAAGAAACTGTTGTGTTTTTTCTTCTCGAACAAAATTCCATTCTGAAGTTTTTCCCTCTAAAATTTCCATGTAGAGTTTTCGCCATTTCTTTTTCACAACTGGAACAGTGCTGCTGACACTTAATGGTATGTCTTTAGACAGATACCTTGAATCACAAGATACACTGAATAACGGTGTGTTGTGACAGGGTGCCAGATTGGAGAAACCTGACCAAATTCAATACTTTTTGCCAGCTCAGGCAAAGAAATTGTTATCAAACACTGAATAACTGGTAAATGTAGACAAGTGTACACGGTCACCACATGGTTTAGGATAATCAAAAATAACTGAAAATTTGATTACATTGTTGATTTTGTTTCTATACAAGCCATCCAAATTTGATGATTTCATATTAAATAGTACAAAGTAGCGTTAATGAACCTTGCAGGTCATTAAGATTGGTGGGCGGGGCATGGGTAGAAGGGGGGTCATATTGACATGACGACGCATCCTTGCATTATGCACAAAATTGTGACCCACAATATTACAGGTCTCTATTCTTGTCAAGATTCAGGGTGCGTTGAGTAATTTATCTTTTCGTTTCATAAAAAAATGAACAAAACGGGCCTGCTTCAGGTTAGGCACCACCTCTTGTGAAAGTCATTTCTAAATGACAATGGATATTTTTGGCATGGAAGTATGAAGACTTGAAAGACCAGTTTGCCTCAAAATTGGCAAATACGTGAACAGGTCTGTATATCATACATGGCTCTACAAGGAATACTAGGGTGTTTTCAACGTTCTATATAATTCTACTTAAAAAGCTAGAATGTTTTGCAGATATATTGTTCAAAGCTGTATAAATTGTCTAAAGCACTACAATTGCGAGAGCAGTCTGGAATACTATCTAAATGATCAAATGATAGAACAGTCAAATATGGAGAGCTAGAAAAATGTTGCAAACTTTTTCTTTTTTTGAAGTATACGGTGAGGACAGTACATACTAATGTTGATACGTTCACGGGCAAGTACACCCCAATATAAGTAGGCTTAATAAAAAAATGCATTTTTTAGAAATTTTGCTATTTTATTTTTTATATATATATAGATTTATATATAATCTTAAGTCATAATATGTTAATTTGTACAGGTTTTTTGTATGTTATCAATTTGATAAACAAAATGAAGGAAAGTATTTATTTTTGTTTGTAGCTGCCTAGATCAATTTGTTGGCAAATTGTTCCGGCAATAAATATTTACAGAAAAGAAAGCATTTGGTACAAGTTTATCTAAAAAAAAAAGACAAAAAAAGTTCAGATCATTGGTCCATCAAACAAAACAAGTGAATTGGCTCATTCTGGTATTTTCCTGTATGAGTGTACATTAATGTGATCAATTTTTGAATCATTAAGTTGGTTTGATTTCTTGAAAAAAAAATCAGATGTTTACACTTTTAAGACCAGTTAAATAACGTTGAAAGTTATGATATTCCAGCAAAACATTTAGAAAGCTTATTAGCATGATAACTGACATTCTTCAAGGAATGTGAACTGCTTAATTTATCATCCAGTTTTTTTTCTTTACATAAAAATTGTCGGTGCTGTACATGATATATAGTGAGTATGTCCAATGCATTGCAAAAGTTTCTTTTTACAACTTATTAATATTTGGAGGAAAAAAAATCAGGCAAAGAGAAACAATTTACATTTTAGGACCTCCAACTGACAGGATTGATTTTCTTTTTAGGATTTTTTTTGTCCTAATGCTTCTAAATCATGTGTAAAAAGAATCCTTGCATTTCTAAGAGTTACCATGATTACCGAAAATACAAATTCCACAACAATCATTTTCTTTTGGGGAAAAGAGAGTTTTGTGAAGGTCGCGCTTTTCTAAAAATCTGCCGTGCTGCAAAGGATTCATTGCCAACTGCACTGCAGACCATGACGTCTGAAAGTCTTTCTTCAAACTTTCTAATGGAAATTACAGCCAGACAGACATGTCAGGGTTCGTCCTTTATAAGTTCGCAACAACAGCCACTCAAATATTTGATGTTTTGTGTCCAATTATCATCACGGCCAAGTTTTCCAGCTCATTTTGCTAAGTCTGACGACATGTCACTTAATACATGACAGCTTGTCAAACAACTTTTAAGGGTTAATTTGGCCTATATTGATTGACATACTAATATGAAATTTACCCTGGAATTAACTGGAATAAAAATTCAGGCCGTTACGGATCAATATATTAAGGATTTTGTTTACTACTTTTTTCACATCAAAATACTGACAATTTTTTTTTTTGGCCTTAAAAAACATTGAATTAGAATTGATTTGAAAAACACTAGGGTAGTGTACACAATACTTGGTTATAGTTTGTTCCGTTGTGACCGTTTGCCTTTGAGTATAGAAATTTAATAACTGGCGTTTTTAAAATGTACGGTAATGATAATGCTGAAGCTATGATACAAAAAAGTTCACTAACCCCTCTGCACAGGTTAAGAAGTCAAATTGGGAACAAATTTGAAGTGAATGTAAACAGAATGGTTACCAGCTTGTGGAAATGCTAATCCAATGCACTGGTTTCCCGCCTCGGATGTTCAGTCTCGACTCGATTCCTCACGAATTCTGCTTTTTTTTTCATCCCGTGGCGTTTTGAGACTTTGGGAACTGAGATTACATTTTGTGAAGATGCCAAAAATGTCATCTGCAGGAAAGTTTGCATTGGAATTGAAGAAGGATTGAAACAAAGATCTTTAGGTCCTGAAGATGTTCGGCTGATCGGGTTATGCCCATTCATCCTCCTCATCATCTGAATACCCTGCTATCGCTCCTCCGTTTCCCTCCCGTCCGTGACGTCTCCCATGTCCTCTGGACACACCTTGAGGTGCTCGACGCGGGCTATGAGCCTGCGTACCATGACCACGCCCCTTGGAGACAGATCCTGGTCTGTAACCATTCGGTAAGCGAGGATCCATTCCCGATGATTCAGCCTGCTCCTGTGTACGCATCACTGCTTCATACTGCGGTGGTCGGTCGTCCATAGGAAACGGTGGCGGTGTTGATCGGTTCTCCAGTTGTCGAGGATCTTTGTTTTTAGGATGTGAAGGAGGTTGCCTGACAGGACTAGAGTCTTTTGAGCGTGAGGTACCAGCTGAGCGAGGTCTGGGCCTCGGCGTACCCGACAAGGAACTTGAGGGTCTAGCCTCGCCGGGTACCGGTGGTAACCGGCGACCGGGGGTACGGCGTACCATTCCCGGACTGTACTCAGTCTCGGGCAAATGCTCGGCACTTTGGGCTCGTTTGCTGGGTGTGGAGACAGGGCCGGAGATATCCCGCTTGGATGGTGAAGGTCGTCGTGGTTTTGTTTTACCCTCCTGATTGGAAGGATCATCTGGGGGCCGTTGATCGTACCGCTTAGGCTGACGTTTGCCATTGGTTGTTCCCCGGTGTGGCTGATCCTCTTGGCCTGTCCGGTAGGTTGGGGAAGGGGGTAGGTACGGGTGTGCAGAGGGGTCTGGTAGGTCTACCTTTGGTATTCGACGTCGTATTGGTGATGGGGATCGTCCTATCAAAGAAATCCAAAACAATCAGTAAGAAGAAACCACTAACACAAGAACATTAGAAACGTGGAAGTGCAAGTTTAGAACAGTTTAGAAAAGTTTAGATAGACTGGAGTGGATATTCATCTGAAAGTGAACAGCAAAGACCTCAGGAGGCTGAAATGACTAACTAGCTCGATTAAAACTTGATTGCACTCTGTTCAAGTTCAAGGAAAAAATTACCCGATTACAATTTATCTGTTTAAAAGAAATTTGTCCACTTTTGGAGTTGCTTTGATGAAAAGAAGTTTTATTTGTGGGAACATCAAAAAGATGAGCAAATACAAAAATTGATGCAGAAATTAACTGAGTTTTTTTCTTCAGAAGATAGAAAATGAAAGGAAAAAAATGAGTCCAACAGAATGAGTTCTGTTCCGTGCATGGTTTTTCAATTTTTGAGACACTGAATAAAGATAAGATTGGAAGAAGAAAAGATATAAAACAAACTTTACAGAAATATATGTTAAAAAGTTCGAAATCACGACAAAATTGTTAATAAAGTTAAAAGTCAGATTATGAAAGAAATGTTATAAAGATGGAAAATGAGTTAAAGTGAGTTAAAAATGACAATTGAAAAGTTAATGGTATAAACTGGTGCAAAATAAGAAGAGAAATGTTGCAAGACATAACGATAATGCTTTATAAAAATTGGAAAAAAAATCAAAGTTTTCTTTTAAAAGAACGAGAAATGAAAGGCAGAAAGCGGTAAAGCGCATTATGCTTTTTTTTAAAGAAAAAAAAATAATTGTGCCCAAATGGGCACAAAAGTAAAAAACAGCAACATATCCAGATTAAAGTTTGGCAAAATATCAAAATCAGAAATCACAATTGTTATTATCCTTTTTTTTTGGCCACTAAATGATGCTTTAGCGTGTGCCGTGCCAACTCAGTGATAAAGGAAAGTTGGAGCCAAAAATAACAAGCAAAATATTTGCGGATGGAAAGCGATGACATTTCCTCACAGGCTGGATGTTTGCATTCAGTGGGTAGGTTCTAAACTGTGTCCAGCTTTCAGTCTAAGGTTACTTTTAATTGAGGCTTGGGACTTCATAGTTACAACCAGGCCAAACTAATGAGTGATTACTTCTCAAAGAGTGATTATGAGGCTATTTTCTGATCATTTCTGAAATTACCAGAATCATTTCCCACATGTTTCTTTACATGTCATGGTGCTTTCAAACTAGTGGGTTTCCCTTTAGACTACAATCATTATCAAAAGTATCTACTGGTTTACTTTTAAATTAAGTCAGACTTTGTGAGTTAGAAGGTTACTGATTCGAACCAGCCAACCGATCCCATTAGCTCGGTGGTCAAGTGGTAAGACATCTGCACTAGAAAGCAGGAGGTCGTGGGTTCGAGTCCCACCCGAGTGATTTTTTCCAACTTTCACTCGGGAGGTAACACACCGAGTATACAGTGTTTAAACGTCGGTGAAGGGCAAAACCTAATTTGGTAGAAAGTTACTGATAATAAACTAAACTCTGGCAAACTGGTAGATATTATGAGTTTAATCGTTCTTATTTTTAAACCAATGCCTAAGATACAAAGCCTCAGTAAAGAAGAGATGAGATCCAATTGAAAGTGAAACTACATCAGAGAAATTTATGGGTGGGGGAAAAATGTACTGAGAAGCGTTGTTTTTTTTCCAATCTGAGAATTCCCTCGGATGACAATGCAGGCGGCAGATAAGAACCACATACAGTTGGCACACGTGCAGGACGCAAGTATATACAGGATATGAATTGTGTAGGGAAACTGCAGGCGCGGTTCTAGAACAAAAGTGTTCTTAAGCAGGGTTTGGGTTGTTGGGGAGGGGGGGGGGTGGGTGGGAAGCAACAAGGTTCAGGATGATTTTTCCCGGGAAAAAATGGTTTCCCTAAAAATGTTTCCATGATTGTGAATTTTGTTGTTACAATATTTGTGGGAAAACAATATTGTTTATTTCGAAAGGAGGGGTCAAGTTGGAGTAGGAGGGGACAGATGGAATCTGGGGGTTCTTACACACTTCTCAGACTGGCGTTGCAGAGTCACGCCAACCAAAAAGTATTTAGAGCAACTCAAGTCGACCGAAATAGAATTTGGTTTAAAACAGGCGAGCTTTATATACTTATTTTCACTCTGGGGTCATTTCAGACCACTGCAACAGTCAATCTTTCCCGTGCAGTTGCTCCTAATTGTTTCAAAACCTCGAAATGAATTCTAGGCTTAAATTCTAGTCTTGGTTTGGTGTGACTCTAGAATGCCATTCAGACGTGGGTGTCGCTGACCCCCCCTAGGGACCCCCCTGTATAGAACCGCGCCTGGTTTTTTTTGTCAGTGTGTTGACTTGAGCCTACCTGACCCAAGCAGGGGTTGGGATGAGGACACACTTTCCTCCGAGTCTAGTCTTTCTCTTCGGTTTGCACCCTTTGGTTATGAACAAAAACCTCTCAAAAATTAGGCAAAAGTAAAACTCAAAAACAGAATTAGTCAATAAACAAACACGACCAGAAAAACAAAAATAAATCAAAAATTGGTTAATTCTGACTGGGTTTTTGCAACAGCGCGACATGAATCATAATAAATAAACAAATTAAATACCTTTCAATTGTCATGCATTTCTGTTGCAAATCATCATTTTAAAATAAAACCTCTTGTGTCAAAGTAAAACTTGGTTAATTTTCTTCTGACAAAATAAAAATTAGTTGGATGTTTAACAAAATAGTAGCTGATGTTTGTGAAACTAAAACATGTTGGTTGATTTGAAATCATGCAAAGCATGCATTTGAGCTAATGTTATGGTAGATGGGAACAAAGCAACATGCATAACAGCAAGGTGATATTAAGCGCTTGCAAAAAAAAAATGATGGCATATCACGGTGTCTCCAAAACAAAGACAAGCAATAAGGTCGAAGGACAAACAAAACAGGATCAGATGCTGAACTGTCAAGCAGGAAGGCTAAGAAAGGAAAAAAAGAAGGGGAAGAAGCCTAGCAGAAAGAAGCGAAAATGATAAGCTAACAGAACTGCTTTAAAATAGGTGCTTCTTGTCTGATTTTTTGAAGAGATTTGAGAATTTGAATTTTGAGTCTGTCATGAAATGAGCTGACTTTTCCAAATGTCTAAATGATTTATTTTGTAGAGAAGGTTTGAAAGATATTTAGAGGACTTTTAAGGAAAGTTGGGCAGGGGGGTTTCTTGAGAATTCCCACTTTTTTGGTAAAATTAAAATTTGACTCGAAATAGAGAGTTGTGATCGGATTATTGAGGCTGAGGAAGTTGGGAACTTGTGGAGAAAAGTATAACAGGAATGTAAGAGGACAACTTGATGACTTGACAAACAGGGACGACAACGGGGAGGAAATAAACGGACACCGTAATGCCAGGCTAGCTGATTGACTTGACGTGTATGGCCAGGCTATCTAATTAACGAACAGTCAGGTGGTTTGAGGAGGGGGGGATATTGCAAATGAAGTCACCTCGTCAGGTCTAGGCCGGCCACCCCGCGGGGTGTACTTCCGTTGGTCCGGTACCCCGTCTCCCTCATACTGATCATCATCACCATCCTGTCTGATTTCCTCTCGGCTGTGTTTCCGTCTGTGTTTGCCGGGGGCGTGGGACCGACTGTCCGCCTCTGTGCTATCGATATCCCGTCTTGTCCTACGGGTCATTTCCCTATCTGCGGAGCCCCGTCGATGGGCTCGGGTATCCTCTTTCTTATCAATCTGTCTCCCTTGCCCAGTGGTATCCCCGATCACCGTTACATTGCGGTTTTCATCCACATAAACCCCATCTTTACTTGATCGCCTACTACTCCTACCCCTAGTGTTACGCTCGTCCTCTAAATACTTGGTATTGCGATTGATCTCTTGATTGTCAGTGGGCGTGCTGGTGTACATTTGATTCTTATTTGGCTTGGGCGTTGCAAACTCGGGCATGCTTGGGGAGGTGTAACGTTTGCCGGATTTGTTCTTGTCTATGGAAGGGACGCTATGCGAGACTGGCATTCCAGTTGGGGATGGCCTATGGCTCAGGACTGGGGAATCTGTATAATCAGTGGGACTATCTCGGTATCGATCGTCTGATTTCCAGTGCCTATCTCTGTGGGGCCGAGGGTGAGAATTGGGTTTGTCAAGTCTGGTCTCGGGTTCTTTTCTCTTTTGGCTACTCCTCTCAGGATCTTGGGAATTATAGGACCCCCTTCTTTTGAGATTAGCGTTAGCTTCAAGATGCTTGGAAGAATGTCTCAGTGCACCGTTCTTGGTAAGTGACTGAGTGTCATTTGGGTCTTCAAACCTAACGTCTGATTGAGACAGCGAGCTAGGATGTCTATGAGATCTGTTAAGGGACTCTCGGCTGCCCAAACTTGGATCGATTCGGACGTCTCGAAAGCTTCGTCTGTGTCTACCATCTTGAGAATCTATCTCTCGTAGGTTATCGTAGCTGTAAGCGTCCGACGGTCGCTGGGTCTGAGGCAAGGCTTTCTGTGAACGGAAGTCAACAGAAGATGAAGAGTGGCCTATTTTCCTGTCTAAGTTATTCCTAGAGTTACTCCTACTTATATCAGTACGAGGGGCATCATAAGGTTGATGTGGATCATCTAAGGTTGACCTATCCCTACTGGACCTTCTCTCTCTACGATACGGGTTTTCAGGGGCTAAAGTATCTCTTTGTCTGGACCGTCCATGATCATTGTGGCTACTTTTGCTTCTAGAGGACTGAGGTGGAGGCTGTAGACTAGGAATTTGATGGTAGGAGGAACTGGCTGACGAATTTCTGTCCATTGACTGCATGCGTCCGGAGAAGAATAAAAAGAAGCATGGAAAACGGAAAAAAAAAACAAGAACAAAAAATAACATAATGTGTGATTGACAGCACCTGGCTTACCACAAAATTAAAAAAATAATAAACAGAATCGCGGTAAAAAAATTCAAGCAACTCGAAATTGATTTGAAAATTGATCTCATGAGAAAAGTTGAAAAACGGCAAATCTCTCTCTAAGCCATGATGATGAATCATTGCACAAGCGAAGTAACAACTGAAAAAATGAAGTGTCAAAAATGTTATCAATAAAAAAATAAAGGAAAAAGAACGATAATTGCTCCATGCAATGGCTTCAAACATGAGAAGCTAATGTGGCAGCGTTCATGTTGAAATTGGCTGGATGTTCAGACAAGGCACAAAAGATATTTTTTACCAAAAAAAAAAAAAAAATCCTGAATTTGCTGTAGTACCCCACAATTAAAGTTTTGGCTTTTCAAAGAACTTTGAAAGAACTGATCTTCAAAGTAGGCTTTTGAAAAGTTGTCAACCCCCCAAAATTAGAGTAAAGTTAGGAATTACACTGTACAAACGTCTTCTAATCAAATGGCAGGTCTATCTTTGTATGGAGTTGGATGTGAACCCTGAACCAAGCTCTTGATGTTTGGGGGAAGTGAGAGGGTGATAGGAGACATGATGCATGTCAACTTGATCTTTTCTGATAGTGTGGTTGTGGGAAAACCAGTATGGGCAGTTTCAGATAAGCAGTCAACATCTGCTTTCAATGAGAATTTTCCGTTAAAGCAGCTCATCTTCAGATGTATCGCTGTATCACAATGAAGGTGCGGGATGAATCTGAATATGAGCCTGCATCTTACAGGAATTCATTATGCACCAGTGGAAAAATAGGTAATGATGTCTTCAATATGTTTTCATCAATTGATATGGACATTAATTTTTCTGTTCAAATGTCTGCTTTTTAGGGAGGAGGGCAATATGATAGCACTGCAAAATTATGAGAAAAAGGAGGTATTTTCACTAATTTCTCCAATGGCACTTGTACACAAGTTACGTTAAGTTGATCTGAATTGTTAATTTGATGATCGATATAGTTTCACCAGTGTATATAGTTATTCAGTCTTTGTGTGTGCTCGGTCCAAAATGTTTTAATTGTCATTGTAATAACTGTATTTCTATTTGTCTTGTGCGTTGCATGTCATGTTTTTGAATTGTAAGCTTGCGTGTTTATGTGTGTGACCTTTATGTTATTTATTGTAAATTTCATTGTTTTTAATGTTATGGTTTTGTAATTTTTATTGTGAACTTGTGAGGGGAGGCGCAATTCAGCCTCTGGCTGCAATGTCTCTTTTTTGTATGATTGAATAAATAAACCATTAATAATATGTAATTGATTGCCTTGCCCAAACATCCAAAACTGAGCAAAAATTTTGCAATATGAATAACCATGCAGTGAGTGCAAAAAATGTAATTTCAACTAAACAATAATAAAAAAAAAATTAATAAAAACACATCATTCTCAAATTTCTGAATTATTGCAATCAACAATGAAATTGTATAAGGATTTAAAATACAAGTAATTTACAAAAGACATAACAAATAGTTGGAATTCACGGTACACTGAAATAAATTCCTCTATTTGAGATAAAATGTTGAATATGAAACAAATTCATGCTAAATTGTACATTCCAAATTTCAAACATTATTGTACAAAAAACATTCTTAAACACACACACACAGGAAACACTCAAAATGGTTAATAACATAACTTAAAAAAACCACAAAATTTTCAATTTAATCATCCACGGGATGAATTCCATTTTGATCAATTGTATTAAAAAGCTCCCAGCTAAAAATACCCCCCCCCCAAAAAAACCCCCAAAATACCAAAACAAAACATTTATCTGATCATATTTTCTTTGCAATTTAAAAACAATTTCTTTTTTTTATTTACAAATTACAAAGCCAATATCTTGTCCTTTCCGAAATAAAAACAGAACTTGAAAATGATGGAGGCTTTAAGGAAACTTGACAAAATAACACAATTTCCCACAGTTATATGGAAAATGCACAAAACTCCACCCAGTGACAGTTCTCAAATGTGAAACATTTTCTTTTGAAATGTGAAACATTTTCTTTTGAAAAAGGAATTTCATTTTGCACAAAAATAAACCCTCCCTGCGAGAGCTGAATTATTCTCTGGCAGCCAATAATTCCAACTATGTGAAGAAACAATTTTATAACCAAACATCGGTGCATTTTGTTTCAATGCGTCAAAAGTGAGAACTTTTATATTTCTAGGAAAACAAAATTTTTTAGCAATAGCTAAAAAAAAATTCCTTTTTTTTAAGGTGATACTCCAAGATAGCACGAGAACGCATCTGTAACAACATCCTTTAAAAGGATGCCATAGTCTTGCCCCATTCAAGCATACACAGTAACTTGAAGTAAACTGAAATTTACTGGCACAGATTTTAATTTTTAGATTGGAATTTCAAGATTGGTCCTTGATATTAAAATTGCACACGTTCGAGTTTTTTTTTCAATAACAGTACTAACATTTCAAATAAAATAATTGCCAAATCAACACTGGTAGTTACATCCAATGACTAACGAATATTAAAACTAAAGTTTTCTCCCATTAAGGTCAGATTTTTAACTGGCAGTGAAGTCACAAATCAATGCCATGAGGTGAAAATGTTGCCGATAATTGGAACCATTTATGAGTTTACGAAGCAACAGTTATCCCCAATTTGTCCCTAATTAGGTGGCCCAGCGGACTTTTGTGTCAAAACCACAACATTCCAATCCCATGTTGCAAGGCCAACATTTGTTCTTCATTGACAACCGAATATTGTAATCGTCACACAAAAAACTGACAATAAAAAAAATCATTATGGCATACAAATGTAACAGTTTATATCATTTTTGTTTAACCAGGGCATCCCTCCAAACAAGAATTTGTAGTTGAAATTGAATTCTACAAGAGATTTAAATTCAGTTTTCCAGATTTGCAAAAATTTGAGAATTGATGAAAAAATGTCACATATGAGAACCGTCACTATCTGTAACAAACATAACACAACACAAAATACCAAAAAAAAAAAAAAATGCAAAAACCATTCAAATCCACAATGCTCAATGTTTACTTTACATTTACAAATTCCTATTTTTTTTTTTTAAAATCAATTACAATTTATTTTCCAGCATATTTCAACAGACTAGAAAAATTGGGAAGAATTATAGTTTTGGTTTCTACTTACCTTCCTGTCCATGGACCCCGAGGCAGACCTTTGTATATCTGGTGCATCGTGGCCTCTTATATCAGCCATTTCAATACCCTGTACATATGCAGGAAAACAAAAAAGTGTCAGTTCACAGAAACAAAAATAATTTTCAATGTGAAGAACTGCAAACATTAATTTAAAGTAATAACTTTAACATTAAGGAAATGTTTCCTGGTAGGGCTAGGGAAATTCTCCATTTTAAGGGCAATTTGTTGGACGACGCGATGCTAATAAGGAAACCACAGATAAGGTGTAATGATCGTCTGACTCGTCGCTCACTCGGCTTGTGAGCTCCATGGCCACTTTGTCGGCCTCCAAAAGGGTTCCATGTATTGCTCAATGTTGAGAGGACTGAGCAGTTTGCACTGGGTTGGGGCGATGCAGGCCTCAGTATGGCCATAGCCTCTGCTGCAATCAACAAATTTCAGGCCTTTGGACAAGCTTGTGATGCACGAATTAAAGGAAAAAGGTTCGGCACTAGTTTTTTTTAATTCAGACTTACAAAGAACTTGAGTACAGTCGAGTCTCGTTAATACAAACTCGTTCGGACCTAGCCAAATTGTTTGTTATACCAGAATTTTGTATTAAGAGGAACATCACTCCCATTCATTGTGCACATAAATGCACAGTCGGGACTAAGGCTTTATGTTTGTTATAACCAGAATTTTGTATTAAGAGGAACATCACTCCCATTCATTGTGCACATAAATGCACAGTGAAGGACTAAGGCTTTATGTTTGTTATAACCAGAATTTTGTATTAACAGAGTTTGTACAAACGAGATTCGACTGTATTGCAAAGTAACAATGGTGAAAGGACACAACAAGCTAGTGCAAAATAGCCCCCCCCCATCAAAAAAAGAGAAACAAAGCACAAATCTGTTACTACAATTGAGGGAAAATAAAAACTACTATGTAGTTCGGTTAAACTTAAAGATGACACTCCGTAATCTTCAAAAAATTGATTTTTTTTTTTGTATTCTCCAAACAAATTTCCAATTTGTATCTTTTGTTTTATTGAAGAAAAAAACCCCATACTTTATTCCCATTTTGCACATCTGCAACCCTCTAAAAAGGAATTTCATTCTGGGCACAAATGAACATGCCTTGCGAGAGCCGAATTATTGTTTGGCAGCCAATAATTCATTTTTGTGAAGAAATATTTCAATAACTAACTGTTGGTGGATTTTTTTGTGAAAAACTTTTATATTTCTTGAAAAAGATCGATTAAATAAAAAATCTGGGGTTTTTTTTCAGGTGAAATTCGAAAATAGCACAGGGAACGCATCTTTAAACTTTTCATCAAAAATAAACCACAGCAAACTTGAGAAGTTAATTTGAGAAACACAGCAAATGTTAGGGAAAGACTGCCACGCTGCAAACACTCTTACTGGAGTGAACATCTCATCGCGTTCATTTTCAAAATAACATGCAGCGTTATCTCGGCCCTCCTCATTGTAAAAACCCTCATCGGAATACTCGTGCTGCTCCATGTGTTCTACTAGGGTCTTCTAGAATGGATGCGGGTAAAGATGCAGAGGGGTTATGGGATATGGGAAGACATAACATGCGAGGAATGGGGGAAGACTTAGGGGATGGTTACTTATGCAATTAACGTAATAGGAATGATTACAATCTGAAAATCTTCCACAAAAACTTTGCTCCTTTATAAAAAAAAAAGGGGTCTAGAACAACACCTTATTTTTAAAGTTACATGCATCTTGAAAATACCATCCACATAATTAAAACAGTGTTCTTGGTTTATTAATTAATATGTTTTTGTTATTGCCACAAGATTTGAGCTCAAGAAAGCAACAGGATGTTATGGAAAAACTGAACTCGGACAATGATTCATGCAGAAGTAGAATTAGATCAAGAAAAAAAAAAGCATGACAAAGGAAATGAGAAAGTCATGGGGTAATGCTTTGTAGCTGTCATCATCGTTTACAATCTGACTTAGATTCTGCCTGTCTACGTGAATGTGGAACATTCTCTGAATATTGACTGGGGGGGGGGGTGTGAGAACAGGTGAAGGAAGGGGTGTGGTTATATGCAGACTCTGATCAATGAATGTAGCGCCAAAATGCCAGATTTCCGATCAGGAAGTACGGAGGAGAAGACGTGGCTTTTCACTGTAGACAAAATACCTCATGAACAACCCTCAAGGGACTAAATAATGCTACAACTTGGGAAGATGTCGATGATGATGACTGGCATTTTGCTTCATGTTAAGCTTATACATGTTTCTTCCCCAAATATAATCAACTGTTGAATTCTACACAACATAAAGAAACAACTTGGGCAACTCTAAAGGGAACTTAACTCACCACCCTCCCTAATAAAAGTCAAACCCTACCTTGTTAAAAACCTTCAAAACAAGATAAAAAAAGAAGCAGCACAAAATTTGTTGTGATTTTCTTTCAAGTTAAGAACTAGGACTGACAATTCCAAGCAGACAACTGTTCTTGTTACATTATTTCTCAATATTTTCCAAAATTTCTGTGCCTGGGAGATTTTAAAGCCTTCCCAATGCTTAGGCCAAGAACTGAGTGAGATGTCCCAACCTTGACTGTAAACGTCTTTTCCCGGGGAAGATCTTTAAAACATTTCCTTGTTAATTTATCAAATAGGTGGATTTTTATTACGTTCTACAGGTATTGGGGGGGGGGGGGGATGGTTCCCCTTCCCCTAGGGGGTAAGGGAAGGGTGTATGTTTAGCTAGACCCTGCCTGATTCTTAATCATCATATGATTCAAGGGGATTTGCTCATTCAACCTCATGATTTTCATCTCAGACACCTTAGAACAAAGTGAGGACAGAGTATGTGGTTGAGGCAGTGAAATGTCACCAGACCACCAGAGCTCACCATAACCCAACACCAGCCCTAGAGGGACATCAAGTGACTTGGTATGGGGTTGGAAAGCGGGCCTTGTACAAGGTTGCTCAACCACAAGTTTGTCGTCAGCGATCCAACTAGTGACTTTGCCAATTCTGCTTCAGGCGTTTTTGTTGCCAGGAATGGTAAAATGGGTGTGCAGAGGATATCCAAGTTTCTTGTCTGCCCCCTCCCCATTTGGCGTGAATGATTAAAAACAACCCTATTTTTGAACCTCTGAGACTCATCTTGCAACTTCAAAAACTTGCCAATGACGTTTGTCCGATATCTTCCACTGAATGTGAGGTGTGCACGGTGCACTGAACAGCATTTTATGAATTCATGACAAAAATGACAACAAAACAAATCAGCCTGGTTTCAAAAAAACCCTACTTTTAAACCTCTGAGACTCATCTTGTAACTTTAAAAACTTGCCAATGACATTTGTCTAATATCTTCCACTGAATATTAAGTGTGCACAGTGCACTTAACAGTAAGTAAACTTAACAGCATTTTATGAATTCATAACAAAAATGACTACAAAACAAATTAAGCCTGGCCAGAAGAAAGACTTGAGATCTTGGAGGGCGATGGAGCCTAAAAATGATCTGACACCATTTCTGTTACTCAGAGTTAATTTTAATAACTTTTATGCCTCATACCTCCATAAATGTATAAAATTCTACATTGTTTTGAAATATTTTTAGATGTTTGGTTTAAAACATCGATCACTGCCACATCTAAAAATACAAATTTGCAACTTTGTGAAAGACCAGAAGGACTTTGAATTCTCAATCCACACCCATGAGTCCCCAGACACCTCACCATACTGATTATTTGTATCTCTCCGAGATAATCTTTTAATGATCAGCACAGCACAGGTGGATATTTTTAGCAAGCTGAGTAAGCGATGTTGGCTAGACTCGGCAGACCCAAGACGCTTATCTCGGTCACATCAGGAACTTCAAGTCATGAGGAAGGTGTCATCGATCGAGAGACACGCCTTACAAAGGACAAGCACAGCTGATGGAAAATCTAAAAGTAGAACAACACCTGCTGACATTTGATATTTTAGCAATTTTTTTGGTGATGATATCAAGAATTTTTCAACAGTGCCTTTCAATTCTACAGGTTGGTGGGAAACCATCGAGCTACATGTAGGACCTTGCTATATGGGGAAACTACAGTGGCATAAGTTTGGGGCGGCGAGTGGGGAGATGGGGGATGACCAAGATCCAAAAAACTGTCCAGCCGTGGAAATTCAAAAAGCGAGGGGGGGGGGGTGGACACCACATAACACTAGGGGGAGCTGTTCATGATTCAGATGTACATTTTCAAAATGGTGCATTTCCAGCTTTTATACTTTTTCTCTCCATTTTTCACTACTACTGAATACATTTTGGTTGTTGGGAAGTTAAAAAAAAACCTGGAAATCTGCATTTTTGGATTTCTCATCACGAAAAAAGTGGGGGAATGATTCAATAGCCCATTACCCCCCCCCCCCTCCCGGATTTACGCCTCTGAAAAACTTCATTTCCAGGGAATTACAGCATTATGATAGGAAGTGTAATGTCCGTGACAGAGCAATTAACCATGATATCTAATGAATGATTCGGAGAAATGATCCAAAACTCCTAGTCTGCAATCTCCTTGACCGTTACTAGGACGTGTATGAGATCTGAAATATACATTTTCAGGTTTATTAAACTCTTTTGGATGCTTGCGTTGCCCAGAAAACTTGTGTAATAAAGTGGGGGCCGAAAAAAAAATGGACAATGAGGTGAAAACGCCATTAACCATATCTCTATATGTGGGTTTTCATTTATAATTAAGCTCCTTTAATAACTTTAAAGTCTGAAGCTTGAGAAATCTGCTGAGTTTGAAATTATTACTAGATTTGTTTTGATTTCCCCATTTCTGTGTTTTTTTTTTTTACAAACATGTAAATTAAGGAAGATGTATTCTAGCCTGGGTTCTTAAGAGGGTCGTTTGTGTTTGGTCCACTGGATAAAAACAAAAGACATTCCAACAACTGGAGTCAGAATCTTGTATAGGATCCTGACAACAGGTTGACTGTGTCTTGGGCCTGCGGTCTTAATCTGTATGCTCAGTCAAGCATAATAGCTATACAGATACTTTTACAAAGGTTAAAAAAAAAAAAGGGAAAAGTGAATCCAACAACTAAGTCATTGAACTCGCCTAGAAAGTTCTCCAAACAATGGACAACGTCTCTCGTGGATCACATTATGGCCGGGGGCGGTAAGTTAGCGAATAGAAAAATGAGGTCATGTGACACTGGTCAATTTACAGGAGGTAAGGTTATGTGACGAGGGGAAGGAAACGTGGAACGCCCAAAGGCTTCTTGTTAGACGGAATCGTCCAATCAGGATGCTGTATATGGGTGAATGATTTTAACGACCGTGAACGAGACCGTAAAACCGCAAAAACTGTTCAGAGTTGTTCCCCTATCAGTGAAAATAAACATGAATTAAGGTTTCTAGATTTTTATTGCAATGCGATCTGTTTATAGAGAACACACCCCGGAGATACATTGAATTGGGAGGGAGGATCGAAGGGAACGGAAGCCATGTCAGTCAACACCAACATCACATAAACTGTTTCATTCCGGTTGAAACGCATTGCCTTGGTCTTCATTTCCTGTAGTCAGGCAACATTACCAGTGTCTTGAGGGTGCGACCAAGTAAATATGCCAAAGATCTGTCTGCTGAGCTCATGAATAATTGTTATACATTCATTTTTTTCTATATTAGAGAGTTATGAGAGCCATAGAATTCGGGGATTGAAGACATATGGCATTGCACCTTTGGCCTGGACTTTGGGGCTTCCAATTCTGAGCATTTGGGATGCAATTGGGTCTGAAAGTGGCACTATTTAGCCATGTTGTGGAGGGATCCTTTTTCAAAATGGCTACTTAAGTTTTCCAGTTTGGGAAACATCATTCGTTTTAGTGGTGATCTTCTTTGGGTGAGAATTTCTCCAAAAAGTCATTGGTCAACCCACCAAAAATTAAATGGAAAATGAAAGACGACATGTTGATCATCATTTTTCTGTGCAACCTGAACACCTCTGAGAGTTCTGAGTATTTTAAAAACAATTTTGAAGTTTGGATATTTATCACTGGTGTCTATGGGAATTTATTGACTTCATTGCACCATTGACTGACTTGATTCCTGTTATCTTCTTTACTGCCTGACCAATAGAGGGGGCTTATATATGCACCTCTGGGTACAGACCAGTAAATAGGCCCGCAATTGCCTACGCCGGCCAAATCACGATTTGCATGCCCACAAATTCTCCGGTATTAGAGCATTTTGAGGGCCGTGAACTTGAGGATTTGTAAAAAAGAAGGGTGGAAGCCGTGCAGAGGACTGCGAGCTCGTATTTCTGTGAAATGTGGATGAAATTAGGCCCAAAAATGGCACTATTTTGCAACGGAGTATTTTCAAAATGGCGATGGGCTTCAGGCCTACTTTTAGGGGTGATCATCTTTGGATGGAATGTTCTCTTACAAGTCCCTGGATAACCTCCCAAGAATTGACAGAAAAAGAAAGATGATGAAATAAGCTTTAATTTGATGTGTGTCTCAAATACCTTGGAGAGTTCCGGGAAGTGTGCGTAATTATCACTGAGGTCTATGGAAGTCTATTTACTAGTCTGCACCCCTCTGGGGCCACATTTTTGCCCGGAACAATGGCCAAGTTAAAACATGCAAGAATTCTATTATGCTAGCGAATAAATTCATGGAACGAAAAACAAGTGCACAACTTGTAACCCCATCCTGCTTTGTATGACAGTCCAAAGAATAAATCAAGAAGCAGAACAATTCTGAATCCATTACTTACAAAAAAAAAAGGTTCTGATCGCAAACAAAGATTGCCTGCTGAAATTCAAAACTACAGTAAACAAACCCAGGCCAGCTGACGCAAATAAACACTTGATTGAAGTAGTCCCCAGAAGGAAAAAATCTCAGGCTTAGATTACAGATCGTTGGAAATCTGGCCAAGGGTAATATGGCTGGTTGTGTTTACCCTTGAATGACCCCACGACCTAGATGTCAAAGGTCGATCCCCGGCCAGGAGGAAATCGGCCACTATGCTCAGAATCCGACAAACAATGGGGTTTATGTGGCCACCATTAACCCACATCGGATGACATGAGTACTTGAGCAGTTTTAAACTGGTCCAGTTGATGTTTCCACGTTCTGCCGAGTTTGACAAGATGCCATAAATTTGGTCCAAGTGCTCAGCTGACGTAAATCAACCTTCAGTGACGTGATCATTATTGTGAAGGCCATTCCTGAACCATTTAAATGAGTAGGCCGAGTATGTACAATTAGGGAAATAAAATGGCAGTAGGTGATCCAAATGATGAAGTTTTAACTTTTTCCTTGGTGGCCACAATGGATAGGTAGTCACAATTAACAGGTGGCCACTATGGATAGGCGGCCGGAATGGACAGGTGGCCACAATAGGCAAGTGGCCACAATGGGCAGGTGGCCACAATGGAAAGGTGGCCACAATGGACAGATGGCCACAATGGATAGGTAGTCACAATTAACAGGTGGCCACTATGGATAGGTGGCCGGTATGGACAGGTGGCCACAATGGAGAGCTGGCCACAATTGGCAGGTGGCCACAATGGACAGGTGGCCACAATGGGCAGGTGGCCACAATGGGCAGGTGGCCACAATGGGCAGGTGGCCACAATGGACAGGTGGCCACAATGGACAGGTGACCTGAATAGAAAGGTGTACACAATAGACAGGTTGCCACATTGCAATGGAAAGATGGCCAGAATGGACAGGTGGCCACAATACAGAGGTGGCCACAATGGAAAGATGACCAGAATGCAAAGATGGCCTCAAAGGACAGGTGCTCTTTATGAAAGTAGTTCTACATGCATATTTGCATCAATCGCCTGAGTAACGGTTCAATCAACAACCCGGGGAAGTAACAAAAGGAAGATGATTCGTATATCTTACCCTTGCGCTGTCTAGCGTGTCCCGAGGCCTTCTCCGAGATTCTCGTGGCCCGTCACTAGGTCTATCCTGGGGTCTGTCCTGGGGTCTATCCTGAGATCTGTCATACTGTCTATCACGGGATCTTCCACGATGTCTATCTGGGGACTTGTCGTGTCTGTTGGGAGGAAAGAGACAAGGGTTTAGTCACTATTGTTAACGGACGGACGTGAGTGAAGCTTGATATGGTGAGTTTGTGCATGTGAACCAAAACTCAGTTGAATGAAACTCTATCAAATGTGACTGGGTGCCACCACAAAAAAAAACACGGCCCAAGACTGAAAAACTTTCATGTACTATGTTTTAAACCATTTTTTCCCCTGTAGTAGGGGGTAGTATTCAAAATCGTGTAGAATATTGGTCTTTCAAATGCTTTTTATCTGGTTTTATTAGGATGTTTTGTTCAAAAGATACGGGACTTGAAAAACCACTTGGGCCTCTTCTTTTTTTTAAATCAAGTTTACAGATCGAAGCCGGTAGAATAAGTCACACGTTACTCTTGAACAAAGGAAATCAATCCTTTGTGTGTTTCTCTAACTGCGCTTTCTCACTTTCAAGGAAAGTGACCCAAGACGATTTTCAACCCTTGAGTTTCGATGAAGCATAGCGTTTATTCCAATGCATCGATTTGAATGACAAAGTTTGTATGGTAGATTGGTTATCTGACTTTAAGTAGGTCACACGTTACTCTTGAACAAAGGAAATAAATCCTTTGTGTGTTTCTCGAACTGCACTTTTCCACTTTCAAGGAAAGTGGCCCAAGATGAGTTTCAACCCTTGAGTTTCGATGAAGCATAGCGTTTATTCCAATGCATCGATTTGAATGACAAAGTTTGTATGGTAAATTGGTTATTTGAAAATATTCCAAAACTCACATGCTATAGGCCTAAACCTTTATGTTATAGGTTTTTTTTTGTGGGATAACCTGTTACACCAAAATCAATTGGCAAATCATCAACAGAAAACCACTTGCTAACTTTGAACTGTTTGAAAATCTCTGGAATTTTACCAGATGGTCCGAGCAATCAAAACAGCCTGGATCCATCCCAGGAAATATTCCGAGCATCTAGGGCAAGATCTCTGCCTATTCTACCTGCCTCAGGAAATGGTTTACATTTATTTCACTTCGCTGTAATTGATGACATTTTATTTTGACAGTTTGGAGAGGTTGAAGTGTTATTGGTGTTCCATGGAGGACAATAAAGAAAATCCTTGAAGACAATAGGCAAAAAGGTCATCGTTAAATGTCTCAGCATCGCATTCCAAATCACCGTCAAGAATCTTAATGTGTGATTTTATTGGTAGTGATTGCTTTGATGGGTTTCAATTTACTGGACGACAAAGAGAAGTTGGTAACAGAACTCAAGCTGTGAAGTTCAATGACTGATATCCGGGAAATCTTAGTAATTGTGTACCATTTGGAAAATCTCTTAGTTTTGAGAACAATGAAGGATGTTGATAAACACTAATTGGACAAGTTAAGGTGATGTTGAGGTGACAACTAAAGGTACAAAACCTCTGGGTGTTTTGTTTCTTGTGAACTTCATTTTGAATTACGTTTCAAGAAAAGTGATAAATGCATTGATGTCCAGGCCTATCTTTCTTGAAACTTTGAAAAGGAAGTGTCGGTGGGAAGTTCAACTTGAATTAACAGCAGTACCAATACTGAAAACTTGCCAAGTTGTAGAGCCTTAGTATGTTTTTTGGGGTACTTTGGGGAATTCACTGTTTGTTGACGAGGAACCTAATGTGGGATTTGAACACACAATTTCACAATTTGGTGTCTTATCCCCTTTTCTACCATGTATTTTGTGCCCCCCCCCACCCCCTTTTCAATTTTTGTGCACAAAAGTCGATACGATGAAAAATGACCCAACAGATTGAAGTCATAAAAGCCCGAGTTTCCTGCTGATTACAGGAAAAAATCTCAACGATCATGACCCTCAAAACAACCTGTTGCATAAACCATTTACAAACCATTAACAAACAAAACCTTCCAAGCACCACTTCCACTACAATTCCCAGAAGGTCCTTCAACCCTATCAAATACCCTATTTCCCCTTTTTTTTCAACAAACCAGGAATTTTGTTTGGTCAAAGAAGTCAAGTTTGGGAGGAGAGCGTCCTTGATTGAACCTCTAGGACTTGAACTCTCCCTAGGGGAAACATCCCGACTCATCAAGATATTTGGGTCAGAGAAACACTGCTTAAGGGTGAGGGTTGAAGTTAAGGGTAAGAATTGTGTTTATTCTAAACAAGCGGCAAGTCACGTACAAGGTGAAACCATCTGGAGCAACAGCTAACATTGCATCATAAGATTGGATTGAAATTTTCGAAATCCAAGTTTGCACAAGGCGTTTTGTTTCCATCTGCCTCGGCTCAGCTAAACCTTCTTTCTTTTGAAAAAAAAAAAAAAAAAAAAAGCAAGGAGAGCTACAGAACATACATTTTCAGAAACAGCGAGAAAATACTAGTGATAGCTCAAAGTCAAAACAAACCAGAAATAGTGGAATCACAGTCATTTTTATGCCAAGTGTATGCCAAGTTTATGACAAGGTCCCCTGAAAGTAAGATAAAATTGGGCCATCACATCAAAAACCTAAGAAAGAGAATAGGGCTCGTTCAGTGACGGCCATCTCTGTAGGAAAACTGCAACTGCGTATTTTACACAATCAAGCACGCAATGCGCAGTGTTGAAAATGTTCCAAACATGCGCGCTTGTTGCTCGAAATGTGTTCGAAATGCGACGCAGACGATGCGCGTTATGCAAGTTGACGCTCAAAATGCCGATGCACGTGGCCATCTGTAGGAAATGACGTCATTTGAACAAGACCTATGTGGTGCACATCACCCTTTTTTTAGTGGATTTTAAAATGTCTCAAAGTTTGAGACAAAAATACAGTCTGCCTTGAGTTGTGTATTCATCAAAGGGCCATTAAAAACCGAGAAAGGAATCTATTTGCTAGGCTAGAGGTGAGGTCTATCACATTTTGGAGATGCCAAATCAACCTGCTATATTCCTCCTGGCCCTTGTCATAACAAACATCCTCATGATCCTTGCAACATGCCTCTCGGATTCCTTCGTCGTTACACTGGGCTCGATCCTACATGTACTTTCGGTCAAGTTCAATTCCCTACAGCCATAATGTATCCCCCATATCTTCTGGCAAACAAATTATCGGCCAGCTCACTAGGTCATGGGTGGGGGAAACAGGTGCGATAAAACAGGTGTAGGCCTACATGCAGCCTGGGTACAGAAAGTCCTGCCCCCAAAAAATTCACAGTTTGCCAGTCTGTTGATGAAGAATGGAAGGGTTTGTTGTCCTTTCCTTCTACTAAGTTGATAGATTTGTAATCTGGGCTCGTTGGGAGCCAGCTGGCAAAAGTGACCTCGCCCAACTTAGCGGGATGAAAAATGGATAAGTTTCCATGGCGATGGAGTCTGGGATGTGGATACAATTCTGTGTATCCAGGAAATGCTGATAGACTGAACAGAATGGTTGGACCATTTATAGAACTGAAGGTGTTTTCCATAATGGTCAATGCCATTCAAGGTAATGACGTCACAAGATTTCTGGTCATAAATTTTGTTTTCTTGAGAAATGAAGCAGTGATAAGCCTTTGAATTAGACTTTCAAGACCTCCACTGATCTTTATTGAAGACAATTTGCTTATTGGATGAAACACTACTTGGATGAGTAAATTATTTTGTTTGTAAACTCACATTTTCAAAAGTATTTTAAGCAGTTAGCAAGTAAAACAAGAAATTGTTCAGCACTTGAAGGCCATTTTTTTGATTTTGAATGTTAAAGTTCTCAAATTTACTTGCCACGAAAATGATATAGTTTAAGGGTTTTTGTAGGTGGGGATGTCGGAAGGGGGGGGGGGGGGGTGGTGGACATGAGAGGCTTCCAAAGATTCTAAGCCAGATGTGAAACTGAAGCTGGTGCTGAAGTCGTGATTGGGAAAATGATGGCAAGTGTTGTACAGTTCATTCAATGCTGTCAATAGAGGGTGCTGTTTACAGTTTCTGTGAGTATTTTTGAGTAGCTATAGACCTCTCTATTGTTTGTAAACATTGAGCGCCAGTTTGTATGGACTGCCGCAAGCGCATAAATTGAAGCCGTGGTTGGCAACATATTTTTCCAAAAAAAGTTCTCATAACACCTCACAACTTTATTTTGCAGCGTTGGTTTTCAACAATCGAATAATATTTTTGTAATCATTAATAACTATTCTTCATTTTTGCAGTGTTGGACCTTCTATAGTTTGGGCAACCCGTGGTTGGCAAAATGTGCCCACCACGCGTCGGCGATAGGAAGGTCTATACAGCCAAAATTCAGCTAGGTTGCAAAAGTCTAAATGGACAGGAAATGAGGCAAAAGAACAGAAACAAGGACATTCGTTTGTTATTTATTTTATCCCCGTTACGTGAGACCCCTGTTACTTGACTTGTGATTTACTTATGACCGGATTTGCGATGGATTCGTGATGGACTCAACCGTGAAATGAGCGGGGTTCAAACGTCCATATAGACCACGCCTCTTCCCTAGGTTAACTAGGAACTTACACTTGTGGTGATGACCTCCTGCTGTGCTGGTCTGCTGTCAGTCCTTCTGACCCAGAGCTGTCGATTCTAGGTAGCGTGCTGGCTATCATCCTGGGCCTGCCGTGGTCCCGATCTCGGTCCCTGTCCCGATCTCTGTCCCGGTCCCTCTCTCTCGGCTTGGCAGGCGGGGGCTCAATGGCCTTGGGCTCTGGCTTCGGCTCGTTGGGTGCTAGTGGAGTTTCCTCGTCTTCTTCTTCAACTTCTTTGAAGACGTTCTCAGCGCTTCCTCGCCTGACGGCTCCAACGAGTCGTCGGAAGAGGGATGGGCGCTAGATTATAGAGAGAGGGGATTCTTGGGTTAATTTCGGTTTCAACTTCAGAATATTAAAAAAGGAATGTCAGATTTTAAGGGAGGCTTTTTGGGCAGTAAACACACTGATTCTTTTTTTGTTTGTTTTGTTTTGGTACATGTGCACAACCACTGACGTTTGATGCCGAGTAGATTTTGAGTAACAATACACGGGGAAAAATACTCAAAACTCATAATACTGAATTACGAATATTGATCATAATTGTTGATATTGATACAGTTAAAGATGATGTCTGCTACAACTCTTCAACTCAAAAGCCTTCCTTTAATCAAACTGCAGTTTCACTCAAAATCAATAAATCAAAGTCAAGATAACACACAAAGGAGGGCATTGATGCTTACAGAGTCATGTCAAGTCTCCAAAAGCTCCGGTATAATTCCACTTACCTTGTTAATTGAAAGACGAATATTTTCATTATTCTATCAAAACCCTGACATAAATTTTGTTGATCAGAATGTCTGTCAAGTCTTTTTTTCACACTAAAATTCCATCTTAAAACTAAGAAGATTTATTCAAAACTCAGATTTCAATTCTGATCAAAGCTTCATCAAACATGTCTGTCATATATTTTTTGCCAAGATTACTTTTACATTTTCAATTTCAAGTATACAATTCCCCTTGAAATTTGAAGTAAAGTTTATTTACTTGATTCTTTTGATGGTTTAATGGGTAATAACTGAGAACAATTTTACGGAATTTATTCTTCAGACAGAGCAAGAATCTTCCAGTTTTATCTTTATTCTTTACTGGGGTGAAGTCCGAGGAAAAACATCTTTTAATAAAAATGTCTTGCTAGAGATTGTGCACAACAGTCTCCTTTAAAGATGTTGAAATCGTTAACATCTACGAAATGCACATCTCAGAAAAGGAGAAATAGAAGAACAAATAGAAAATGGAAAAGTAGAGAATATGTGAGACCACACGATCTGAATTCAATGACATTATGAACTAGAAAGGAGAAGACTAAACACAAACAAATGAAGGGCGTAGAGGTAAAGTGAAATGGGAATAACAGACAGATAAACACAACATTAGGCAGAGGAAAGGAACATTACGGAGCTTGATTAGTCGGATGGAAAATGTTGTTATACCGGCCGCTTCCTTCCTCAGATTGAGGATGTGGTTAACTGATTGAAAACACACTCAAGGATACCTCACTTTACTTGACTTCAAGCAAAACAAGGACTGTTTAAAAAGTCGAAATGCCTCAGCAAGAAGTCAGACATTTCAACTTCATTTGACTCTTTTTTTGGGGGGGGGAGGGGGGTGTCAGGATCTGTTGCTAAATGGATTTAAGTCCTACTTTGTGAGGTGGTTCAGATCCCACGTTATTTTTTACAAGTGTAAGATGTTTCACAAGGTCGGATCCAGAACACCATTTTTTTTGGGGGGGGAGAGGAGAACAAATTTGGTCCTTCAAAAAGTGGGTCCAAAATATTACGGCCTGGGTTCGGTGCCCACTGGTCCCTGAATTTTTTTGGAGTCTAGATGCTCTGTGGTGCGATCTAAGACAATTTCTGACCACTTTAACCAATTTTGTTTTAGGAAAAAGATTGTGGTGTACGAAGTGCCTGCCTTTATTGCAACATCACTTTAAGAAAAATGGGTTGGGGAGGGGGGGGGGGGAGAGTTGGCCCCCTCTGGATCCACCCTTGATATTGCATTCATAACTTTGTGTTAACAATACTTTTAATTTCACAAATCAGGAATGCAAGGAATACATGTTTTTGAATTTTTATGACATACTTAAACAGTTTGGATTTTCTGCAGTGAAACTTTTAGGGAAATTGAATCAACATTTCTTCAATGTTATCAAATTTGTTTTTTTAACAAACATGTTCTTTATCACTGGAGATATAATTGTATTGAAAGTTCAGTTTTCAAAGAGAAATGTTACAAATACAGAAATTATGAAATTAAATAGATAGGTTTGAAACATTAAAGGTAAAAAGGCAAATAAAATGACAAAATCATTAGGAGTCTCAAATATGCATGCGATTAGTATTGAAAGGGATGTCATACAAAGAACGTACCAACAAAATGAACTAAAAGTCAGTTGGCTGAAAGAATCAAGAAAAATGTGTCTCTTTTTCTCAAGTGTCTGGAAAAAAAAACTAATTCTACAAGAGTGAAGATTTAAAGTGCTAAGTTCTAACAGGAAGAAAAAGTGTTGTCAAGCAAAAGGTGAATTAGAGTAAAAAGACTTTAAAAGTTCCGAACAAAGAAAAGTAATGATTAATCTTTGGAGGAAAAAAATGCACAATTTAAAAACATTTTCATTTTCTTACAAAAAAAAGCTTCCAAAAATTAAAGAAAAAATAAATCTATGAAAATGTGTGAAATGTAAAAATGCTTTGTACTTAATTTGTCTCAACTACAGACTAGAACTAGAAACTAAGAGAAAATTGTAAAAGTTGTGGGAAAAAAAGAGTGAAGAAATTTGAAAAGTGAGGAGGAAATCTGTGAGTGGAGACGGTGGAAAGATGTTTACCTTCTGAGCAGCCTGGATAAACTGCAGAATGAGTGTAGGAAAAACAAAATGAGGGGAAAAAATAACGGGAAGTTTGATGAATGTGGTTGGGGGGCAACTCATGCATTAGTTATGAGATTAAATGAATATTCATGCAAATTTTATCGATCAGTGGTGGGTGGGCGGGGTTTAAGGACAGGACATTACTTATTGATGTCTGGTGATGAGGCACGGATTGGAAGTTAGTAACATTGCCGTCTACAATGTAGCCAAGAATACGTTTGGAGAAGTGTCTAAAGGGGATGTCGGTCATTAGATGTGGGAGGAAAACCCCAGAGATATTTCTGAGGAGCATTCCACTGGGAGCCTACTAACTAATCCCACTGGTGTACAAGCCACTTCACTACTGATTGACGACACTATAGACCATGCCACCTATGATGCCACACCGACAGACAACCCAAACATTCAAGCATCTTTTGAATATTAATTTGCTCACATCAAAGGTTTTATGTCACGACTTTTATAGACCACTCACATTTCAAGAGATATACAAGCAGTGTCCGCAACTTCAAATTTTGTGTACGAATGCGACAAGGTCTACAATAACATTCTTTGGAGTTATAGTTCTAGTGTTTCTTCAATTCAAGAAATAGTGACTAACTACAATCTTAGCTCCCTAACAAATTGATGAGGAGAGGTATCTTGTCCAAAATTGTTACCCTTAAGGTTTTCCACACTAGAGCCTCTCAACCCAGGTTGAACTCAACCCTGGGCGAACCCAGTGCCGTCACCCCCGGTTAATTTTCAAAAAAATGTTCAACCCCACGTTCAACTCTGCATCGTTTCACACTTGTTGCATGCAAACTGAGCTTATGTCCCTCGGTGTACTACTGATTTGAACCCTGGTGAGAGTTTAAACCCGGGTTGAAAATCTCAACCCTGGTCTGGAAAAGGGTTGAGTTCAACCCAGGGCAAAATCAATCTCAGGGTTGACGCAGGGTTGACAACTTTCAAGTGTGAAACACCGCATGTTTTCAACCCTGCGTCAACCCCATGTCAACACCAAGATTTTGTCTAGTGTGAAAAGGCCTTTTCTGCCCACCCGACACCATGGATGCAGACTATCCAAGTTACTCCACCCCTCTCCAGTTTCCAAGCTTTTCAGGAACTTTAGTCATGCCACATTTTGGGAAAAAAGACAGGATACAATAGACTATTGTTGCGTTGAGTGTGAGAAGTACTCAACAGATTTTGATATTGCACTTTTAAAAGTGACAGAGAACATCTTTCAAAGTAATTGTGAAAGTGATCACTTTGTGACATATATACTTAGGGTTAAAATTGAGTAACATGCACTCGCTGGAGTTTGCTTGAAAAGTAGATTTTATTCCCCCCCCCCCGAGTTTTAAGGAGTGAAACATATCTTTAAAAGTTCCTGAGTGCAACTTGAACAATGTGAGTGTCATTCAATTTCACAGCATTACTCTACAACCATTGTTTTGAGCGAAATTATAATCATAATGCTGGAAACAATTCAGAGAAAATAAGTTAATCTTTATAAGTTAGTATTTTTGATGAGACTCTATAAATTATTGAAAGTTCAACAAAGTGCTTAAAAGAGTGTTAAATTTAAAATCACTGCAAACAAAAACAACAACAAATTTTGACCTCACTTCAACCAGTCAACAAATTAAGTCATCATCCACAATCTGTAAATATGTTTGTATGTCAACAAATCAACAACTTCCCTCCACCATGACAAATAGTGTTTCGCTTTACCACCACCAAGAGTAGACCAAAAGACTCCAAGAAACTAAACTACAAGTGTTTCTCCTCTACGCTAAGCAATCAATGCGCTCTAAGTCAAATACCAAATCAACCACAAGTTGCTCAGACGTCCCGTCTCCCTCCTTGATCTCTATGGCGACCAGAACAAGGATGCCAATCTGCTGCAGGTTACCAGTGGCTCCAGCTGGTACCCGGCACTGCACAGAGGTTAAGCTTCTTCCTTTGTCCATGATTACATACACAATTCAAATGGCTGGATGCGAACCCATCACCACTGAGCTACGATTACAGAAGCTATCAACTAGACCACATGAAAAGGAAAAAAAAACTGAGCCCATCACCAACAAGAAGACAGAATCCAAGATGATGGAGAGATAAAGATGTCTGCCTCCACCGCATGCCGACTCACAGGACGCTGGAGAAAATCACCGTTGCCACGACAACATCCTGATGTACAGGTATCATTTACAGTCTTTATTAACAATTTCAACATCCAAAACCCAAATAAGTCATAATACATACTGATATTCATCTTAAATTTCATTTTCTTAAAGGCACATTTAAATGATACAATTCAGATTAAGAATTTGAGCTGATATTGCTCCAACATGATATGAGGTAACTGAAAAAATGTATCAAGTTTTAAACTTAAAAGATAAGCTGTGTAAGACAGCTTATCTGTTTACACCAAAAAAAGAGAGAGACGTACTACACATGTACAAACTGCATAATGTGGCCACTTGTTCTCACAATGGCCAGTATAAAAAGTTTCATATTTTTCATCGCACAGTAATAACACCATTATGAATGTGAGTTCATTACTTTTAGTTTAAGATAGATTCAGAAGGATTAAGAAACTAGTCCCTGCAGAATCATCCAAGCAATGGAAAAAAATACATGAAATCATGCCAACGTTATTTCAACTCCTTCAATTCTGTCTGCAGGATACTAATGGAGTACCGAAGTGAATACGTCACGCGCACAAAACGTGTGTAAAAGGCATTAGCGCGTGACTCAGCCCGTGAACCAACACGCGTGCGTACTCCATTCGTTTGCACTACACTTTCTAAATGACGTCAAACTTCTGTACTTCATACCCTTTGAGGAGTGCTATCAAAAGTGGAACTACACTTACTTTAAAGACACTTCAAAATTTCCCAGTTAAATATTACCAAGGGATATATTCCCCCCCCCCACCCCAACCCCCAAAAAAAGAACCCTCGGAAATCCAGGTTTATGCCCCACGTTTACTACCTCTTGCCGTTGGATAAAAAGTAAATAGTGATTTCAGGATATATATTGCTATTTCTCCAAATAGTATCACCAAACATTTGACGGTTATCTGAAAAACACTCTCAGACAATAACCTTATATGATACTACATCTTTTTACAGTAACCGTGGCAATGGTAAATGGAAGTATAAAAAGAATGGTTTTCTGAATATCTCTAAATTGCATTTTTTTAAAATGGCTTCATTGCAAACATTCACTTCTCTGTGCTCTGCCACTAAATCTTATATCTCTGATACAATATTTATAAACAATCCAAATGAAAACATGTAACAAATAACAACAAAACAAACAACAAACAGATATAAACAGTAAACAAACAAAACAAGAGAACAATTACGGTAAATGTGACTATCACAATGTCCCTTCTTATTCCCATATAAAAGTAAACATAAACGGTTACTGCATAACTTTATCAGTTCTATCTTGGAAGACGTCATGATCTTGTTGTTTTATTTAAGGCTTCATGAAAGAAGCATTAAATGGCAAAAAAAACCAAAAATAAACTTACAGGACTATATCTAAAAATGTTTCCCTAAAACCAAGTTATATTTTCTAACGATTACTGTACAGTTAACTGCTGAATAGCTAAACTTAATTTTTTTATCATGAATGATAAAAAGTGTTGCCAGGTCTAAGTTATTTTCCTACATTTCATTTTGTATGTAAGGACTTCTGATTTTGTTTCCGAGTAAACGAACAAAAATCTCTACTTCATATGTTGAATTAATGTGGAATAAAGTAATAAATTCCCTACCAATTACGTTCTGTTGGTATTTCAAAAAGTATTTCAACAGGACTGAGTTTACAAATTTACAACAAATGCAGGGAATACTTAAATATCATGTAAACTATACAACAACAAAAAATAAACACAAACAATAGCAAATATGACACAAACTGAAAGACAGTTGCATAAATACATCGATATATTACACATATTTCATTCTATTTCCATGAGTTATATTTAGCATTATCAACAAATAATGCATCATGAAAAGAATCAAAACAAAACTACAAAAACAACAACAAAAGGAACGAATTGGATAAATTTAGAAAATATAAAAGGTTTCTTTCTTCTTTTTAGGATTGCCACCAAGCAATACCTGCCTTATAATATTATCTTTGGATACAAATATTAAAATAATTGTGACTTTATACACCTCTCATTTGGAAATATACATATGTAAAAAAACTTGTGCAATCAATTTCACAACTTCTTTGACTTCAGAATCATTATGTTAAGTCCCTAAGTTTCTTTTTTCTCCTAACACCACTAAATGTAATGCGAAATAATCTGAAATCAGCGGTTAACCATGGTACCAAGGAAAAGGTCAAAGGTTACCAACTAGTGATGCCCTAGAAGAATGGAAAGTTTGCAGAAAAACAAAGAGGGGTGAAAAATATTGAGGTGACCCTGGAAAAACCAACCCAAACCTGTACGATGAACAAGACTTTCTGGTGAATGGCCATGCATGACATGTTGAAAAACTGAACCGTAACCGTGAATACATCTGCATAAAATTTGAATACATCAATTCAATGGAGTGAGTTCCTGCAAATCACATGACTACTTCCAGGTCACAGTTAACGGACCATTTCTGACTGCTCAGCATACCATGACAGATTGGCAATTTTTATGCTTGATGCCTTGAAAAAAACAGTTTCAGCAAGAGCCATATCAGTAGAAATCATTGTTTGCTAAGTGTTTTGGTATTAAAACAAACAAGAAACTCAGGCAAGTCACAATAATCGATTGATCCTGCTGAGTAAAAGGGAAAAATGATTGCAGTAGAATGAATACAAGGCTGAAGAAAAGATTGATTCGGCCAAGGAAGAGTGGAGCTGAAAACTGTAGCAAAGCAAATGGACGGGGCCATGGATGGGTGGGGCAGGGATGGGTGGGGCTGGGACATGTGGGGCGGGTATAGGTTGGGCCAATGAAGTGTGGGTCCATGGAAGGGTGGGGCCAGAAATGGATGCAGCCATGGAAGGGTTAGGTAAGTGAAGGGTGGAGCCACAGTATTTGGGGGAGGGGGATGCTAGCGAAGGGGTGGGGGTGGGGCTAGGGAAGGGGGGGGGGGGCTAGGAAAGGCTGGGGTAATGGAATGGTGGGTCCATGGAAGGGCAGAAGGCCACGGAAGGGTGGACCTAAGCTAAGCTAACGTAGGTTGGACCAATAATGGGGAGGGAAATGGCTGGAGGATGGATGGAGAGGTTTTGAAGGGAAAGTAGTAAAAGGAAGTTGGTTCATTGCGGGCCGGGAAATTGGAACTAGGAATTGGGTACCAAAATTTGTATTTGCATAATCTGTCTCAAAATAAACTAGCAAAGGCCGAGCAAGTTATCGACTGTCATAACGGCAGGGTATTGGGTCAGTATCTTCATGGTTTCCATGGCAATCTATCAAATTAGCAATATTTATGTCTTATTCAATTTGAAACAGAGAACATACAGCAATCGAAATACTTGGTAATCTATATTTTAAAGCTTACAATCACCATTAGAAAAAAATACTAACATAACGTGAAAATGACTGTGGAATGAGTGTTTTTAAACACTTGTCAATATTCACAAATGTTGAAAAGACATTTTTTTCAAGGGAATTTAAGGCAACTCTTTTGAGACAAATTTAAAATATCTGGCCATCAGAGGGAACATGCAGGTAGGGTTGAAGAGGAGGCAAGATGGTTGACCAAGCCTTCACCTGACGTTACGCAATGGCATCCTGGGGAAAAACCACACCCGTGCTCATTAAACTAAACAAAAAAACACTTAAAGACAAAAAATCAAACAACTTCACATTAAAGACAATTATTCAATAACAAACAAATGTACAAACTCCCATAAACAAGAACAGTAGATCTGGGCAGGGGAAAGGTTTATGACAACGATCAATTGTGAAGTCAATTTGCTTAAAAACAGTGTTTTTGTCAACACCTTACTTTTTAGTCACTTTAGCTCAACAAATGAAGCTCAAAGTTAATTCAATTTCTTAAAAATTATTTATAAATACATTTTTGGTCTTAAAGTATACGCATCTTCCCTTTTTACAATATATACAAGCATAAACCTTTCCATCCCCCGACTGGACAAAATGGTATGATCCGAACCATAATAATTATAAAACGTAACATGGAAGATCCCATTGTGGTGCAGGTGTGATCTGGTGTTAGATGCTGGTTTGTGATGCCCTCTGCCAGTGGAATGATAAAGCATGAACATTTCAAGAGAAAAACGTGGGAAGCAAATGAGTTAGAAATTAGATCCTTCAGTTAAAAATACAGGTTCATGTATATGACCAGGAATTAAAAATCAGTTGTATTTTTTTCTTGTTCATTCATTACTTTTAAAACAGAAGCAGAATTTTGCAATTGAATTTCACCCTGTGTCTACAAATACATGTACCTGTATTTTTTACAAACTAATTTTTTCTTTCATAAAATGAAATTGTTAAAGCATGATTTGTGCATATCCCAAGAAGAAATGTTTTAAGTGGCAACTTTTGGAGACAATTTCATGGCAGTGTTTAACCATTTGCAAAAAAAATCTTTGGAACAGTACAGAGATCACAATAATAATATGCACGCTTCATTCAAACGCTTCATTGTTCTGTTGCTTCAATATACTGCAAAAAATATGCAGAAACAATATAGTATCCAGACGCCACTTTGTTGGTTGTGTACAAAGTCTATGGAGAGTTGAGTGCATTTTCAAAGTATTTTCTAACAAAATTGGAAATGTTTCTCAGTCCCAGATTCATGTAATTTCAACATTTTTGCAATGACTGACCTTCATAGAAATAATGATGAAAAAAAGTGGCATCAGGATGCAACATTCTTTCCAAATGTGCTTGTTCCTTAAGGTCTCCATAAAATAAACAACGGTAATGCTTGCAAAATATCACGTGCCTAGCACTGCCATAAAATTGGGCTCTAGTGGAGTTTGTAATCAACCCTATTTCTCTAAAAGGTCGTTTGAGATATGAACAAGGTGAGTGATGATTCTCCTGCAGATGTAAAGAAATGAGAAATTAGGACAGCCAGGAGAAAGGATGAAAGATACCGCCACCTGTGATAAAAAGAGAACTATGCAGGATGAAGAGAAAGATTTCCCTCTACCAAGGAAGCAGAGACCTAGAGATTTGTTAAACTACACCTTTGTAAAAGTGATTCCAACTTGGCTCTGGAATACGAAGAATAACTAGCCATTACTTTTGAGTTTGGATAAGTAGTTATTGAAAGGAAAATCTACAAATCTAGGCATGACGATTGCAAGTTTGCACTGGAATATGATTATTCGAAAGTGCCGACTAAATATCAAACAATATTGTGCTTCCATAATACGCTTCAAATGAAATTTGTTTTAACAATTTGCCAGAAACGGCTAATTGACATATTCTTGAAAATCAGACAAAACTTTTTTTTCAATTCATGATTGTGCTCACATGTAGGAGTTATACAAATACTTGACATTTATTCACAGATAATTCATAATAAAAAGCGTAAAGTGTATAAGACTGTACTTCAGTATAGAAGAATTAATTGGCATTTGTATTATCCTGGTCTACAATTCTATAAACTAACATAATTTGCATTTTATTGATCGTTAGTACACAATTCAAAGATCTCTTTTCAATAAAGAATGTTAGTACACGATGTAATGCCCTGTGTATCAGTTTTCCCCTACAAGTATGACCATATACCATCAAGAAAGAGCGAGGCATGAGAAAGGCTACATTCTACGGAGAGCGAGGCATTAGGAGTTAATGAGCGACTTTTTTAAGCATGGAGGTTTCGGCTAGACAAATACCTCGTGAACTTTCTGTCTATGATGTATACCATCCACAGTAGGGATCTGTAACGATGTCACTCCACCGCGGCCTCGGACCTTTCGAAGGTACTCCATGCGCTTCTGGTATCGAAGCTGTCATTTTTTTTTTAAATGTCGAAACAAAAGAGAAGAAATTCAGCATGGTTTAATTTTAAACATCTATATTTTATTTGAAATGAAACGTTTAACCTCGGTTTGTAAACCTGGAAGTTGCTGGACCCTGTAAAGATAAAATTGCATGAAAGCAAGTTTTATTATTATTTTAAGAAGTTACCAAAGAAAGAAACAAGGGAATTGTCAGCAAGAATTAGAAGATGACACAAGACAAATCCAGGATGCTCCAATTTATAACTGGCAAGATAAGGCATACAAACAAGATAATGCGTAGCATGGGAGCATCTTGATCCATAACACGCATTATTTCTCATCTACCAACAAGAGACAACTCATCAGATTTCTGTCAAAGACGACCATCTCATGAAAGCGGTCAGTCCAGAGTTTGTTATTTAGAACATGCTTGGACATTTCTTTCAAACACCTCAATACCAAGCAGAAACGTCCAAATTTATCCTAAAATTCTATTCAACAACCCAACACTACGACTGCTACAATGACAAAGCTACAGCTCAAACATCCCAGATGGGAATTGAAGAAAGACACTAACACCCATCGCCTCAATCTCAATCCGTTCAAAGAGAAACATCGTCATGGCAACCGAGGAAGCAGAGCAGACGAGGAAATAAGGAAAGCCACTACGAGTAGACTGGAAAACAGAAGCAGTATGCGACACTTCTGGAGCAGTCACTGAAAGTCCACACAGACAGTCGGCGATAATTCTCAATTGGTCGCTATTCTCAAATGGTCACGAAGGGAGAAAAAAAAAATCAGTGGACTTTTGAACTGACATCCACCCAACTAATCACTCAGGGTTGCTCATCCACACAATGGTTGGGGATATCAACTATCGACAGTTGTGGATATTGGCAACAAACCTCATGCTGTTTTGGTTAGTCACGCATGAAAGCTTCATTTGCATTCACACTACATTTTAGCTTCTGTGCATAAAAAATAGAGAAAAAAAGTCAGATTCTTTGCACTTTGTCATATTGAATTGCAAAAAAAGTTGTTAATTTGAAACAAAAAATTAAGAAAGCATGTCAGCTGTGGCCAAACAAAATGTTTCTCAGACTCAACAAAGCAGTTAATTTTGTGTCTAGAAAAATATGGAAAACATTTGTGCGGCACTTTTGAAAGCTGTAATTAGTGTGAACGACAAAAATCAGAACAATACATTGACTCAAATATGCACAAGGATTCAACCGTTAATTATTGTGAACAATTGTGCACGGCAATCAGATATGGTCTCGGTTAAAAAATAGCCCGAAATAACTACATTTCTGAATCTGTTTGTGAAGATTTTCTGGTAATGAACGCTGTTGATGTTCATATAGGGATTGGCTCGGTAGTGCTTCTGAAATATTGCCAGCTCCTATATAAAAGCAAGGGGAGTATAAAAGGAAAGGAATGGGGGGTAAGCACATGCAAATTCATGCAAATAATATGCAAATTGTATGCAAATTAGTGAAAGAAAACAGCAAGCAGTTAGCTGGGCACACAGAAAGGACTGTTATAAATCAAACAAAGCAAAAATGAAAACAGCTTAAAATGACATAAATATAATATTTTGCAACTGAATTTATAAATGCCATTGTTAAGAAAATGCCTTTTGAAAAACTTCAAAAGCAGGTCACGTTAACCAACAATTGATTCTGAAAAAATTGTGAACAAAAATTTAAGAAACTAAAATGTCAACTATCAACTTGCTTTATAAACAAACATGTGGTTGGCAATTTTTGTTTGAAAATCAATTGAAAAATGAAGCAAACTTTAAATTAAAAAATACTGCTGCTTGTTTTGCTGGAAAACGAGAACAAAAAGGCGGAATATCTGATTGGGAAATTTAACAAAGTGAAATATTCTTTGCTATATTCTGAAAATGGTGAAATCGTCATTAAGTGTGCAGGGTTTCAAAACAGATTTAGATTCATACAGGTGAAAGCACTGCAAAAACTAATCATGATTATTTCTGCATGGTTATTGATCGTTAGTAAAGTTTCCCAAAGTGATATCTTTACTTTTAAAACTTGTGGACTTTAATAGTTTTGTGAGAACAACACGATTACACGACAGGGTTGATGTTGAAGAAAACCTCTTGGTAAGAATGATAAAAGAATCACCAAGTACCTTGGAATTTATGGATAATTATTCTAAAAAAAAAGAAGAGTGAAATACCCTTTTTTCCCATGAAGACATTTTGTATTGTGGTTCTTTTAAATATTTCACTATCAAATTCCAACCTCAAATTTACTGTCACCTGAAAACAAATGGGAGTTTCAGTTGAAGTCCCTAATCGATAAGAGTTCCACAAATAACCCCCCCCCCCCAAAAAAAAGGTCCAAGATATCAAAACACAGACTAAGATCTGCATCAAGATTGTAGGAATGTTCTTACAAAGAGCTCGCTTTCTTTGTTTATTAAGAAAAGCTGTGAAGCACGGCAATCACACAGCAAGTGCCTTTATAAGTCTGGGAAAGAATCTGGTTGGGTGCGCTGGACTGAAATCTGTGCCAAACTTGTCTGATTCTAGACAGATATCACAATATTTACTATAACTTCCATCAGCTGTAAGAGTGAAGTGATGCAAAGCAAAAAAATATGAAAACAACATTTATTTTAGAAGTCTGAAAACAAAAAGGAACTTTAATTTCAAATCACACATTTGGGACAAAAATGTAATAAGAGTTTTGTTTCTGGGGTTGAAAATAAAAACCAAATCTTAAAGGCTCGAAGACTGGGACCACAGAGAGGAGGTAGACAAACAAATATCTAAATAATTTTAATCTGTTGGTTTATTTCTTGTTTATTTTGCTGTTTTTGCTGTTGTTGTTGTTATGTTTACGTTTTGGTGATGTTGTTACTAGTGCTACTTTGTTTTTGTTGTTGTTATTACTGCTACATTGTCACTAACGCCTTTTGGCAGCCTTTTTTTCCTTCTTATTTTGTTGATCTTGTTGTCTTACCGTTCTAGCGTGACCGTCTCTCTGTAGTTTTGCCTTGTATTCTCTCCACGTCTCATAGATCAGTAGAGCGGCGTAAATCTTACCAACGGTCAGTTTTTCTCCGATTAACTCTATCCGGGAAAAGAAGAAAAAAAACAAAGATGAAAAAACTATATCTGTCCTTGGCTTGTTTAAGATAAGTTTTGAAATGTACAGTTCTGATTCTCCTTAGGTGTAGAAAGACAATGTTTTCCGTTACGTTGCAGTTCTTAAGTTTTTGCAATGTCTAATACCCAAATACATGAACTCAAAATCCTTAGACTAATTAGAACTTTGAAATTTAATATTTTTCCTCCATAAATGACACAAATGGTTACAAAATGCGACTTAAATATGTAATATTATTTTAAAGCTGGGCATTTTTATTCCCTGCAAGCCTTCTGACAAAACTGAGTCTACTGGGCTTATAAATATACGTTGGCGAAGGGCAAAACCCCCCCAAAACTTTACATCTCTCCGACGAAAATTCTATCTCTCATAAAAGTCTGAAAGGGATTCTTTTCTAATCTCGAAAGGGGAAGACTTGGATTTGACCCCAGGACATATTTGTTCTCTTACCACTGTCTGGAGGGACCAGCAAATCTAGCTTTTCAGCGTTCAACGTGGGCCAGAAATTCTTGACAGCCTCCCTCAGCTCACGATCGTGACGATCTCTGTCGGAAACTAAAAAAATGCGTGTAACGGACACACAAAACAATTAAACAAACATGCTTTCAAAATATCAAGACATTATTTTAGGACTGTATGTAGACTTGACCTGGGAGCCATTATCAAATAAACAAAAAATGAGACATGCAACAGGCAACCACTTGAGCTGAGGCATGTTCAACTACGGACGAAATTCTAACCTAAATACAGCGGTGGGAACTTTGGTTTACCATAATTGGCCCATCGTTGCTAAAACCAATGCCAGTCAACTATTCTTGTCAATAATCCAGGGTTATGCAACACCTGAATAAATCCCCGTCATCTGACTTGAATTATTCGTCCCAACCATGGACATATAATACAACCTAGACACAACATTTGCCATCACATCTGTGAGCAAAATGCTGCGCGTATAGGATATTTCAACCAAATCCCACTAGTACCGTACGCAGCCAAATCGTCGGCTGGGTGCTTACGTACGTGCATTTATGCGCCTGAATTGAAGCAACATGACATTCGCGCATCTCATAACATATTGTCACAGGCCGCGTGATGCAGCCTGTTTTGCTCACACAATTCACAATGTAAAAGCAGTTAATGTGGGGTCTAGGCTTTATTAGATGTCGATGGTCCCAACGCATGGCGTGGCCGCACAACAAGAATAGAAGTTTTGTTCCACGGTAAATGGAAGCTCCATTGCACGGTCACACTTTTGGCGGCCCTGACCAATGAGATGAAGAGGATTTATTCAGGTGGTGTATAAAACAAACAATGAATGCTTCACATTCGTGCGATGGAAGGAATAAATGCATTCGGGAACAGATGGAATGTTCCATTCCACTCGGCTTCTCCTCATGGAATGGAACATTCCATCTGTCACTTCATGAAATTATTCTTACCATTACACTCATAACTGGGAGTCAGGTTGGCGTAGCGGTACTTTCCTCGCCTTCCACCGCTGTGACCCGGGTTCGAATCCCGCCTGGGCCAATATGTGGATTGGGTTTTCAGTCCCTGCCTGATTCCGTGGGTTTCCCCAGCATATTCTTCTGGGCTTTTCCTCCCGCCTCTAAAACTGTAACTTCTTCTCATTGTCTTCTCTCCACAGGTTTCTTCAGGCTTGCGAGCTACAGTGCCTAGGGCGCTTTTGAGGAATCCTTGGTTTCATTACCAGAAATGATTAATAATAATAATAATAATAAACATGCAATATTTGTATACCAGGCGACCGAGGTTGGTCACGTCACTGGTTCCAATAGTCCCACTCATCAGAATCCACTGCGGGGAACCAGGACTAAGATATGTGTATCTTGGTAAAGCGAAATATCCACCTACCCTGTCCTATCTTGATGTCTAGAGCCGTGCGTATCAGGGCCATCAGAGTGGTGGTAAAATGCACCGTTTTATCTTCGGCGACGGGCATGTTCATTCGTATCAGACGCTGACGGGGAAGAAAGAACAAAAAATGTCACACTCTCAAATCGAATTTCCAAGATTCGAAAGAATGTAGTATCCAGACGCCACTTCTTTGGTTGTGTACAAAGTCTATGGAGAGTCGAGTGCATTTTCAAAGTATTTTCTAACCAAATTGGTAATGTTTCTCAGTTCCAGATTCACGTCTTTTCAACATTTCTGCAATGATTGACCTTCACTGAGATAACATATGATGGTAAAAAGTGGCGTCAGGATGCAGCATTCTTTCCCCAAGATTTCTTTTTAAGACTTAGATTAGTGAATGGAATTGCGGACAATTCAACAGAAATAAAAATTTTTAAATTGGTGTTTGTGTAACAGTACTCAAAGTTTTTGAGAAATATGCATAAAATGTTCAACTTTATCAAATGGGGGAAATGAAGTTGAACTCAACTATTTAGATGAAAATGGATGAGACATCAAGTATTTGATTTACCTTGTAAGCGATTCTGTAGGGGCAATTCCGACCAAACCCAACCGGGGGCTCCATTGTCCGCAGCATCTCATACATGTCTTTGTAGTGTAGACGACCACTGAAACATACAATATCGATTACATAAAATGACAACAGCAAGAGTTATCTAAAATGAATCCAACTGACAAGACAGTCAATGTCTCATGGCTGGACGCCATTATTCTCACAAGGAAGTATAAATCTTAAAATTAATGTGGCCTGACGTTGCGAACTTAGCAAGTTCTTCTTCAGAGGCTAAAACTTAGCAAGTTCTTCTTCAGAGGCTAAAAGGAAGTATAAATTTACTGAAGCTGGATTCGAACCTGTCCCTTCCATAATACCTTGCTGGTGCTCTATCTACACGCTGAGACTCACTCAGCGATTGAGTAGTAAATACTCACGTTCCCGCAGGTTCCAACTCTCCCCAGACACGCACATACTCGTCCAGGTGATGGGCACCCAGGATCGAAGCGTCGCGAGTCAAATAGTCAAAGTTGTCCATGATGACGGCCACGAAGAGATTCAGCATCTACAAACCAGACAAGATATCCACAATGGTGAGAAGTTATTCCTGAAATGTCTCCATTTTGGGACAAACATGTAACGAATATTGACATCACCAGCACCAGACTCATGTTCTTGTGTTTCAGAGGCAACAGTGACGTGGGTTCGAGCCCGCCGGGTGACACTTGTGCTCTTAAGCAAGGCACTTAACCATTATTGCTTCGTCCTTTGGATGGGACGTTAAGCCGTAGGTCCCGTGTGTTGCATAAATGCACGTAAAGAACCCAGTAAACACTTATCGCTAAGAGAAGGGGTTTGCCCCGGTGTTTCTGGCCTCCTGTATAAACTCCCACGTGGAGTATTTAGGAGAAGAACCAACCAACCAAGAACCAACATCAGTATTGTCTACGTTCCATTTGGGCCTTCAGTGCATCACTTGTTGATCACAACCGTAGCCAAGAGATTCCTTTGTTATTGTTCATCCCATGTTACTTGTTGCAGGACGTGTGAACTAACTTGTGATCTACTTGAGACCAAGGGCGGATCCAGAACGCACTATTTTGGAGGGAGGGGGGGGGGGTTTCAAAAAAACTTTGGTCTCCCAAAAAGTGGTTCCAAATTTGTTGGGATTCTAGATGCTTTGTGGTGCGAACTAAGGCAATTTCTGACCACTTTAACCACTTTGAGACCAACGGCGGATCCAGAACAAAATTTTTGGGGGGCCAAATTGTTTTTTAGTCCCCCCAAAAAGTGGGTCAAATTTTTTTTGGGGGGGGGGGGATTCTAGATGCTCTGTAGTACGAACTAAGGCAATTTCTGACTACTTTAACCATTTTTTTAAATAAAGAAAAGTGGTGTACTCAGTGCCGTCCTTTATTGGACGTCACTAACAAAATCAAGAAATTGGGTTCATTTGGGGGGGGGGGGGGGGGGCGCCATGGCCTGGGGGGGCATGCCCCTGTTGCCCATCCCCCTGGATTAGCCCTTGCTTGAGACCGGACGCGTGATGTACTTGTGATCAACCTCATCTTTGGACTACTTACGAGGAAAGAGCAGAGGAATATGAAGGAGACGAAGTAGGCGTAGGACAAGACCGAGCCGCAGCCGTATTTCTCTTCTTCGGTGGCTGTCGCAGGAATACTCTCTGGATGACATTTACTACCCTGCGCGCAGGCTAACATGATACCCTGCCAGCTTTCACCTGTCGCACACCTGTCAATCAATCAAAATTGTTTAGGGGGTTACTAATTAACCACCTGTTATGTCATGATGATCGTGTTGCGTCAATGGCAAACCTAAGGCCATGTAGCTGCTTAGCATGGACATTTGCACACTAAAAAACATGTGTTAAGAAAGCACTATTTTTTGACTGACTGAGCCTACTTCAGTGGCAAAAAATTTGAGAACCATAGAAAAATAACAAGGGATGCCAAGGGTTCAGCATGCACTCAGGCACAATGTGACACTTCCACAGGGATAGCGAGAACTTATTGATGCAGACATGGTGTTGTAAAACATTTAAACGAATTATAAGTGGCAAAAATGGATACCGTCCCAAAACATATCGTGTTATCCCTAACATTTCTAGTTGAATAGACCTAATGAGACATAATGACAACACACCTTAGCGTGCGCTCTCTGGCTCTCATAGGAAAGCACCCATGTAAACAAAGCGTATCATCTTTATGTCTCAGGTCTATTGTGAAGGATCTGACACGTTACAAATGGCCAACTTTCATTTTATTCTATCCCCACTCCACATTTTGTAACCCTCTTTCGAAATGAAGGTGTGTCATTCTATAAATTTACGGTCCAAAGTGTGACATCTTCCCTGTCCCTGTTACCTTGGTACTTTGTAATTGGCCATTCAAGTCTCATTAAGAATGACTTCAAACGATTTTATTAATTTGTAAGGTGGATACTTTGCTACTTATAATCACTCTTGGAGGACGACTGCATTAAGGAGTGCATCAGAATTGTAAAACCATAGAAGTGAGATGTAACAGGGATAGGACACAAAAGTGGACACCAATTGTATACAATGGCCAAGGTGTTTGTGAGTAGAAATACTTGCAATAAGCCATTTGTGAATTACATTCGAGTTACATCTGGTACCCTGACTTGGTCGAATGCTTGGCACATTTTAACTTTGATTTCTCCAGACCAAAGAGACTGTTGCTATATCACGTGATTCGGGGCAAGCCTTACGCTAGCAAACCCCAGCTTCGGCATGGTCTGGTGCCTTTGTGCCATTCTCACCCAATGACAGCAATGTATTGATGCTGAGTGTCTCTCACGTAACAATGCAAGAGCTTGCCCCGAATCATGTGATATAGCAACAGTGTCTTTGGTCTGGAGAATTCAAAGTTAAAACGTGCCAAGCATTATGAGCAAGTCAGTGCAACAAATGCTATTCAAATTTAACTCGCAAAGGTATTATTGTTATTCGCAAATGACTTTGCATGACAAGTATTCAGATTGGAAATCTGAATATTCATGGTATTCAGATTAGAAATCTGAATATTCATGAGGTATGTTTAATGGTGGTTGATGAGGTGCAGTGATAAAGGGAAGAAACAGCCATAGCAACGAAAAAAATCATGCAAGCGGGGGAAAACAGAAACTGAAAGTAAAAGATCACGCGGTAAGCTTCCGGAACTCTCGCGCGGCCCGCCTATGGGCATTTTACACTAGGTAGCCCTTTCTCTTGCTATAATTGATTTCTAACCGTAACCACCCCGAGAAACCACTTGGAGATAGGTAAAAACAAATTTCATTTACGACCTTTCATATCCGGCATTTTCATTCCCAGGTCTTCTTGTTTGTTAACGCTTGTTTTCACATCGCGTGCTTGCGTGAGAACGAGAATGTATGACGCGAACATTTACCTACCTACAGCTGATGGGTTCTAGACTAAGTTGGGCTGGCTTGACTGCTGTTCTTAGCAGTGGTCAATTGAGGTGTTTTCGTCCTTTAAGTTTATTCAAACAAATTGTAAACCCCGAAAGACATTTTAGTCTTCTATTTAACTTTTAAGTTTTTACAAAATGACCACCACAAAATTATTTCATAATTTTCATCTGATGCACAAGTACACCGAGCTGCACATGTACTTTAGATTTTCGTAAGTGAGAGGTCAATTTTTGGCACGATATTTCTCTTTCACGTCAGGCAATTTATCAGTTTCCATAAATTGATATGCTAGTAACAATTTTACAAAGGACCTTTTTAGGGATGATTTTTTTTATAAGAAATCATTGTACCAAGAAATGAATGCAAATTTTTGAATTTGTGCACGTTATTCCATTCTTGTTCAAGGGTTCCCGTTTATGCAGGTTAGTACTCAGGCTTTTCTGAGATCTAAAACACAGATGTTTTAACAATGCACGTTATGAAGTAACAGTTACAGGTGGACATTCTGTTGTGAAATCTCTTCACGATAGATTCTACTTGGGTACACAGGACATCTGAAGCACACTACCAAAGTTGAAACTTTTCAATGTCACAATAAATACCTTACGACATTTTTTAGAATAGAATTTGTTTGTTTAAACACACTGTCTAATGCGAAATGCTAATAAACAAGTAACACTTTTTGCAATTGTATTTTTGAACAATGATACGACTATGCGGGACGACCAGTACCAAAGTTACTTGAACTTTCTGAAAGAGTTATGTGAACATTTATAGAATTTGACAGTTAGAGAACACGGAGACATTAAAACGCAACCACTGATGTACTATGATCTGAACTCTGGATTTAGTTAAGATTAGAGACACATCGTCACATACATGTTAGACAATACCTCACGATGAATAAAATACTATCACTAGTGTCTCAACTTGAGTTGCCGCTTGACTCAACGGATACCAAAACGAGTTACTGGACACAACACTGACTCGCGTGAACATCGACTTCCACTATGGAATCATGCATGGCCATTGTTTTACCTGAATAATAAAGTAAGCGCGGTGAAGAAATTGGAAAAGTGGTTGTGTCTCGTTATGGAGGTTTCGTCATCTATGTCGATAGTTCCAAAAATCTGCGGCATGCAGAGGTTGGTGATGATGCAAGCAGGGAGGAGGATGGGGAGGAGGGGGGCAAAAATGATGCAAATAAAGGAAGAAAATGAAACCGATGAGATGCATGATGGAGGATGGAAAAAAGATGAAATGTCAATGGAGTGGTGATGAGGACTAGTCTGTTGCCATGGTTACCGAGACAAACGCATCCAATCAAAATGACAGGATTAGTGATGGATGATCACTACAGTGAACCAAACAATCTTTTTTTATCAGGATCACTAATGCAAAAAGAAATCCGTTAACGTGTAACGCATTAACATGTAACACATTAACATGTAACACATTAACGTGTAACACATTAACGTGCAATACATTAACGTGTAACACATTAACGTGTAACACATTAACGTGTAACACATTAACATGTAACACATTAACGTGTAACACATTAACGTGCAATACATTAACGTGTAACACATTAACGTGTAACACATTAACGTGTAACACATTAACGTGTAACACATTAACGTGCAATACATTAACGTGTAACACATTAACGTGCAATACATTAACGTGTAACACATTAACGTGTAACACATTAACGTGTAACACATTAACGTGTAACACATTAACGTGTGACCAAGCATCCCAACTACATTTTCTTCTTTTCAACGCGCACCACAGAAGTGGTTTGTCTCAACATATAACCATGGCAACAGAGCTTGTCTGGTTCCACCTCTCCAAGCAAAACCAAGAACCCCACACCGTGCAGGACGATATCCGATCTGTTCTACCTGAAGAGTAAAATCAGGCCCATCAAAAAGTTGCTGAAGTTGTTGTGCCGATTAATCTGGCTGTTAACGTCGGTAGTGTCTATGTTACCAAACACCTGCAAAAAGGGAGAGAGTGACGGACCCCCAGACAGATACCCAAGGGGTCATACACATTAACGTATATTCTCATAGTTTTTATACATTTCAGAGGAATGGATATTTGCTACAAATATGCTCCAGTGTAAAATTCATTTCATGAACCATTACAGGTGTTTTTGTTTTCGTTTGTACAACTGAATTAACAATAAGTTCTTTGCAAATACTGGAAACCCCCCCCCAAAAAAAATCAACCTTTTTTTCGCAGAAATTTTGAATCCGAATTGGAAACTAATTTCAAGGTACTCTCCTAATTCTCCAGGAAAATTCCTTGTAAAATGACATTCTAAACCAATTGATTCAAAATACAGTGGATATTACAAACAGCAACGATTCAGGGATAATATTGCCTCTATAGGGTGTCCCCCCCCCAAAAAAAAGGTAACCCACAAACAAAAGGATAATAAGAACAAGCTATGAACTTAGTTGCCATACTTTATGGTTTTATCATAAACTACTGGCTGTAATCGTTCCAATGATATCTTGGATACACTTTGTTTTGAATATGGTATGTAAATACCTCCTTTTTGGGACACCCTGTATAGTCAGGACAAACCTACCTGCATGCCTATGATTGCATAGATGAAGAACAGCATGAAAGTGAGCAGACAGACCCACGGCAGAGACTACAAGGACAAAGAAGAGACGTAAGATGTGTTCTGGTTAGAAACACTGGTCAGGTTGGTGCAGTGGTTACTATCCTCGCCTTCCACCTCTATGGTACAGGTTCGATTCCTGCCCTGGTCCACATGTGGATTGGGTTTTCAGTCCCTACCTGATTCCGTGGGTTTTCCCCAGAATATTCTTCTGGGGTTTTCCTCCCACCTCTAAAACTGTAATTTCTTCTGTCTTCTCTCTACAGGTTTCTTCAGGCTTGCGAGCTACATTGGAATCCTTGATTCATTCATTACCAGAACTAATGAATACTTCAATAAAATAATAATTGAATAAAAACAACTGTAACAGTCCATCTGTCGCATGCAGTCCCTCTTTAAATATTTTTTTGCAACGCCCAATTTGGTTTAAATCTTCAGAGTTTTGGCGCGACTCTGGATTGCCAACGGGGAAATAACGCAGTGTGGTATATACTCATATATATAACATCTTGATGTCATTTTGAATTCCTGTCTTCCGTCTATTAAACGGTCACTGTTAGGACTTCTTGTGGTAAAGTCGGGAGCACAACTGAGCGCACTTCTGAACCATTTTTCTGTCATGTGTGAATTCCTAGTGGGCAACCATTAACGGTGCACAATCTAAATCTCTGAGAGCAAACGCCATCCTACCTTGAAAGACTGAACGAATGTCCAGAGAAGAATTCGGATGGAGGAGCCCTGGCGAAGGAGTTTGATCAACCGAGCTGCGCGAAACAGCCTCAGAACACTGAGATTGATGAAAGTATCCTGACGTGGAAAAGGAATACAAATCAAACAAATCCAAGTACAACTGTCTGCTTCCAAAATTTGCGTCAAATTTACACAACTTATTTTTTTCAAGTAATTTTTAAAAATTTTTTAAACCAGACCATCAGGTTTTGACGTATATTAAATTTTGATCGCTTTGAAAGACCAATGCAGAACAGAAAATAACGAGATTGACAGAGTTATCCTGATCTCAAAAGCATCTTGGAAGTGTAAGTTGGTTTGAGCAGAAGCTGTTTACCTTTTTTTTTCTCTTCAAATTGAGTATTATATTAAAACAACTGTGCACATTTTGTTTTTTAATTCATCCTAAAGAATCTGCGGTTAAATGAAAACACATTATATTTAAACTGATAAAACTACAAACCAAAATGCAAAACAAGATATTATTGATTAGATCGTAACGCAAAACCGTTAATTTGATGAGAGAAGAAATGTAATCAAAACCGGGTTGACTGAAACTACAGACTTTATCTGGCTGTCGGTAGCAGCGGACACGAAGCAAAGGTTACACCTGGGTCTAGATGGAAGCCAAGGGGGTTGGTTGGTTGGTTGGTTGGTTGGTTGGTTTGCTGTAGGGTGTGGAAAGGGGTGTGTGTGGATGGTTGACGGCACCCCATCCCCCCAGTAGAAGGGGGACAAAAACAGAGGAGGGTCTGGGTTTCCAACAAGAGGATGAATGGATGGAATTCACGCCATACTTACAGCCTACAAAGGAGGGAAAAAATCAGAGACAGAAAAACCAAAAAAATTATATGAGCATGCACTGGAATGAAGGGTAATCACTCATAAAAAAAAAATAATAAACATGTACCTACGGAGAAAAATAAAGAAAACAAAGATGGGATAGTAGGTAGTACCAGGGGCGGATCCAGGAGAACACAAGGGAAGGAAAACTATTTTAAGGGAAGTTTCAGAGAAAAAGGCTGCAAGAAAAAATTTGAAGGGGGTTGCCGGGAAATTTATATGAGGCGACTATTTTTTAAAAACCAAAATTTGTATTCAAATGAGGGGATTTTTTGTCAAGAGGTGGAAGGGGCTGGGTTATTTGGGGTGGAAGAAGGCGTTTGCTGAATTTCCTGGTGCCCTCTGGATCCGACACTGGTAACATAGCAGCGTGAGTCAGGGAACTTGACATTAATGTGTTCGTTGCTTTGTGTCATTGAATATTTCCACCGACGGAATCATTGGGCAAATCTAGTCAAGTATCCCATCATGCAACACTACCTGTAAAACTAGCCCATCTTTGTTGTTTAAACTAACTGCAAGTCCAAAAATATGTTGAGAGTTCAGTTATGTTTTCAAAGCTGACTCAAACTTCATGCCATAAAGCACGTCAAACTGTGTCTCATTCTTTATTTTCCCAACCAAAAACAAACAGTTGAGTTTGAATTTTGTTTCCAAGATGTAGGCAACATTTGTTAAATACAAATTTCTCTTTTTTTTTCTCTTTGCGCTTGGCAAAGAGATGCTTACACATTGTGCAAAGATTTTCAACTCAACTCTCTGTTTGTTCATTTGATTTTTGCCTATTAGTATTCATCTTTAGGCTGTCATTTCTTCTTTGCATATTAGGTTATCTGGTCATGCACAGATTAAATTCTTGATCACTTTAAATAGTTAAAGTTTAATTTATGAAATATTAGGTATTAGGTAATACAAAACTACTTTATCACAACACATGCCAAAGAATAATATTTAATGTTTTTAATTATACTTGTTTTTTTTTGGTACCTTTCAAAAGATTTTCAACTCTGGAATACAAGCGCAGGTTGAGGTTACAGGGTTTTAGGGTTCCGGGTTTTTAGGATAAATCCTTTCTTTGGGGGATACGACGGGATAGCTTTGAAGTGGATAGTAACTTACGCCAACTTGCGAGATGATTGCGTCTGCGATGCTCCCGATCACGGTGATGAAGTCAAATGTATTCCATGCTGCCCGGAAGTAGTTCTAGGCAAAAGTTGGGGTCGGAAACCTCGTTAACAAAACAAAAATGTTAACATCTCCAAAAATAAACATGGGGGACAGAGACTAAAACGTAATGGATGAAAGATAACGCCACTTTGGATGAAAGAAAAATGAATTCATCAACCGTTTTGGTTTACTTACAAAATCATACTGAATCACAGAAATATCTGTTTTGGGGAAAATTTACGGAGGTTAAAAGGTTGATGATATGGGTCACTTTAAAGAAATGAGGTACTGTGAGTTTGCAGATAAAGAACATTTTTGAACTTCACTTAGCTGAAGTGTGGCACAGAAAAATGTTTGGTGGGTTGGTGGGACATACCATTATGTTTCATTTTAACATAGGTTTTCCCGGCCAATTTCCTGAAATGTTCATTCACTTCTGAAATCGGTCGTTCTTTTTCGTCTGATTTTGAATGCACGTCTTTAATCCCATTTTCAATTCAATAAAAGTTCAATCGTTTTCATTGTTCGTGCATTTGATTTTGAGAAACAGACGATCAATTACGTTACCTGTGCATTCATTTACGCAAGCATACCTTTTCTAAATTGATTTCAGGTACGGCTAAGTTGGTTGACAGTTAATGAAACAGAAACCCCCAATTGTGTCTGGTGCAGATGGCATTAAATTACAAGTGAAATAGAATGGTGAATGTTTGAAATCGCCATCTATAAGCGAAAAAGAAGTCTTGTAAACAAATCTGAATGGACATAAACGAAAGGTGCTGCTCAATCACTTAATTGATTGAACTGAAATGGAATCAAATGCTTTGGTAGCAAAAATGAAACGCGTGTTCAGAGCGATTCTCAAATTGAGACGAAAATGAATGACCGATTTTCAGAAGTGAATGAACATTTTAGGAAACTGGCCGGGAAAACCTATAGTAAAAAATACCAAAACTAATTTGACTGACACAGAAGCATCAGAGTAAAAGTATTCTTTGTCTTAGCTAAGCGGTGAACATTTTCATGCTTTAAATAAATAATATCGATGTCAACAACTTAATGGCATAAAATGATAACTTTCAACAATGGAAAAAAGCTGCTTCCTAAACTTTGATGTGGATTTTCAAATTTGAAAGAAAGCATGCATATGCATAGTATGCAAATAAGCTTGTCATGCAAATCAGCCAACCACCATGAGACCACCTTTTTGATATGAAGAAGAAAAAAGGTTGTATGGGGAAACCCTGGTTGTAGTTCGCAGTCAACTTAAATTATCAACAATTGTTCAAGCCAATTTTAATCAGGATTTGCATTAGCTGAAAAAAAAACTACTTTTCGTCTATTCTGATACTCAAATCTAATCACAACTTGTTACAGTCAACAGTAGATTTAGGGCTTTATATCCAGAACTTTTTTTTTCATAAAAGCAGAAATTCTTGCTTGCATGTCTGTATTAGTTCTTATCATGTGGAATTGCTTGGCTATACGACGCTGTTGTGTTAAAATTGGGTGGATAAAACTGCAACCCAATGTAAACATAGACTCAAGCTGTACAATGGCTCATATGCATTACCGGTGGAGGGTGTCGTTCGGGTTGATAGAGAGATAGGAAATTGTTATTAAAACATAAATTCTGTTATTTTTCCTTCTTTTTATAACATCCTTCTTTTTTTGGTGATAGAAATGGGGGTTGAGCATATAGATAATTTACATGAATCAATTTTATGGCATGCTATGCACACAGTCTTTATTAGCTAAAGAACGATCGTTCACTGATGGTCTCTTCACTGGAACAGCAGTAAAGATGATTCCAGTTCAAGTCCACATTGAGTCACAAATGATTACCCAATGTGTGAAAGTTATAGCGCCCTCAACTGGCAATGCATAAGAGCCCAAATGATGGAAAACTGAGGAGGAGAGAAGAGGTGGATGTACCTTGGGCCCATAAGCAATAAGCTTTAAGATGGCTTCAATCGTGAAGAGAACCGTGAAGCCGATATTGAGGTAGGTTAAGATATCAACAAACTCCTGGGAGGCTTTGTATTTCTAAGATGATGAAAAAATATCAAGAAGTGGGGGATGGAGAAAGAGGAGGAGCAAAAGGGAGGCAAAAAGAGGGGGGGGGGGAAGAATGGATACAAGGGAAATGGTTTACCAGGGAAAGAAAAGGAGGGAAGGGGATTCAAAGAAACGTGGGAGAAAGAAAAAATAAACCAAATACCATTTTTTTTGCATGAAAATGAATCGAATGCGTGCATGGGACTTTAAAAGGAGATTTCTCTAATATAATTCACAGTGTATTGAATTGAATGATAAGCTGCCCAAAAATGCCAAAATTGTTGACATTAAAATTATTAGCACAGAAGTAAATTCTTAAATCAATGATGAAGAAAAAATTGAGTGTAACTCCAGTTTCATTTTTATATATTTGGTTCACTTATCAATCGTGTTAGGTTCAGACAAATGTCGTTTTTTTGTTCATTTCACATTTTGAGAAACACTCCTTTTAAATGCCCCTCTTAATGATACAAAATAAAGAAATCAACAATTGCAGCATGCCATGAAATATACCACCGAAAACTCAAAAACTGAAAAGCCAGCAGAACTGAGAAAGCGTGTGTCAAACTCAAGATGGTGACAAGTCTTTTGAGGAGAAGACGTTTGGAGGCTCATGGATGATGAAGATGCGGTCGTTTTTCTCTTACCCTCGGCCCAAAGCCGATAAGCTTGAGGATTGCCTCAATGGTGAACATAACAGTGAATGCTATATTCAAGTACTTCAGAGTGTCTGTGTAGGTATCCTCTGCTTTATAGGTCTACATACACGCACAAGACATGAGGTATAATGCACACACTAGGATTAGTATGACGACGCCAGAGCCATATTGAATTTATGGAGAGTCTGTTCATGTTTCTGAAATAAATAGTTTAAAAATGGGATTTTTTTGGGACCAATTTGGATGTGACTTGATGTACATGTCTGACTCCTGCTTGACAACATAAATGTTGCCATGGAAGTTTTCCATTTTTTTTCTTATCCCAATCGTCACACCACGCGTGCTGATTAATATTGCCCATTGGATAAACGCTCGAGGTTGCGTTAGCTTCTGGTTCCAATGGCTCCAATGCTACTTAATGGGCAGTGGGGGTTGTTTAAACTGAACTGACGTCACACTAACGAACCAGGTACAAGCATCAATCTGGCTATCTTAAGTCATTACATAACAGTTGAATGCTCCGATTATTCAATATAGCTCTTATAGTATTATTATTTTAAAAGTCAGGTCGTTTCTATTCACCGTCATAACTTAGTGTTGATTTCCTTTCAAATGAAAGTGCCCGCTGTTTCCGGATTTCAGCCCCTTTTTCTGATCTTTGCACTTGAGAAAAGAACATTTTCTTGTTACCGACTTGTCTTAGACTTAACAGTTTGAGTTATAATTTGATTTGCTTTCAATAAATTGAAATTTGGCTCTAGGAAAGAATTAGCCCCTGCCTAGATCTTATTTGCCAGACCCTCACTAATTTGATTTGTATATATCAGGTCAATCCAGTCAGTTAGTCAGTAAGCAACAATTTGATTCATTTTTCAGGGTCGGTGGATTGTTAAAGTTGTCTCGAATCCCCCTTCATCTCTGGAAACTTTCATAAATTCCAGGACTTTTGTTGAGCAAAGCAAAACGTTGAGGGACGCGTTTCGAATTCAAAGCCTTGAAACTGTGAGTCAGTCAGTGTGTCTGTCTGTCTGTGTCATTCAATTTCCAGTCTGTCTGTTTGGCTGTTTTTTTGTCTGTCTGTTTGGATCAGAATGGAGTACCTTCATCATCAGCGCGATGGTATTCAGAGCAATGAGAATCATGATGAAGTATTCAAACGGTTGAGACACCACCAGCTTCCAGACTTTGTACTTGACGGAGTTCTTTTCGACCGGGACGAAACCGTCTGTGGGCTTGGCGTGAATACAGAACTCCATGCATTGTTTCTATGGAAACAATAAATAGGTGAGATGTACTATGGGACACTTTAGGCATAGTATGGGCTCCGTGTACAAGTAACCCCCTCAACGGTAAAAAAGGGAAAGTTTGGGGAGACCACTGGGAGAGACATTCGAATGCATGGTGCGGCTACGCCTGACGCTCACGCGAGGACGCTATGGCTTTCTGCACATTCAGACTAAAATAAGTCGTGCGTACTTTGCGCTATACGTGCGCGAACCAGTACATGCACGCGGTGTGTCCCCTCCATGGGGCTCTCGAAAGTGGTGAAAAGCGCCCTCTCTTGTTGGCGCACTGAGCCCATGGGGACTAACAATTTAAGGGGGGGGGGGTTTAGAATTCACTACCCTTTACTTTATGGTACAACTGTTGTTACCACTTGGACTCAGAAAAAAAACAATACTGAATTGACACAATCATACCAGAAATTAAGATCTGAAAGTTAGAAGACGTACTTGATTCTTGTCAATGTCTCCGTCCTGGAAATCTTTATCTCCTTGCTCCTGAAAGGTGATGATGATCAGCGCAACGAAGATGTTCAGGAAGAAGAAAGGGAAGATGATGAAGTAGACCACATAGAAGAACGCCATCTGGAGATTGTTGTAGGGCTCAGGGCCTCGGCCTTCGGCTGTCGCATCGATGGAGTGTTTTAAGACGCTAGGAAGGAAACAGGAATAGGGAGAATTGGTCAGTGGTTTGTTCTTTGGTTGGTTCAGCGCTAGGTTTGTATTATCAATTGGGGTAAATGACGAAGTTGTTTCGCCAAAAGAGAAAAGAATTTTGGTAAGGTATTGTGACATCAAGACTAGGCTTGCCTTAGTCAAGCTGGACTAGGATGTCTCGGTGGGATATTATTGACACTCAGTGACTCAGTCAGTGACTCAGTCAGTGACTCGGGGAGTGACTCAGTCAGTGACTCAGTCAGTCTGCGACTCAGTCAGAGGACTGGGTAATACTTACTCAGGCCATCCTTCTCCGGTGGAGACGGTGAACAGTGTGAGTAACGCTGCAAAGACGTTATCATAATGGAATGGATACCGCTCCCACTTTCTAGGCTGGATTTCTGTAATCAGGTCGCCACTGTAGACGAAATAGTTACCCCTGGGACAGAAAACAACAATGGTTTCATAATTAGCCTGCGATAAGTTCATAATTCTTACCCCTAACCCCCCCCCCTCCCAAAGAAAAAAATCCAGTTAAAAATGCTTATCAACCTTCTAAAGAATTTGTTACAATTACCTGAAACAGCAAAATATCTAAAAAATTCTGACAAATGTTGTTACTGAAATAGCTGTAACATTGAGGCTTCTGCCAAATGACATCACACTTTTGCTTGTTAATATGGACATTTTAAGTTTTAAGATTGTTGGCTTACATGCACTCTATCTCGGTGTGCTTGGAGGGATCTGTACAGTGGAAGAAACGACCCTTGTAGAGCTGAACACCAATCACAGCAAAGATGAACATGAAGAGGCCGTAGACGATGGCAATGTTGGTGACATTCTTGACGGAGTTCACCACGCAGTCAAACACGGCCTAGTGGGAGACAACGCAGGGTATTAGAAAGTGATTCAAATTTGCACAAGATATTTCTGAATGAAAGCAATGTATACTAGGCTCCGAGAACTACTGTAAATCATTGCACAAAACGTAGCAGACAGGCAGTCAGAGGTGATAAATTATGGTGAAATGTTGGTCTGTAAATGGATCTTCCAACAAGACAGATGTGTTTATCTAGCTATTAGAAAATATTGGAGATTTCTGAAATGATGTTAAAAGTACCTGAGAATGCAACACTGTATGTGAAATTAACCCTAATCCGAATTTCTGTTCAAATCTTCCTGAATCTTATAAAATCTACTATGAAGGACAAACCTGTGGCACAGTGTTTTGTGCCACACAGTCAGTGAAACGTGCTTGGCCCTACCTTCCTCAATCCTGCAAAATCCTCCAAAAACTCACTGTGGATTTTGAAAGATCTTGGATAGTTACAGCAGGCACTCACCTTGAGTTTGGGAACTCTCTTGATAGTTTTGAGGGGTCGTAGCACTCGAAACACCCTGAGCGCTTTGATGGTGTTCAGGTTCTTGCTAGCACCCGAGTTCTCTCCATCTCCTTGCCTATGATACAAAAACAGACATTTCAAATTCATTATTGGAAAATATAAATTAACCGAAAACCCGTTTTTGGTAAAGTATGATAGATCTATGAACAAAAGGGATACATTGGTCTTGGTTTAAACTGAAGATCTGTCCCAGGATGATTTTGCCACTTACGACTGGGTGACACCGAAAGCGACCAGCGCACAGATGACGACAGTGGAATCTAGAATGTTCCAGACATCTCGGCAGTATGATCCCTTGTGGAGCAGCAGCCCCATATCGAGGATCTTGAGTATCATCTCAATGGTAAAGATGGTGGTGAAGGCGTAGTCGAAATACTCCAGAACCTTCAAGAAAGACAAGAGAAGGTTCAATACTCAGGAAAATCAAAGAACTTTTGAAATCTGTTCTTTTCCCAATGTCTTTTTGGACCTTTCAAAATACCTCTTAGTTTTTTCTGGTTTTTTTTTTTTAAATGTGTGACCTGTGGAATAAGTCTGATGTCACAAACCTTACTTTTTGAGTAAACCACTTGACTGAAAAGATAATCACATATATTTAGCTGCGGGTAGCAGCTCTTAAAATTTGTCTCTTGTTCCTACATCTTTTGGCCGATTTCAACCAAACTTTGTCAAAATTATCAGTAGCCCAGCCCCAACATGTCACATGACCAAACCCGGGTCAAAGGTCATCATGGTGTCAATGGGGTCAAAAAGCTGATTTTTTTTAACTCAAAACACTACTCCTTCCAGAAATTACACGGCACAATCACGTGACTCATGCATGAACACAAATTTGTTGGCCCGCAGCTTCCGAGCTCCAATCGAACTTGTTTCCTTGTAGTTTGTCTGATCAGCAGCACCATAGAATTTTGTTTTAATTTTTTTTATAAAATTATTTTTTTTATCATTTTTTAATTTTTTTTTTATAATTTGAACCTCTTTTAGGGTGGGGGTAGAGGGATGGGGGGGGGGGGGGGGGGGGAGTGGGATGGTAGGTGTGTAGAACAGGGGTGGGGGAGGGGAGGGAGGGGGCATACCTTATTGTAGTCACTCTCTGAATGGATGGGGTCTTCCATGGCCAGTGTGATACTACTCAGAGCAATGGCAACCATGATGAGGAAGTCAAAGTAGCGAAGGTTGACGATGTAGTGGCAGAACCGTCGCACGCTGAGGGAAAACAAAGAGAGCAATAATATCAGAATAAATTTGGTATCAATTCATGGAAGCCGATTTTTTTTCTTTAAGAAAATCGCAGATTTCAAGGCCAAGGTACTACTAATTATGTGCTAGGAATGAAAGAGCTATTTTTTTAAATTTCACACTTTCTTTTGTCTGAGGGATATTTTTCCCCAATGGGACAGGACGTTTTTGGTACTGCACACATCACAAAAGATTTGTGTAAGGCCAAAAAAAAAAAATATTCGGTCTCTGGTCATACCAAAGTTCCGGAATTGATGCGGCCACGCGGCTTTTTTTTTTTTTTTTTTTTTTCAAGCTTGGATTGTACAGACAAGGTGGGTACTATTTTGCTTTTTTGGTGTCCTCATGTACATTGGTGTCCTCCATAATTTGCCTTGGTGCTTACGATCATTTGCCTTGGTGCAATTTCCCATTCCTTGGTGCTCTTTGGTAAAAAAATTGAGGAGGTGCGGAAAAAGAGGGCGCTGTTGGAGTTACCGCGGAACATTTTGGGAAAAAAAAGATCGACGCGCATGATTAAAATTGAAGCGCGCGCTGACCAGAGACCGACATATTTTTTTTTTGGCCTAACTAATTTTTTTTTTTTCAGATGACGGCAAAAGTTTAATGGAAACTCGCAGCTATAGTGATCTTGTGGGTTCATTGCAACCCACCACTCTCTACAATAGAGCTAGTCAGGGCAAATCTCTTTGTGGGTAGCTGACTGCTAGGTTTCAGTAAGTGAAGAGTAGACCCCAGGTACCAAACAAACAAAATTTGAACATAGGTCCCTTTTTTATACTTTGGGTTTTGTTTTAATTTTTTTGGAAAATGTGTAAATGAATTTAGAATTGTTTTCGTTTAAACGTTTAAACATGTAATCGTCACATACTTAGCTAAACCCTACAACCCCAACTCAATCAAAATCCATCGCCCCATTTTGGAGTATTGGGGACTTGGTCCAGGAGACCTGGCGTGACTAAATATTGATGGAGTATGGTGGACTTGGGCCTAATGGCCTGAAGCAGTGCTAGGGGTATCTGATTGATTTTGCCTAGCTTCCTGTACGGCTATTTTGATAAAAGCCATGTGTAGCAAGTCCATGAATGTCAACCAGTGCGTCAGTGGTGGATTCCATTATGTCATGTACAGTTTTGTATTGGAAGCACAGTGATTGATGGATTTTGATGGACTTGGTCCAATTCCTAGTAAAAGACGTTTGCGATTTAGGGTTAGTGATAGGGTACTTACGGGTTGGTGGTACTGAAGATGAAGAGGGAACTGAAAGGAACCATCTCCTTGGGTCCAAACTCATCCTCTTCTTGAGTATCTTGAGCTTCTGAAATTCAAAGCCAAGACTTGGGAAGTTAAACCCAGATATTACTGCAGATAAAACAATCAATGATGGAATGGGAAGTTTCCATCTAGGAGGGTAACTTTTTTTTATAAACCAGACAGAGTATTGCAAGCACTTGTGAGCAAACGTTTTATGGCTTTGGTGGCATTCGAACCCACAACCTTCTGCCTACTGGTGCAGATATCTTAACCATTCAATCGTCAAGCTTGTTTAGAATGACAGACAATAGTGCTATCAATGCTACATCAGTTATGCATATCATTCTTGCCAATAAAACAATCCTGTTTAACCAGAAATATATTTTAGTTACAAGTTGTACAATTAATTTACCGGTACTTCAACAGTCATGCTATATACATGTATTGAATTAATAATGAATGATCATCTTACGTTCATCAACATAAGTTCAGAGTTCATGGGAGAATAAAAATGTGATGACCTAATTTTAACCAGATTAATAATGTTCAGTATATTCTGTACATGTGCAGAAGCATTACTCATTAGCTATAGGAACTACTAGGACGGCACAATGATGACCTAATTTTAACCAGATTAATAATGTTCAGTATATTCTGTACATGTGCAGAAGCATTACTCATTAGCTATAGGAACCACCAGGATGGCACAATGTCATTTAATACTTAGCATTCCTTTTTCCATGCTCTTAAGAAAGTAACATGGCAGAAGATGAACTGTTGTCACAGGCAGAACTAAAACAGCTCTGACCAGACACTAAACCTGTTTTTACGCAGCCAAGCACTAGAGACAGCTAAACCATCTAAAGTAATTATGTATAAGATACTACAAATGACACTACATAAAAGGCCAGTTTTTACAGATTAAGAATGAAATAACTTACAGGACTTTTCAATGTGGACATACATGAAGATCATTCTTTTAACAGACACCGTTTAGAAAAAGAGTTGACTTGCTCAATTCTGAGAATCTTTTCACGTTGCCCTTTGCTACCAGGTTGCAGTTGCCATGACAACAAGGCACAAGTTTTGCAATTGGAAGCACATCCTTTCTAGCCAGCTCTCAATGTTGGGCCAATTTTTTTCTCCCGGCCACAAATATAAAAGGGGCCGTTTCAGGGGCCACTTGCCTAAAGGTAGTGAACTATCTTGCTATAAGTTTGGTGGCTGACTATCCGTGGATGCATTTAACTGGCTGCCTGTGTAAAGTAACCATCTTATGGATCCCATAAACAAGTACTTCGTTTTATCAATATAAGGTTTTGCCCTTCAACGACGGATCAACACACTGGGTATACAGTGTTGATACGTCAGTGGAGGGCAAAACCTAATATTGATTTACATCACCCCGACGCAAATTCATCTTATACTTTATTTAACTTGGTTACGAAGACAGAACTAACAGTGACTTGAACGCATTTCCATCTACGCCTGGCGCTCTTTCTAGGATGATACCTGTTTTTGCACTTAGAACAATATTCAATTGTACATACTTTCCACCACATGTGCACAAACTACTAGTATGCGCACGCAATAATAGCGTCCCTCCCATAGATTTTGTGGTGTTCATGCATTGAGTCCACAGGCCAAATTTCAATGGACGTTTTTCCATTTTCAAGGCCACTTTGCTCAACATCAACCAGCCACTTCTAGTGGCCACTTGACGCTCTTATTTTTGTGCACGAACTAATATGCGCACGGAACAATGTCTCTCACACAGATTTCGTAGTGTTAATGCATTGTGTCCACAGGCCAAGTTTCAATGGCCATTTCCCATTTTTCAAGGCCACTTTGCTCAATATCAACCAGCCACTTCTAGTGGCCACTTGACGCTCTTATTTTTGTGCACGAACTAGTAAGCGCATGGAACAATGTCCCTCCCACAGCTTTCATACTGTTCATGCATTGTGTTCACAGGCCAAGTTTCAATGGCCATTTCCCATTTTTCAAGGCCACTTTGCTCAGCATCAACCAGCCATTTCTGGCGGCCACTTGACGTCTAATTTTCTTAATTTGATGGAATCTATGAAACCAGTCTTGCCTTCATCTTTGTTCTCCCGTCTACCACAGCAGCGGGGTCGCGAGCAGGGACAAGCAGACCAGCAGGTGGAGTTACAGACGGCGTCCATACCGGGACAATTCACCGGTCCCACAGAGGGGCACGGCCATGGGATACCATGCACATTCAGATAGGTAAACCAGCGGCGCCACCGGGATTGAGGAGGGTCCACCACAGTCACTTTGATCTCTGGTTGAGGTCAGGGGTCGTTGGTGGGTTCAAAGGTCAAATGGGTAGTGGTGGCAGTAGCACATATAAAGGTGGGTAGAAGCACGAGTAGGACAAATAGAAAAAATCAGGGATAAAACAAGACGAAAACAAGTTATAAACAATAAACAGACAATGGACAAATAAATCGGGGAGGGGATTTTTGCTTGAATGAGGGTGAAAAGGGACGGTTTAATCATAAAGTGTGTTTTGGGCTCAAAAATTATGTCTTGGAGAGTTATATGCTCCTTAAGTATTTGATGAGAAAAGTGTTGGGTTACTTCACACAAGATTTATCTGAGAAATGATTAAGACTGGTTATTAAAAATCATGAATTACATGGAAAAAAAATTATCCAAAATAGAGAAAGTAGTCTTTCAAAGGAAAATAATTTCTTGTGCAATTCATGCAGCCACAGTGCAGCAGCTTTACTATGATGTGAAGTTACTGAAATTTGAACGAGAAACAAAAAAGTGTGAAAAAGTGAAATTTCGCTTCTGCCTGGAGCTGGTTACATTAGAAAATTCATACTTGAGAACTAATTTCCAGTTTTGTATTTTTTGGGCAATCCCGCAAATTTCAGAGTGAAATTTTTTTTCCTGAATATCTGAAGAATTTGTTTGGAATATTAGATGACAAGAATAAAAATGCAAGAAATTGTGCTTGATAATGGTGATGCAGTGATGAAATGGTTTGCCAATGTGTGGGAACAGCAAGCATTGTTCCTTGAAGAGAAGAATATGATTAGCAGCATTTGTGTTGACATGAACACATTTTGAAATGTTAAGGAGCGGTGGGGTCAAAGGGCAACTCGGCAGGAGACACAGACATGTTACACAGTGCAGGGGTACAGCTTGCACTTTTTTTAGGAAGAATGTTGATGAGAATGGTTATGGACAATCAGACAGACGGAAGCAAGGACCGACACACGCTAGGCACAAACAAGATTAAAGACATGACAAGAATGTGATAGAAGGAGGGAAATTTTAACCAGTTCGCGTCGGAAGCTGTGTTAACATGCACTGGCTGTTTTTATACACAGGCACGGCTGATGGGTTAAAACGTCAAGCGTGCCTCGATTCGCCTCAGTGTGACGTCTAAACATGCTAATCACTCGCACCTTTTGAACACACACACAACATTTTTTAAGTCTGTGGACCGTGTGGCTGCTGTGCACAGCCTATTTTTCTACACTCCATTGCACACCCTGGAGTGTTGAAAAATATGAGGTCTCGGCAAAAAATATCGCACAAATACTGTTTGGCTGTTTTGGCTGTATATCAGAAGTTGGCTGCCAACTTGCCTTTTTCGAAAAATCGAAATTTTCGGCAAAAAGAATTCTGGCGCGAGCTGGTTATTAAAGAGCTTTTGATGTGCTTTAAAAAAAAGAAACAAACAAAATTGGGAGAAAGGACGAGACAATTTAGACTGAGAAAGAAAAGGAAGAAACAGACGAGGCAATGACACCACAGCTGAATGTTGATGGGCAGGTGGTGCGCTTTGAAGATTGTGGGATGTGGTTTCAGGATGTTCCAGATGACAGGCAAGACATTGTAGCTGAATTAACATGTCCATGAAAAGAACCTCTCAATGCCCAAAATGAACAGGCAAAATCCACCACCTCTATGGCCATTGACACAGGTCGTGACCTTTAACCTCTACCGTGTGATTTCAAGCAAGATAGCGTGGAAGTCCCGAATCACCAATGAATTTGAAATGAATATGTCCAAGACTGTGATATGTTGAAAGCTAGGAGCAAGTCTACGCAAGAACCAGGGTTAACCATTAAACTCGGTCAAAAATTGTGTCTAGTTAAACACAAACCGAGTAGCTATGGTTAACTATAACTAGTTGGGGCCAGCCTACCGAGACTGATCACTGGTAAACAACAGTCACGAGAAGCCAGGATTTTGAATTGAATTGTACATTGAACTGCAATTTGGCCTTTCGGCCGTGAGAGTTTGATGATAAAAAAAAAAAAAAGAAGATACATTTTGGGGTTGCTTTTTACCATTTTAAGCAGTTTTCTTAGCGTGTGCAAAGAGAAATGAAATGGACTAACAACAGTTGTTGCTCATACTTGCTTTTTGAAAGGTTTTACCACCACCAGCTCAAAGTATATGTCAATGTTTTTACAGTATTTTAATGATTTCAAGATGACCATAATTCCTAATAATTTTCCATCATTCGCAGTCTATTCTCACTCAATTTTATCCACTGATTTAGTATTTGCCTCTAGACTTTCAATGTTTGAAGTCCATTCTTGTAAGACATTCTACATGGTGTTCTCCATTTACAATCACTTGGAAATATGGTCACCTTGTGATTTAGCATTGACATTTGACCTTTAACCTACCTGGGTCGCCATTCTCCACATTGTGGTCTCCATTCATCCTTTTGACATCGTTCATATGGATGGTTGTACTCCCCTCTCTGGAGAGAAGAAATAAAAACAGTCGAGCCTTGTTTTAAGCCCCACCCCCTTTTTCATCCTAACCCCGCCCCATCCATCACTTAACCCCGCCCCTTCCATCACTTAACCCTGACCAATTTGTTGCTCCCTGTCCAGGCTGTGGCGATTTACTATGAGATTGTAGTTCACTCCTCACATCATCTCCCTCTGCCTTGTATTATGCCTAATATGCCCCACCCCCTCTGTCACCCTAACTCCACCCCTTTCATCACTTAATCCTGCCCATTAAATTGCCTAACCCGCCCCTTTCTGTTCAGGCTGTGGAGAGTTATGATGAGACAGTAGATCTCTCATTTCCACCTCTCTCACTGCCTATTCATTGAGCCTCGTTTTAAGCTCCACCCCTTTATAATTCTAACCCCGCCCCTTACATTGCCTAACCCCACCCCTTACATAGCTTCCTGTCCAGGCTGTAGAGAGTCGTGATGAGACTTTAGTTCTCTCATTTCCACCCCTCTCACTGCATATTCATTGAGCCTCATTTTAAGCCCCACCCCTTTAGCATTTTAACCCCGCCCCCTTACATTGCTTCCTCTCCAGGCTGTGGTGAGTTACGTTGAGACTGTAGTTCTCTCTGCTCGGCATCTCTCAGTGCCTGAGCCTCCTCTTCATCCTCCTGATCTAGTTTGGTCATCTCTTGGGCGTTAGCCAGGTTGTCCACAGCGATAGCAAGGAAGACATTCAATAGGGTGTCTGGGTGTAATCAGGTTAAGGAACATTTACCCCCTCAACATTGATAACGAGAAAGAGTGCCGATATTGAAGGACAGTTGGGTGCCATCTTGCCTTTTTCATACTGGTATATGTAGATTAGCAGTGCATGTTAAGCAGTGCAGCGTCCTTCACAAACTCTTGTAAGATAATAAAGCGCCCTCTATGTTCACGTGTCCTTAACAACAATCTTCCCGAAGCAGAGGCAAGTCACAGTAACTCATAAGTGGCAAAAAAGTTAACTTCAAAACATTTTAATTCTATGATGTGAGTTTGCGTGGAGATTTCTTTCGTTGTGTTGTAATTAACTTGAACAAATACTGCGACTGAAGTTTGCATGCTTTTTGCTATGCTTCTTGCATGTGGCCTTTGTAAAGAATGACAAGGTTTTGTCAGCAGGAACTTTAAGTTAAAGGGAATGTACATCATTGGCTTTTGCTGTAATTTTCAGAAATGAACTATTTGAGGGGTTAGTATAATAGATCAAATATTGTTTAAGTGACATGTTTGAAGTTTTGTGTTCGAAAATACTTGAAAAACCAAGAAAAACAAAAATTGTTTAAGTATCTGGTTCCCTGACTCCACTAAAGATATTATGGATCAATTTATAGATGTCGGAAAATTGTAAGGTAAGGGAACCAGTCTAACTGGCCTGCACCCGTTCATGAATATGTAACCAATGGCAAACAAAATTTGGACTGGAAAAAATTGTAAATTTGGAGCAGTAGTTCAAAAATAGTTAGGTTTTTCCAACGGTGGTCGGCCGACCACCGTTGGAAATGTATACAAAAATACCATTTTCTTGAAAATGACTTGACACCAGGTGCCTTAATTTTACAGGATGCTTTAGACTGTCATTTACCAACATCCTAGTAAGGTATTTCGTAAAAACTTGGTAGTTTAATTTTTTGATGTTTGCAAATGTTGTATATTCCCTTTAACCAGCGCTGGAAAAGTGGCTGTGGGCCTTGTTTTAAATAATTAACGTCCAAGGATACAGTTGCCAAATAGCACCAGAATGACGAAGTAGAGACTGTAGATCATGCCCGATGACACGCCTCCCTTGGACTGAACACCGTAGTACATCACTATGTTCCAATCCTCTCCAGTCAGGATCTATAAAAACACCACAGAAAAATAGACATAGGAGGGATTCGAACTATAAACCAATTGAATTGGAATCGAGTGCTTTACCGTTACAATAGTAGGTACAGTAAGTTCCTGCCAAATTTGAAGCTAATTCCAAGTGACTATTCGACAAGTGCTCAATGGAAAACCAAAAGTTGTGTGGGTCTGAACCGCCAACCACTGGCTTGTCGTTCAAGTGCTGAGTATTGAGTAATAAGCAAAGTTTAGAACATATGTGATGCGATAAAGCTAAATGAGTCATTTGTCGGGAATTTTTATTTGGAGATACGGGACAAAATAGGACCACTACATCACATCACTTCATCACATCTCTTGGTGTTCCAACAACCATAATTTTTGAACTGAAGATGGTATCAGCATGCGGTTTTCACAGCAGTAATAAAAAAATGTTTGACCAGGGTCGACAAATGACTCATGTAGCTTGATCGCATCACATATGTTGGATTTGAACCTAACACCATTCAATAGCTTTTAAAATGATCTACCACAAACATATTGAAAAAGGCAGATATACTGAACGTGAACCTAGCACCAAATGACTGCTATTCAAGTGCTTACCAATAAAAGCTAAGAGCTGATGTGAGGTTCGAACCTGCTAAGTATAGCAACATTGCATTCTGCGTGGTTGCTAATTCAAAATGGTAAGCAAGTAAATATCACCAAGCTTAGCTCACCTGAAACACCGTCATGAGTGCGATTGGGAAGATGTCAAAATTGTTGGCAGGTTTGGGGCTGTCAGGGTTGTAGTTAAAACTAGAGGGAAAATGAAACGACGAAAGCACCGTTAGTGGAAGAAAACATGAGAAAACTGCAGAGCAGAAAATACATGCAGTATTTTGGGCTATTTGTAAAACAAACATTATTTTTGCCAAAAAAAAAAATCACTGAAATAGGTGAATGTCAGGCAGATTTGACCGACACTTTTCAAGGTTGCATAATTCTAGAGTTGCCTGAGAACGAAACATGCACTTCTTAAACTTGTATTACATTACAAAATTTGAATGAATAAATTTGTTGGTTTGCATTTTGGTGATGTGTACTCCAGTCATTGATTGTATCTCTTTGCACTTCACTGGCCAAGATTCTGGACTTTTTAACATAAAAAAAATAAGTTACCTTTGCGAATATAGAAATTAGGCCTAGACTTATGCATTCTTCTTGGAAGTTACATGTGCCACTACAATTTTCTTATAGTAGTTCTTAATACATGTACATTATTGTTCTATTGGTACAATATATGGGCTCTGTGCACAAAGTACCTCCTCATTAGTGTGATGCGAAACATGGCTGCACTGTTCTGGTATGTAAATTAATGGACGATATTAGCACATATGGGTGCAACCTTGCAATAAAATTCCCATAGACACTAGTCCATACTTCAAAATTCTTCTTAAAATACTCAGAACTTTCACAGGTATTTAAGCTACACAGTAAAATGATGATCAACATGCCATCTTTCGTTTTCTTAAATTTTTTTGGTAGGTCAACGATTGAATTTTTCGAGGAATTCTCACTCAAAGAAGATGACCCCTATTTTTCCCAAAGCGGAAAAGTAGCCATCTTAAAAAACGGTCCCTCCACAACATGGCAAAATAGTGCCACTTTCGAAATGCTCAGAATTGGAAGTCCCAAGTCCGGGCCAGAGGTTTATTGCCATATCTCTTCAATTCCCCAATTTTATGGCTCTCAGAACTCTCTACTATAGAATATTTTGAGGGTATAACTTTTATTCATGAGCTCAGCGGATGGGTTTAAGCCTTACCGGTGTGCACCCTTTAATACATATACATGTGTATGGGTTTTGAAATCTGGACTGGTTTCCATCTCCTTCCCCTCTTTAAAGACCAGAATATTAGGACTGGTACCAGCCTCTATCACTTTTCACTGGTACACATCGGCTCCCTGATATATGGTCAGTGCATGTGAACCAGGGAAATATCTATGTTCTCTTTACTAAGCTAAAAAGGTTGGTGCGTTGCACTGATCAATTGTGTAGAAAAAAAGAAAGATAAAACAGTGCTTGCCGAAGAAACAGAGCCAAATCTTTGGACGGTATGTTCTTTGTTGCTACCTGCAAAGGACAGACTGCCCAAAAATGTTGGCTGTTTCATTGTGAGCACTGTTTTATCTTTTTCTTTTACTTGTGCACAGAGCCCGCAAATTGTCCTAACATTCCAAGAGTGCGATTGGTATGCTACATTCTAGAACATGCTACATTCTAAACTCAACTAATTTCAACGTCAACAAAACCCAACAAAATACAAATTAAGAAATAAAATTAAAACCAAAATCAACTGGGTGATTACTTCCTAAACCTTTCACCCACTACTCTATATTAAACACTGATGCAATTACGTATAAATCAATTCAACTAAATTTGTCAAAAATTGAAACACAAGTCTCATTTTAGGGTCAAGACTTCTGGGTTAATAAAAATGGGTTAATAGTTCAATAAAAAAGGGAAAAAAGGAAGAGGGAATGCGAATGTTAAATGATAATTTCAGTGATAAATAAATGTTGGATGGAGATCTGAATAAATGAAATTCACACAACGTGCAGATTTGCAAACATGTGACATGACAATAGAGTGAAGAGTACAGCATTTGCTTTTGTTTTTTTAGTTCTGCTATGCAACTTAAAAAAGCTCATTCACTTTTGTGAAACCCTATTTAAACAAAGTAGATCATTCCAGTCAGTGTGAAAGGAACAGTTCACTGCATTTAAAGGGGTGTTCAAAGGATCGAGAGTGAAAAAAGATTTGACTGCAAAAAATTAACATTTCAATGGTATGATAAACTTTATGAATTCCTTGATGTGTCCCTTATTATTTTTTTTGACGACATTTTTTAATCAACTTTTCCTCGCTTTTCTTTGTACTCAAACTGTACTTTCATTATAAACATTCCATCCTAAAACCATGCAAAACACCAACCATTAAATTTAGAAATACTATACACATTAGGAGATTTTTTAAAGTTACAGATGAATATAAATACCATTTCAATCACGCAATTGAAAAAAAGAATATCTTGCATAAAATCAAAGGCATCAAATATTTCAAAATTGAATATTAATCAAAGTTAACTCCCTTTTTATACATCATCTTGTTTTCTACAGTGTCAATTTTGGATTGTTTTTTAAAAGTGCATCTTTCTTAGAGATAAATCATTACAAATCAAAACCCATTTAAAAAAACAAATTAATTTGCTGTCTACAATTGACCTGGAAAACCATGTATGGCATTATCATATTAGTCACATATTGTCAGGTGCTGAAGTCAGACTTATTGCCCGGAGATATTAATAAAGAACTAGTCGTTCCATCAAGGTTAATATATCACTGAACAGTTCACTGATCAACGCTCATGCATGCTGGCATCCTTTCAATGACTTCCCGCCAAATCAGTTTTTCCGCAGGTGTTTTTTCGAGCCTCAACTCTAATTGATTTTTCTTTTGGGGGAAAATTTGGAATTTCTTTTTCTTTTTGACATTTTTAATGCCGGCGTCTTAAGACTGGGATATTGGATTAGATTACACGCAGTTGTGAAAGCACTTGTAAAAATTCAATATATAATATTATTTGTCATTGCATGGAGAAATATTTTGTGTTACTGCGATTTAGTTTTGAATAATTTTGAGAATAATATGAACTAAAATATACATTTTTAAACCTTCTTTTTTTAATACCTGAGCACAAGCGGTTACTTTTCATAATTATTTACTTTTGAGTGATTTTTAAAGCGAAAAAATTGATATTTTTTTTCCATTTCGAAACATATTTTTAATGACAAATGCATGAAAATATCTGAATGGTAAAAATATAATTTGCACCCAAATAAACACCCTCCCAATTGCATTTTTTAATATGTTCAGTGAACGTTTTTTGTCAACATAAGGTAAAACGGTCATTATTTGCTAGATTTAATTTATTACAAATTTGACATTATGTTTTACGATATGCGCTTGAGTGTAATTTAAAGGGAATGTACATCATTGGCTTTTGCTTTAATTTTCAGAAATGAACTAATTGAGGAGTTAGTGTAATGGATCAAATATTGTTACACAGACATACTTGAAGTTTTTTGTTCGAAAATGCTGGGAAAAAAACAACAAAAACAAAAATATTTAAGTAGTCTGGTCCCCCTGACTCCACTAAAGATGAAATGGATCAATTTATAGATGCCGGAAAATTGTAAGGTAAGGGAACCAGTCTAGCTGGCCTGCACCCGTTCATGACCATGTAACCAATAGCAAACAAAATTTGAACTGAAAAAAGTGGTAAATTCGGAGCAGTAGTTCAAAAATAGTTAGGTTTTTCCAACGGTGGTCAGCCGACCACCGTTGGAAATTAATACAAAAATACAAATTTTCTTGAAAATGACTTCACACAAGGTGCCATAAATTTACAGGATGCTTTAAACTGTCATTTACCAACATCCTAGTAAGGTATTTCGTAAAAATTTGGTAGTTTTGTTTTTCGATGTTTGCAAATGTTGTATATTCTCTTTAATGAATGTTGGACACAAATTAGACATTCTGATAGGGAAAAAAAAAGGTCATTATTAGAGTGCAGTGAAAGTGCATTTGTGTTGAGTGGAATTTTATTATTATAGCACCGCAATGCACATCATATAATTCACCACACAAGGTCCCATTCAAAACATGAAGAATGTACATTTTTGAAATGTTGAATGCCATTTGAGATCACACTGAAAAAAATTATTTGGGAATATATTAGGTTGCTTCGAAATGTGTGTTTGTGGGATTTTCTCTTTTCAAAAGCATATTAATACAAATAAATTTGTCAATGTTTTTAGAATTGTTTTCAGTTCACAGTGGATTTTTTGGTCTTCTTTTGTTGAAATACCTAGGTTTGTTCGTGTGTTCTAAACAGGTAATTTAAGAAACTGTGCTGCAGCCCAGGATCTTACATTGGATTTCTGTAATGATTTACTAAGGGAGTAAATATGCGCTTGGCCAATACCAACCAAGCACATATTTATTCCCATTCAAAAGTCAAAACAAGTCCAAAATTATAACTTTCCAACAATTTTACTTATGTTTTATAAAAAAAACCTCTAGCTATGTTTCATGATATGTACCTCGTGCGTGTAGCGCTAAAAATCTCCTTACATGGTGAGTGGCACGTACTGCGCGATGTGGTGCAGAACGCAGCAGTGCCAGTGTAGTGTGAATTTAGGACTCTATGAAATGCGGACTCATTGGTAGTATTGTGCATGCAATCGAAGATAATTAGAAAATTGAGTGGTCACGTGTGAGGATTCAACCACTAAAAGGGTAAAAGGGACCATATTTCGTAGGAGTCCAAATTCATGTCACAACCGAAAAAAAAAGTGTTTAAAACCAGTTGGTGTTTTATCAATCATTTAAAACCACCCACGTGACGGGCCTCTCGACCAATAAGAATGAGTAAATTGTCTTAGGTATTTATGAATTTAAAATTTAACCTAAAACTTTGCTTTAGATTGAACCCAACCATGCTATCAATGGAGGCAAAGTAAACATGCTGAAGGCAATCCCTAAGATTATCTGCTACCACAACATAATGGAAAGTACCACACATGATTAAAATAACACGCGATAATATAACTGCAATGTGTACGGCAAAAATCCAGTGCACTCTGGGCACAAATTACCTTCCACCGAATAACTGCATTCCGAGGAGAGCGAAGATGAGGATGAAGAGGAATAGAAGGAAGAGCAGACTGACAATGGAGCGCATACTACTAAGGAGGGATACGACCAGGTTTCTTAATGAGGACCAATATCTAGATGGGTGAAGAAACGGAAAGAGGGGGTGTGGTTTTGGAGGGAGGGGAAAGATGATGGAGATAGGTGTGTGTAGGTAAGGAGGGAGGTGGGAGGGGCAAGGTAAGAAATGGGAGGGGAGATGGGGGGTAGGATGAGACAAGATGATGGAAATTTGGGGTGGAAGGATGATAGGTGGGTGGACCAAGATGATAGGAGGATTGATGGAGATGGGGATGGGTGGGGCAAGAAGAGCGATGGGCGGAGGGGAGAGGGATATGGGAGGGGCCAAGATTATGGAAATGTGACCAGGGGTGAAAGGATGGTAGGTGGGTAGGTAGGCCGAGTTTATAGGGATAGGATAGATGGGGAGGGTTTGAAAATGGAGGTGGGAGGAGCAAGATGCGAAATAAGCGGAAGGGAGAGGGAAGTAGGAGGGACCAAGAGGGTGAAAATTGGTGGGTGGGGTTCAGAGTAAGGAGCAAGATGGACAGGTTGTGATTTTGAAGACAAACAATAAGAGAAATGGAAGATGGACAAACACAACGTGGGCATACGGAGGGTGAAGAAAGGTCAGCAAGGGTGGGAGAAAAATAAAGAGAGAGAGAAAAAAATAAAAACACAACATTAGTGCACTGTGCATCATGATATGTTACAATGGCAACACAGCAGATGCGCTTGCTATCGTTCCGGCCATTGTGGGTGTGTTGGTTGCTGAAGAAGCTCATGCTAGAACCGTGCAGACTTGAAAACGCCTCGCAGACCTGAACCTGGCTAGGAAAATCCGTCCTGTCTGACAGACATTTGAAAAGGAAACGAAACATGAGGTTGTGTTGTGTGTGTGTTGGTGTGTATGCATGCAAGCAGCTTTTCTCAGGGTGTGACAAAAATTGCTTTAGATGAGTCCCAAACAAGCTGAAAGAGAATTCAGGGTCAACAAATGTTTACACGATTTGTGAAAGTCATTTTTGAATGAAGCAACATGTTGAAAGGCAAACTGTGAAATCATGTAACTTGGAAGGTATAGCAGCAAGGAAAATGTGGCGGCGTTTTACAGCCAGCAAAAAAAAAACATTAAAATAGCAATGAATGGCTGGAGAAGAGATGACAGAACAAAAAGTCATGAAATGGAAATATGACATGATATGTTTGAAACATATTCTTCCCATTTATGGCTCCTTACAATCCTGATGAAAAGATTGGCCAAGTAATTACCTACCAATGTATGCTTCTACCTTAAAAACAAAGACTACACTTAAAGGTTATTTAGGTATTTCATCACATAGCAGCCATCTTGGTCTTGTTTCTGAGCCATGCATGGCAAATCTCAAAGTCATCATAACAGCATATCAGCACCAGACTATTTTTTTGACAGTTGAACGCTTGTATGATTCCAAAATATTTACAGAAAATACTTGCATGTGCTGAAAGATGGATGCTATGTGATTAAAAACTATTGAGTATTTGGGGTTCATGTTAGACGACCTGAAAATTGGACCAAGATTATAAACTAGTTTGCCATTAAGTCTAGCCTGGCGCCCATCAACCGGTGTCCTGCCATACTTACGAGCCACCAAATAGCTGCATGCCGAGCAAGGCAAATATGACGATGAATAAGAAGAGCAAGAACACCAGACTGACAATGGATCGAATACTATGCACCAAGGAGATGATCAAATAGCGCATTGGAGACCAGTATCTGGGGAGGAGGAAGCAGCGGTACATAGGTATAACACAAAGACAAAAATAAAAACCGGGGTCGGCAGGTGGGTAAGCAGCTCAACCTCTATCCCCGAAAAGCTATGTGGGCTTGATTACACAGAGCTACATTATTAGCAGAAAGTACCGCACAGAAACCAAATATGTACAGTAAGAAAGGACGTTCATCATAAGGCGTTTTTGGCAGTAACTTGTTACTTTTAATAAGCAAGAGTTTTCTCTGTCCACCAGTACGTGCTGTGCAGCTCTCTGAGATCAAACCCTGTTTGGGGAAGGATGGGGTGGTAGCGGGTCTGCTATGTACTAGGATTAGAATATGTTGGGAAGAGGAATTTAAGCACTTTTCCACCAGGTAAGAAGCTTGTGGGGCTAAGCAACCATTGACAGGGGCTGGTTTAATGGATCAGGCCTATGAATGGAGCCAACGAGGTGCACAGGGAGGGTGTATACAAAGGATTTCAATGGGACTTAATTTCAGGAGGGGTGCGTACATCCGAGGGTATGCATACACGGTGGGGACAGGTGGTACCCAGTGGTACCAGCTAGGAGTGGGTTGGTGGGGATGGATGGGTACTGGGTGCAGGAATGGGTACATCTCTGGGAATGGGTACATCTCTAGGAATGGGTACAGGGTTGGGGATAGGTGGTACACAGGTGGTACCAGGTGGTACCCGATGGTACCCTTATGCATCTGCAAGGAGTGGGTTTATAGTAACGGGCACTGGGTACATCTCTGGGAACGGGTACATCTCCAGGAATGGGTGCAGGGTTTTGGACAGGTGGTACCCAGTGGTATCATTACCCACCTGCAGGGAATGGGTTTTGCAGGAATGAGAACTGGGTGCTGATGGGAAGGGCAAAATATAAATACACATATGGAGTGGGTTTTCACTGGGTATAGTTGACAAGCTCACTAGTCACTACAAGGGGGTACCCATTTATAGGGAGGGGTGATTGGTGGGATACATGATCACCGTGCGGTACTCCAAGTGCACCTGTTGTTTATAGGTTTGCGGGGTGGGTATGGGTGAGCTGGGTGGTTGGGGGAGGGGGGATGAAACCCCAGGGGAGGGGTGTACCATTCACCAATCATTACCAATATAGAGCCAGTCACTAATCTATATATAGCGCAGGAGTTTGCAGACAGGCCTTGTATAGTCATTCAGGAACCAGTGTTTGGTGGTGTGTCAATTTATGAGAGTATGAATGTATTATTTTTGTGTTCCTTGAAACTTGAGAAAGACTGTGAATGTTTTTCTTGAGATGCGAGTCTTTTTTCTGAAGAGCAGACAACTGAAACAAAATGACAAACAGCAGGTTAATCTAAAAACTGTTAAGACACAATAGAGTAAAATGAACTATTAAGGGCTTCATTTTTTTTTTTAAGGCTTTAAAAAAAATTATTTCAGTGGTGTTGCTTTGTGGTTTGTTACCATCAAAACTAAAGACTAAATGACATCACAAGTAATATGTCAACTGTGACTTGTATGTCTCATGGAAAGTAATAGTGTCATTTGTGTGACACTTGTCATTGTTAATGTCACTGTTATACTTCATGTGACAAATTGTCATGTGCCAAATAAAATCACAAACGTCACGAAAGAACAAATATTGGATCCAAAACTGGAGACATTTGTCTCAAGATGGCATCAATATGATAGGTTTCTTTTCCGTGGACATGGTATAACGTCAGTCACCAGAAGGACTCTCTTGCTTTGGACTGAAAACACAATTTTTAACAGTATTATTGAAATGCAAGAAAAATCTGAATTGGAGAAATATTTTGTTGACAGCGGTAGAAATTAGGCACAAAAACTGTGCCGAACAAAGAGACTCATTGCAATCACTTTTGAGCTGTAGCACGCACAACAGTCAAATTCTTTCACAAAATTGGAACAGACAGCACAAACTTTGACTAGAGAACATCCCATTTTTAGGTAAACGTTTGGAAAATGTCCCGATTTGTCTGACATGTGTTTGCTCAGCTGGGTTTAACACTCAAACAAAATCATGTCATGAACACAGAGACTCTGTCCAACACAGACTATGCTGAGCAAAAGTATGAATACGATGTAAGACACATCAGGGGCTCAGAAGCTGTTGACGTACCTTGTTACTTTGAATATTCTAAGAAGGCGCAGGGCTCGAAGGACGCTGAGACCGAAGGAACCACCCTGAAACTTGGTGTAGATGACCTCAAACAAACTAGCCAGGATAACCTACGGAACAGAAGGCAACAGGTACAAAAAAAACATGAGATTTATCACGAAATGATGATTATGATGATGATGAGGTAGCAATGAGAATGATAATTATAGGATGACTTTATCACCGCTATACTGCAAATTGCAAAAGGTGGATGTGTGTGCATGTATCTGTGTTTGGTCATGAGTTGCTCGCCCACGAAGCAGCTTACAGGCGGAGCAGCCGTCTCGCAACTGCGAAGCAGGCAACAGAGGATATCTTATATCAATCTGATATCTCTCATCAATCTATGATAATAATTATGGTGATTATGATGAGAGATACTGCTATAAAACTGGTCAGGAAATAATGCAAGTCTGGGACCCAGTGTGCCAGGATAACTCACCATACAGTCAAACTTGTTGAAGGCAGATTTGAAGTAGACCGACGGGCTGAGACCGTACATCTTGATGGCCATCTCCGTGATGAAGATTCCTAAGAAGACATACTCTGCATGGGCTGTGGACGAGAAAAGATTTGGTGAACTCTTGAAACTCCATAGAACAATTTTAGAAGGGCAAAATCTAATATTGATTTACATTTTACCCAGTGCAAATTCATCTTATGAATAGTTTAATTGCGGTACCCCCTGCTACATGTACATCAGATTCGAACCAGCCAACCGAGCTCGGTGGTCGAGTGGTAAGACGTCTGCACTACAAAGCAGGAGGCTGTGGGTTCCAGTCCCACCCGAGTGATTTTTTCCAACTTTCACTCGGGAGGTAACGCACTGAGTATACTGTGTTTACGATCTCCCTATGGGGGCACTGTTCAAACCAGACGATCATGGGCACTAACGGCCAATAGGTGGCTCTGTTCATGGTCGCACAATTCCCGGCATTCCGCACCACATTAAAAAAAGGCCACTCGATAAAAAAGGGCACTCACGAAAAACAAGGGCACTCTTTACAAAATATTGGGGATAAATACTCCCTCCCCCCCCCCCCCCCTTTGTTGGCTACGCCACACTGGCCCTACATGTACATTTCAAGTTTCAAACGAAATTAAATGAATACTGCCTAAGAAAATGGGGTTGAAAACCTTTTTTTTTGGTCAGTAGTGTTTGTTTGATGTTATAAAACTGTACAAAATTGAATCACTTATAATGAAATTCAGCTAAACGTGCCCCAAAAAAGGCAGTTACATGTGCATGTATACTTACTGAGAAACTGTGAGAGCCACTCAGGTTGCTCGTAATGCTCGATAGCGACACAGACGGTGTTGAGGAACACCAGCACGATGACCAGCCAATAAAACGCCTGCGTTTTGACCATGTGACGCACGGTGAATCGTAACCTCTTCTCTCGGCGACGGAGCCAGAGGCAGCGCTTCTGCTTCTGCTTGGCCTTCTCTGATTTGTTAGATTTGGGGGAACCGGTTAGTTTGGCTTTATCTATGGGTTAGATTATGCACGTGGTGATGAGGGGTTGGGAACCAGTGAACAGGTGAAAAGCATGGAGATTGTTAATTTTTTTGTTATTTTTTTTTGTAGGAATAATCAGGTTAAAAGCCAGTACACAAGCGTGATTGGTTAAAAGATTAGTAGGTTTAAAGGGGAAAAAGAAAAGAAAAAAGTAACGTTACCAAAACTGGTCAATTTGAAAATTGATAAGAATACAAATTATCATTATTCATATAATTCTGAGGTTATTAGTACACGTTTAAAAAAACATCGGTGCTTACGCAGGGTTATGCAGTCACAAATCACAGAGGATGGTTTCATCAAGTTTAGTATTGGGAAGAGGAAGTGTGCAAGTTTAAAAAAAAGCTTGCTTTTAAAATAAGCTGGGATTGATTTACATATTTCTATTTTGCTAAACCATACATGATTCACAACGGAAACAAAAAATTGGCAAATAAAAAAAGAGACAGAAACTGTTTATGTCTCTTAGTGAATTTTGATGACTTGCTGTAAATATTCTTTTTTATCTAAAAAAAACACACCAAAAAACAGCTGTTTGGATTTTAGTGCATATTTAGCAAATTAGCATAAATTAGCATATTGACATTCCCCCCCAGCAATATAGGCAAAGCCAACCAGGTTATTTAATAAGCAAGGGACAAGCAAAACATGCTTTCGTTTTCTGCTTAGAAGCGACATATTAGAATTTCTTTTGGCGTCTCTTGCATGAAATGAAGCAACTATGTAATGTTAGGATTGGTAATTCTGTATAAAGAAAAAACGCACATGGAAAACAAACATTGCCTAAAACTACTGTAGTTGTATCAATGATTTAAAAGTTACTGTTTTAGAGCGAGCCATTTTTAAACAATAGCATCATTTGAAACCTTTTGATTACAAAACCAAGTAATTGGTTTTTTTAGCCAAACACTTGAGAAAGCTCTTTAAAAATTTCTCTTAAGCTATGAAAGGGCGATCATCTTTATATCCAAACAAGCCAACAAAAAATAATTATAATTTAAAACCTCGGATTATTTTTAGATGGGAAGAATCTCAAGAGTACGTGGCAATTATTATGTTAACGACAACCACGAGAAGTGTAGTGAACCAGATCAATGATACTTCGGAAGACTGGTTTCACGGTCAAGTTAAATATATCGCCATCAAATATAGAGCTTCTTGGAAAATTCCATCCACCGTTGGCTGAAACTCAGGCTGCGAAAGTGGGACGGATATGATGCAGCAACTTGTCTGCACGTCTACTACACGTGAACGATTACAGTGCTACAGAAATTCAGTGGTTTACTGCTCGCATTCATAATTCAAAATTACTATTACGCTTTGATTTGTATATCATTAGGGATCAACTCGTTGGCCTACAATCAGGGACCACCTTTGATGCTTGTAAAATATTTGTTAACAAAAAAAACCTTAGGAGATAACGACTGTTTTTAATTGTTCAGAATCTGAAATGGATTAAGATACTGAAAGCCTAGCTTTAATTTTGGTTCATCTTTTGGGAGTAATTTTTTTATTGCCTATTAGTAAGTCATGCCTTTACTATGCAAGTTTCATTAGCAGCTCGGTGTAATTTTGAACCAGTGTTAAGTAATGCTATTGGAACAATTAGCAGTAATTACATTGTCAATGGAGTACAGATGGCAAGTGTGGTTGTTGTTTTAGAGATGGTCATTAGAGTGAGGGAGGATTAACCGGGATTAGGACTGTACATGTATAAGCAAACAGTATTGCCTCCTTAGATGTAATTAGCAAATTATCTTTGCTAAGGTGCTTCAAGGCTGAAGTATATGATGCTATGTTACTGGTACAGCGTGCCGAAAATTAAATCTTGGTGAAATGTTTTGTTTGAGGCTGGTTTGAGAATAAGAATAACTTCCCCTTATGCTATGCTTAACATGGCGCATCATCATGCATATTGATTTTCATATCCTAACTTTTCTGCTTAAAATCAGCACAGATTAGAATGGAAACAATGCATCATGTGATTTAGGTTGGTTAGTTTTTAGCAGGAAAAGGGGATTTCAAAGGATGCAGATTTCAGCATGACTGGCTAAAAATTGTAAGTAAAAACCCCTCGTCACTTTTAATGTAAAAAAAAAATTCTTCAGATGGCCATAAAAACCACACATTTCTAATCGAGCCTTGACCACCAAGCTTGCCAGATTCAGTGGTTGAGTGGTAAGATGTCTGCACTTGCAGGCAAGAGGTCGTGGGTTCGAGTCCCACCTGAGTAGTTGTGAAATGTTTTCTCTCACAATCAATCAGGACAGCACTGAGTATACAGTGTTTATAACAACACGTCTGTGATGGGCAAAAACCTTATATTCAAGCCGGGAACAGTTAATTAATAACTGATTTACACTTCCCATGTTGTTCAGAGACATTTCCAAACACTTGATTGAAGTGTGATTACTAAACGTACAGGTTAATCTGAGGTGCATTATCATGAATGACATGTGTCATACAAACGTCAAAGCCATAACTGATTTGATTAATAATTGTTCACGTTGATTTTACCACTTGATTAAAAACTCACTTCAGACATTTCGCATGTAAAAAAATAAACAAGAAGAGAAAACGTGCACCTTTCCCACAAATCAATTAGAAATAAAAAAGCGGCTGAATATAAAAAAAATTCGGATCAAGGATAACTGCAAAAACAGTCAAATAATTCAAAATTTTGAAACGATTTGTAAGGATTGAAATTGGAAGCTGCTTAACTGTTGATACAGCATTTCTGAATAGCCACCTCGATGATAGGAAAGGATAGCTTCTCTGTGACATTCAGAAAGAAAATTCATTGATTCTTTTTCCCCAAGTTGTGCTGCATTTTTACGAGAAATAACCGCTGGCTCTATTAATTTATGACCTCCTAGAAATAGCTTGTTTCGACAAGGACATGAGCGCTATACCAGAAGCCAATGTTATTATTATTTTTGAAGCATTATATTTTTCTGTCACAGCTCCTCTCGACAATTCTGCAGACTTATCATCAGGAAAGAGTGGCTGAAATAATCCAAATTTATTGCAACCAATAAAATTGTGATAAAACTCCACTCGCACACTCTTCTTAATACTTCTTCTAAATAACAAATTCTAATTTTGGCTTGGAAAGGTAAACCAGTTGCCTTGGTAACGCTCATTAATGTTAAGTGCCAAAAGGCATTAGCAGGATGCATGACTAACAAAATACTGTGCGGCATGTATGGGGTAATATAAAATGTGCCGATATACAGTATTTTGTGCTGTGGTGCATGTCTAGTGTGCGGCTTGGAGCACGAGAGAGCGTAACAGGGCTCGAAATGCACTGGAACATGTGAAAACAGTTACCATGGGAATCTATGCACTGAGTAAAATACAGTATTGACAGAAAAAGCATAACGTATGCACAATGGCCACTCTGATTAAATAGACAAAATGTCTCTGGCAATTCTAAAGAAAAAAACTAGGGAAAAAAAACAGCTAATTTCCATGTCTGAGTGCTCAGGCCGAGAGCGCACAGTGCATCTGGCAGATGGGTTGTTATGGTAACCACAGGATGAGAATGTCAATGGATACCCAGACTGCAGAATGGAGTGCGTTCATTTCTAACTGTCTTAAAAGCCTGAGATATTTTTTTTTTTGCCTGCGATACTGAGGGCCTTATCATGGGAGTACAATGATTGTCCTGTCTTCACCTTTGCAACACATACATTTTATACAATTCTCTGAGGGTAACTTTTGGCAAAATTCTGGGACGACCCGTCTTTGGTTTACGAATCCTCAAACTGATCTGTTAGTAAACTGGATTCAAAAGGCCGATTTGAACAGTATAGGGCACTTTTACCAGCATTTGATAAATCCTTTAATTGTCTCTAGTGTCGGGCAACCCTTGGTTTAATTCAACCAATAGTTGACAAGTGAAAAGAACGAGCTATATTTTTCCCCCCTACAAAGGTACAGAAAGTACAATATTTTGTGTGAAACAAGGCTTGCCACACAACTAACACAGTCCTATTTAATGTTACACCTGTTAGTTTAACGTCACACCTGTTTACAGATTAGATCCTTGGATTTTTGCCAATCAAGTTAATTGGGAGCAATGTTGAACAGCGTTGGTTCAATACAAATTGAGTTTTTAATAAGGGAATTTGGGTGAGTAAGGCCAGACTGATAGGATTTAGGTAGTCAACACAATTCCTGGCAAATCGAAGAAAATTTTGCAGGGGAAATATTCTGCCCTACGGTTTGAAATGATGACTGGATGAAGCGTGTTGCAGAAATGATAGCATAAATGAAAAGGTTGAGCAAATATGATTGAAAATTTGATATTTGCATTGTGATGTACAATGTAAACTGGAAGTTGAAGTCATGTATAAATACATTTTCAGAAACGATAACAATAAGACTAGAAATGACTACAGTACAACTACTTAGGCCTGGAATTTCATGGGAAACCATGGTTTTTCAATACCCATAATCTTGGTGCCCACAAGAAATTGCCCACAATGATTTGAAACACATAGTTTCAGCTCATCAAGAATGAAATTTCAGGCCTATCTTTGGTCACACTGGACACAACACAGTGAACAATAAATTTAAAAGAACTCAAGTTTTCTTGTTTTTTTTAATTTCAATTTCAAATGATAACGAAAAGTTTTTAAAGGTGTCTTTTAGAACAAAATCAACAAAACCTGAACAGCATATGAATCACATCTTATCAAGGTAAAGTATCGTGTCCAGTTTTGACCTTTGCATGAGGATTTTGGTCACGACTCCTGACTTATCTACCTACACAGAAGGTTAGTAATTTGGAAAAAAAAAGGAGAGATTTTTTTATAAGTCACTGTTAGTACAGAGGCATCGGCAAACAGTGGTTATTAAGAAACATGTAGCAATGTCACTTCTATCTAAAGGAATATCCAATTAGGGTGGTGCAACAGTGACCCCGACCCTAGGTCAAAGGTCACATTGGATTTCAGGAAAAAGAGAGGAGTGATTGAACTATTTGAGAAATCTTTGGGATTGCTATGTTCAACTGATATACATGTAGTTCAACTGTGCCCAATAATGAAAAAAAACCCATTAAATTTGACATTTTACCCATCTCACAATTTTTCAGTTTTTTTTCCAGGCATTCACAGGCAAATTTTGTGAGACTATTAAAATTGCTAGCCATGCAACAAATTCTTGGAAACTATTTAATGCGAATGATCTATAAAGTCTGTTATAAATCTCTTTAAAAAAATTCCTTTCTAGGAAGTCAAATTTTAATCCGTTTCTAACAACTAACATGCCAAGCAAAAGCTGGGATGGCTTTTTGATACGGAAATTCATGCCTTTTTCTTTTTCACGATCAACTGAAACAAGAGTTTGCTCCTCCATAGAACAATTTCATCACCAGCTAAATTGGGTCTAGACGCAGCCTCTGCTACAGCGTGCTGAGACAACAGGAGATCAGACCAGACCAGACTAAGACAAGGCGAACAATGAGGAGGTGAAGGCGCAGATACGATGGAAGCGGGATACTCAAGGGGGCGACAGAGACAGAGAGAGCGAGAGAATAGGCAAGCCGAGTGATTAGTAGAAATGGATTCCGCTGGAGCGTATTTGGGTATTCAACAGGCCTACCTATCGTGTCTAGATCAAAATTATCTTCAATTGTGCTGCTGATGGCCTTTCCATTGCCCAGACTCAGTTCGCGTTGTAACATTGCAGCAGCACGGCGACGAGCTACAGTTGAGAAATCCAAACATGAAAGAAAAGAAAAAAAAACACGGGAAAAAAAACAAAAACAAGCAGTGTACAGTGACATGCATTGCAGTGCTCTTCAGGCTCATTCAAATGTCAAAACAATTATACATTTTGTGAACGGCAGGTTTTTCAGAGGTTTATTCAGATTATAACGTCAATTCAAATGAAGGAAATGAGTCGATGGACAAACAATTAACATTGCAAACAGGACAAAAGATGAAACAAGAACTCAACAATCAACACATGAACAAATTTCTAGATAAACAAAGAAACATAAAAACAATCAAAAAGGCTGTCCATTTTGGAATACTTTTAGTATTCGATTATTCGAAACTGTGTTTGACTGAATATTCAAATATTCGAAACTCGCCGATCAAGTTTACACACGCTGGCTGCAACTGCATGCCATGCCAGTACAATGTTGCACGCAAAGTGCTCCAGGTAAATTTGTGTGCACTGATCGATGTTATGGGCCGCTCGAATGCCTTGCAGTAAGTATTGTATAACCGTCAAGGGCTTTAGCCTGCTAAAAGGATGAGAACAATGAACCACAGTTACTGTTAACAAAAAAAAAAGAGTTGCTGTCATCGTCGACAAACAGTGGCATCTGACAATACAGTGCCAAATATTTACGATTAAAATAACACCATAGTTTTTTTCTTTTGAATATTCGAACCGGTACAAAGCTATTCAAATATTTTGGTTGTTCATTGAATATTCAAATATTTGGAATACTCGGGACAGCCTTAACAATCAATGGACAAATTAAAGAACCACTAAATAAAGTCACAAAAACAAACAAACAAACAACCCAACAAACAAACAAACACAATTAGGCCATAAAATTTAGACCGTTAAGCTAATACAAAAATATACAATCTAAACCAATGGACAAACATGTACAAACTACAAGCATCAAACAATATCACAAACAAAATTCAACAAGACAAAATAATACAAGATGCAGAATTTACAGACTCTTTTCTCTTTCATTTGAATGGATCGATATCTTTTATCAACTCCTAATCTTTCCAAAATGTCTCCCTCCTCAAAAATCAACTTGAATTGGAAAATGTTACAAATGATGCAAACAAGATTCGTTTACATCGACGTCTTTTTCAAATCGGAATAAACCTCTGAATATACATTTATAACAAGCATTTGTCAAGATTATTAACATGCTTGTGGCTACCAGATACAAAATATACACATAGCTCACACTGCATGCTTCGACTCGACATAAATAAAAAATACATTGGCTTTTCTTCCGCCAAATTATTCTGGAATTTGGACTTAATATTAAGAATATTTGTTGATTTTGGGTGGGAGCTTGGCTGACATGACGAAGTGCGTTTTGACTCAACCAGAATTGTGGCATTTTTTGCTTTGTAACGGCGAACAGTCTTTTTTCAAAGACAATTTCGAAATATTTGAGCTATTCCCATAACACTGATTTTATACTGAAATATGTTAGATTTATTATCCCCAAAAAATTGTGCATTCTATGATACATCACATAATTGAATAAACATTCAATAGATTTAGGTAAACTACGATAAAATGGGGCACTTAAATCCTTACACCTATTTGGTTTCCCAAAGTAGCAATATATTATGCGTCCACAATTTTAATTGATTTGGGGGTTAACTGTCTTGACTTGACCATATCTACTACATTCAGCTTTCTGAATTCTCAAAAAAAACCATTACGGTTACGTCACGCTTTTGGAAATGTCAAAGTTTGGGTTAAATAATATCAGGCAAATGGAGCTTTTCTTCAGACATGAAATTGGCTCCATAAAGACGGCTTGTGATGATGTCACAAGCAGACGACACGCAGCGCTGTCAAAATCAAGCTCTCAACCAAAGCCAAAAAAATAACAACATATTTTTGTCCCGCATTTCAGACAGATCTCGAAAGCATCCTAGAATGATGGGAAATGCCATTCTGTATTACCAGTGAAGCGGCAAGACAGCTAATTAGAATCATTGCTGAACAATATGCAGAAACACTGAGGCAACATATGTGCAGGAAACCTGAGATTAAGGTCAGAATATTATTATTATTGTAAATACTTGTTTTGTACAAGTCTTTTTTTTCCTAATGTTCCTTTTGTTCTTTTCCCTCCAATTTGGTTTTTGAAATGATGCTTCCAGTTACATTTGAGAACAAAAAAGCCAAAGACTTTTGGGTAAATTATAATAAAAACAATGAAAGGAATAATAGTCTCCATAAAGTCATATGTTAGGAATTTCAGCCATTTGTAAAAACACATAGGTTTGAAATTAACTTTTTTTTTAAATATCTGACATGCTAAAATGTGGGGTGAGCGTGCAACATGGCCACAACAAAAATTCTGAAAATGGATGAATAAATAAATAACATAAAACAGTCAGTGGATTAAATCAACTTATTTTAGTTTTTTGCAATACATGAAACCCATGAACCTGTGAATAGTGCTTTACATCATGCACGGCCATTGGATGAAAGGGTGAGTCGTGAAAAGAACATACCATATAAATAAATTGCTTCGAACTTAAGAGAACGTAGATGACAACCTCAGCCAGAACCGAGTCTATGCAATGGCTATAACCACGCACAAGGATTCTCAATTCTATTTTTCTGTTTTAGGGATGTCATTCGAGCGAACACACCTCCACGAAGACAACAGCCAAATAAGGAAGACATTTTATTGCATGTTGTTGTCTGAACTCAAAAAAGTTGCTGCAGATGAACCGCGGACATCCAAATGAAAAACAAATTGCTCATCCCTCTACAAACCTACCGGGGAATTAACATGTATCTTTGTCTTTTCCACCTGTGGATTCCTACAAATCTCATTCACTAAAAGAAAACAACACCTGCTACAAAATGTTTTATAGAGGATTTGTCACTACTGGGGGATTCGAACCACAGACGTCCAACTCAAAATCAAGCAGTCCACCCAAACGATGAAAATAACCATGCTGCATAAATGCCAGCTTGAACTCAAATTCTCTCCAACTACTTGATTGTGAATCATCCCTAAACATTTCTTCTTCTATTTCCACCCAAATCAGTCAATGTGCATGATGAAATAAAGGAAATATCTTACTGATAATAAAAGGTCAACATGGGGACAAACTGAAGATTGCAAATTTCATAAACTTGCATATTCACAACTGCTTTACATTGAAAAATTCATTACTTTAATTTTGTGAAAACAGTGCAACCTACTTCCTTCTAACTCTTCAAGAAAAAAAAACCAGGAAGTATTCCGAACTTGACCTTTAACCTTTGAATATAAGAAGCAATGACCTTTGACACTGACCTTCTATTGTTGCTCTTTCTTCCTCGGAGGTCGTATTGTCATTCAACATGACCTCTTCTGCTTTGCATATCCATTCTAAGTAACCGTTTAGTTCCTTGTCTATTTGCTGTTGCCGCCGGAGTTTCAGAAACTCTCGTCGGTTTTCCACGCGCTCTCTCTCTTTTGCAAACTCTCTGCGAGTGGAAAATAATCATTTTGAAATTTGTTTTTGAGAAGGAGATGTAATTTACAGATGAAGATCTCAACAAATAAAAATTAGTTTTTACCATTAGTGATTGATATATCTGCAGCATGTATTAATATTAAGAAGTTCAGAGTTCAAATCTAAACAATGCAGTAGCTCCGGAGCTTGATTTGCAGACGAAAACACTACACTAGACTTACACGTGGACAACAGTGATTTTAGTGACTTGTATTCAAATTACCATAATAACACTATTCTTGCAATTTTTTAAAAGATTTTTTCACCACATAATAGTTGAAGAGCTATACTTCACTAAATTATAAAAAAAAAACTGTTCAAACAAGTTAAGTGGGTTTCCTTCTATGTGCACCTGTACTGTATTTCTCCCAATTCAAAAACTCGGATTTCAAACGAAAGTCTGAAAAATCTCATGCCTGATCTGTCTAAACTGCACTTTAAAGGGAAAATACAACATTTGCAAACATCAAAAAATAAAACTACCAAATCATTTTGAAATACCTTGCTGGACTGTTAGTGAATGACAGTGTAAAGCATCCTGTAAAATCGTGGCACCTGGTATACTGTCATTTTCAAGAAAAGTGGTATTTTTGTATCAACTTCCAACGCTGATCGGCCGATCAGCGTTGGAAACAACTAACTTTTTTTCAAATACTGGCCCCAATTGACCATCGCACTTGTTTGCAATCGATTACAAACCTATGAACGGGTACGAGCCAGCTAGACTGGTTCACTGACCTTACAATTCCCCAATGTATGTAAACTGCTCTGTTTCTTCTTATATGGAGTCAGGGAACTAGACTACAGGAAAATGATCGTTTTTGCTGGTTTTTATAGCATTTTCGAACCCAAAACCTCAAAAAAGTCAGTGTAACTATATTTGCTATATATTTCCAACCCCCCACGGCATCCATTTCTGAAAATTACAGCAAAAGCAAATGATGTATATTCCCTTTAATAAACAGTAACAGGCTTACATCTCTTGAGAAAAAAACCCAGATTTTGAGTATGAAAACACTGCTACTCACCCACTCAAGACACCAAGAATGAGGTTCAACATGAAGAACGAGCCCAGGATGATGAGGGGGATGAAGTACAACCAGACAAAATACGGCCCTTCGGAATTGTTACACTGTCAAAAATCAACGGAGGATAAAAAAACATCACCAAGGGGAACTGACTACGGTCACTCCAATCCACGTAAGGAGTGGGATAGGAACCCGAGACCTTTGGAATAAAATTTCAACCTCTCTGACTCTCTGAGCAGTGTGGTCCAATGGTCATGGTGCTCGAATCCTCATGAGCAGCACGGTGCTTGTGTTCTTGGGCAAGACACTTTACTACAATTGCCTCTCTCCACCCAGGAGTATAAATGGGTACCTGTAAGAGCAGAGACTAGATGGTGACGATCTCATGCAGTTGTAAAAAAAACGTCTCACAGCCTGATGAAAAGGCGTAATAACTGCTAAGCGCTTGGAGACCTACGGTACCTTTGGTGGAGAGCGCCACACATTTATAAGCACCACACATTATTGGCTTTTCCGCTAAATGCGGAAAAGCGTTTGTTTTTGTTCCGATTTTTTTTGGCTTTCTTTTTCTTTCTGTTCTTATATCCCAAATACCAGTAACTTTGTACACAATTTTTTTCTACAAGACTTCTGTTATTTGTACACCTTGTATCATAACCAAACTTCTCACAAGGGAAGACCATCACCCAAAGACGGTCTGTGAAACATTATGTCATGATGACGTCATCGTAGGTCATGTGGCATCATTTTAAAGGTGCACAGCCCTAACTTAAAAAAAGAAAGAACTATTATAAAAGTCAGAGAACTGCCTTCAAATTGTTGTCTTCATGACCTCTGACCTGAGATCAACTTAATGGGAGAAGGGGGGTTGTGGGGTGAGCCAATAGGGCTGGGGGAGGGGGGGGGGCGTTCATATGCATGCAGCCTGTAGGTCGGTGTAAATATCGACAGAAGTGAATATATTTTACTTACATAGTACATGATGTCGGTCCAGCCTTCCATGGTAATACACTGGAATACCGTTAACATTGCAAAGAGCATGTTGTCAAAGTTTGTGATGCCAAAGTTGGGACCTTCCCAATACTCCGAACAAATGGTGTTATTAGGACACTTGTGACCGCCAGAGACATCCGGATCTGAACACACTTGGGGAGACTCCCCCTTCTCCACCGCCATGACTCCTGGTTTCCACAAGAACAAAGGAAATAAATGGGGGGGGGGGGAAAATGAAGACAAAAAATGAGAAGAATAACAAAGACGGCAGATGATATTGAGGACAAGGATGCAAAATAAGCTTGCAAGAATGGAAACACCGTGTTTGACTGCAAAGCCTGTGTTGCTGCTACAGCTTAAGATATTTCAATCAAAATACTTTATTTTAAGTCTCAGTTGAGGACTAAGCCAAATTTTCATTGAAAAGCAAAGCTGAAAATAATTTATTTGCACAAATCTGAGAGCAACCGGCCAGCCGCAACGTGCGTCACACGGCATTTTTACATGTATCCAGACAAATACTACTGCACATAGAGAATGTGGGATTTAAAAAAAAAAATTTGATAAAATTAGCTTCAGTGAAAAGTTTGAGTAAACAAGTGCGAATGCACAATAAGCTCTGGTTGTCTTCCATCTAAGTCTATAACGTTGACCCAAGAATGTGCGTACAAGCCCGGGCCGCGGCATCCCACGCACGCCATCCAACACGCCGTCCCACGCGCCCTCGAGGTCTCCCACGCGAACATCACGCTGCGCTAAGCTGTCCCCGAAAATTGACCAAAATAAGCCCCCTTAGTCTCCCATAAAATATTGCTTTTTCGCGTGGAATTATAGTACGCTGTATACCACTTGACCACAACATTACTGCACATATCTTGCCCCAACAACTTCACAAATTCTTACAAACAATGTTTGTGAAGTATTTCATTTATTTTGTTTGCTTTTTTGTGTGAAAATTACAATTTTGTATTTTATGGGAAACTTAGGGGACTTGTTTTTGGTCAAATTTCCGGGAACAGATCAATGGGCCTTATGCACGAGTTGGCCATTTTTGTCGAGTTCCTCGAATGTGTTTCAAAATTTGTTAACTGTTGAATGGGATGGCACCAGACTATTTATGCAGCCTTATTTTACTGTCATATTTTGTTTAAATGTGGCTTAAAACATTAGAGATTGTTTTATTACAGATTTTAAATTATTCATTGAAGCAGACTTGAATTAATTAATAATTTACTTGCTTTCATTTCTCTTCGCAAGTTCCAAAAATGAAGATTTTACCACACTTTCAATTCAATATGGCCAACTCGTGCATAAGGCCCATTGACCAACCATAAAGCGACATGTACAAGCTCCTGCCAGAGCTTAAAAAAAAGAGAAAGTTGGGGGCAAGTCAGTGTTTTATATTTACCTGTGCTGTTACCGCTCTCATCCGTGTAGAAGCAGGTTTTGTGGAATTTACCCTGGAAAAACTCCATGCCGGTGATGGCGAAGATGATAATGACAAACAAAATAAGCATACCGATTTGGAGGAGGGGAGCCATGGCTTTGAGGATGGCTTTGAGGACAACTTGCAAACCTGTTACGGGGGGAAATACATCGGAATTCAATGAATAGGAATTCGCTGAATGAAAATATATACATGTACAACGAAAGAGCTACCAGAAAAACATTGTCAACAACTATCATAACTGTAGTTGGATGACAATGTCAAAGTGTCGTGCAAAAAAACAGTTAGTAGTATTTGTTTTTGTTATTAGACAACAAACTTTTCAGTTTTTACTTGTCATCAGTGCCTTTGGGCGTGATCCCTGGCTGTATGGCAAACTGGTTTATGGCTTCTGACTAGCGCCCCTTGAACAAAGATATTGACTAATTGGGGAACCGCCAACATAGGGCTGGATAGCTCAGTTGGTAAGAGCACAGGAACGGTTATCCGGAGGTCGCAGGTTCAAGCCCCGCTCCAGTCAATTTCTTTGTTCAACTTTTCAATTTTCAGTTTTTAGATGGAGAGAGCGAGACAAAATAGACCACGCTGTAGCTGCGTCCTTTGCAATTCAGCTTCTCAGCTGCCAATAATTATTAGCCTCCCAAATTATTATCATTATTATAATTATTCATATTATTATTTTAACAAAGCAGGCTGGTATACCGTTTGCAATTCATTGGTTAGGAGTTTAATTGAATATGTATTAAAATATACAAATACACTTGCTCACAAACAATTTAAGATTATTGTTTTATACACCTACATGCATGTTGTACATCGACAGTTTCTTCACATAAATCACACTTGTCATAAATGAAATACCAGAATAGTGAACGTGGTATTGAAACGTTTCGATTCAAAACTTAGAGAATACGTCTTGACAGGGCATTGGACTAAAAGACCCCTAGATAGCTGGCCATATGTTGTGTCCCTGGGCAAGCCAGTTCGCCTCCACTTTGCCTCTGGCCACCCACTCCCAGGAGAAGGGGCACCGGCTTTAGCCGGGGAGTAACCCGGCATCCCATCCAGAGGGAATAGACCTTTTCTCAGTTGTTTCATGCAAAGGAAAACAACTGAACTTACTTGGGATGCCTGATACTAATTTCAGGGGTCGAAGCACTCTAATAGCTCGAAGGGTTCGGAGGTCTGGAGCCCCAGAACTGGTCGCATCGCCCTCCGATGCTAACCCCCCTATGAAGGTTATAAACCTGCAGTGACACCAGGTAATGGGAAGAAGACGGGAAGGACAGGGCTGTTAGTTTTAGGGAAAGTTACGGACGGTGGATCAATTTGTTAAACATGCTATCTCATTCCGAATATTTCAGCCTGGAGGGAAATTAAAGATAATATACAACATTTGCTGTCATTTTTGGCGATGGAAGGATTTGGGAGTTAGTATTTTATAGCAGATATTGCTGCATTGAACTGTTTAAGTTTCTGTGTTCATGGATGCTGGAAAATCTTGTAGTCTGGTCCACTAACTCTACTTTAGACGAAACAGAGCAATATACGCCGGGAAATTGTCAGGTCAGGGAACCAGACTAGCTGGCTTGCACCCATTCACAGATGTGTAACCGATTGCAAACAAAATGTAGACTAATTAAATTTAGTAAATTGGGGGGGGCAGTGTTTTTTAAAAAATCGGTTTTATCCAACATTGTTGGAAATTGATACAAAATTCCACTTTTCTGGAAAATGACACCTTACCAGATGCCACGACGTCACAGGATGCTTGAGACTTATAAATTATAAATTACGGACAAGTGGAAGTATTTCAAAGTAACTTTGTAGTTTTTATATGTTTGCAAATGTTGCAATGACAGTCTACAGCATCCTGGAAAATCATGGCACCTGATGCAGTATTATTTTCAATAAAAGAGGTATTTTTGTATCAATTTCCAAAGCTGGTCAGCCGACCAGCGTTGGAAAAAACTGGCTTTTTTTTCAAATACTGGCCCCAAATTACCATATTTAGTTAGCCTGCATATATGTTTCCAATCGATTACTCACCTATGAACGGGTACAAGCCAGCTAGACTGGTTCCCCAACCTTAAAATTGCCCAACGTCAATAATTTGCTCTGTTTCATCTTTAATGGGGTCAGGGAACCAGACTACAGGCACGTGATTTTTTTTTTGGGGGGGGGGGGTTTCAAGCATCTATAAACACAAAACCTCAAACAGGTCAGTATAAAAATACTTCCTAAGTTCCTATGAAATACTAACCCCTCCAAATCCATCCATCTCTGAAAATTACAGCACAAGCAAATGTTATATCTCCCTTTAAGTTCCTTAGTTTGTATATTTGGTGGCCCTAGTTCGAATCCCACTTGATTCACAAATTGGATTGAGTTGTCAATCTTTGCTAGAATCATTTTCTCGATCTTTAACTAATGGTTCCTTCTTTGCTTTTATCTTGGCTCCAGTAATGTACAGCAATGAAATGCCGTTTTCAAGACGTCTTTCTGTTTCGATGCTTGTGTTGTTGGTTGGTTGGTTGGTCTGTTTGCTTGCATGTTGGTCATTGACTAAGATCAGCAAGGTAATGATAATTCACTACACTGCAAGTCTCATGTGGCAGGTTGATGTGAGCTCATAGCTCTACTTTTCAAGGTTATTACTGTGGCATTGGATAATGAGATAACACCTTTAATGTTAATGGTTTCTGAATTTAGACATAATTTGAGTTAATTAAGTTTCTGACTTACATCATTCCTAAAAGCACCATATTAAAAAACACAATGTATTATATGCCAACTAACAGTTAAATGGTTTAAAGGTAAGAAATACAGTGTGTATCAAAAAAAATGCAAACAAAATATAATGGAATGCCAGACGCAGAATGTGTAACCAACATAGATAATATAGGTATGGTTTGAAAGATACGCCTTTCCACTTTAAATAGAGACATCAAACGTCCAAATTTTTGACAGAGTTATGAGTAATTTTCCAAGAGAACTAAAATTGACCATGGGACCAAGTTTTCAATTTTAGGTGTTGGGACAAAGAAAGCCTAATTGCCTCTGTGTGGATAATTGCCTGGCCTACAAAAATGTGTTTAACAAGTAAACACAATTGTAAACACTTTTTCTTGCTTTCAGTTTGTAAACATGTTAACATGCTAAACAGTTTAAGCATGATACACACTGTATAACTTGTTTTACCAATGTAATTCCACATAAATATATGTTAATGATTACTGTTGACAAAAAAGTGTATAACTGTGACCTAAACTGACAGATATTACAATAAATATGTATTTGAATATTTTAAGGTTAGCATTATAATGTAATAATCTGGAGGTACAGTCACAAATACATTCACACGAGACATGGCTAAAAAAAAAAAAAAAATGTTAGATACTGGTAAATATATTGGACATCAAAGTTATGGACATTTATGGCACAGTACTGCACGCCAGCATATTACGTATGTTGGTTTGCATTTCATGGGGGCAGTAAGCATACGGTAATGAAAAAATATTATAATTTAGTGAAGTACATGTTCACTGGACGTTGCACTTTTGTAACTGAAAATAGTCAAATGTTTCTCAACTCATAGTACAGCGGTTTTTATTAATAACAAATACAAATTGTGTGCATGCATTTCCCATTTGTGAATTTTGTCTATACTATAGACCCTATTTCACGACCTCACATTTTGAAAGGCATTTAGCTCATGTCCGCCCACAAAATTTTCCACATGCTACTTTGCCAAAATGTGATGTAACAAAAAATATTATGACATGAAACTGTTGTCTATATGAGAAACATTTAAAGGTAGAGTACATCATTTGCAGCTATCCAAAAAGTAACTGACAAAATTATTGTTGAAAAGCATACTTGGTTTTAAGATAGTAATGGCACTTAAAAACTCCCTGTGAAATTATTCTTTCTGGCATGCTGTAATTTTGATGACAACAATAAAAGGAGGTCGTTTCCAACGATGCGTCTAAAAACGCATTTTTGGAAATTTCCGTCATTAATTTGTATTTTATTCGGTGACTGGTGCACGCAAGCGTCGACACAAAGCACATGCACGTGCATGTGCTACAATTCATCGGTTCAGTGCGTGATATCGGGTAGCTAGCTGCAATCGGCTGAGTGAGAACATGTCCCAGACGCTGATTTTTGGCGTAATTCAAAACATGGCTCAGCAACTTTTAAATTGAAATCGAGATCCTAGAATATACGGTAGTTTCTCAGAATATACAGCATTCACAGAGCTAAAATTTCATCAGGTTAGTTGTTAAACACCCTTCTTTAGATTTTGAGCACTTTTGTTGCTTCAAACGATAAAAAAAAATGCACAAATGACAAGTGACGTACTCTACCTTTAATTATGCCTGTAACTTACTTTGAAATCCTGAGACTAATTTAAGAGGTCTTAGGACACGCATTGCGCGGATTCCGGGCTGATCAAAAGAGGGGACAAGAACAGTCATAAGACTGAGGGGGCCGATAATTACGACGATGACGATGATGCAAAACAAAGCAAGAGCAGCAAGGAAAAGAGGGAGAAAAATATAACCAGAAGCAAAAAAAGGATTAAAATAAATCAACAAGCATTGTGTTGGCATTGTCATGCTGAAACTGAAAGGTGTTGTCATGGAGCTTGGATGCTTGAGGGGGTAATTGGTTTTTTTTTATTATGAAGCATCAAGGACCAATGTGACGGAATGTGATGCTCAATTGATCATGCCAAGGCTGTTCTCTACTTGCCCAACATGAAAGCCATGCATCAAACAGACTCATTAAGACATTACTGCATGAAAGCAAATTCTTGGAAGCTTTATAGTGGAATCCGGTAACCAGAATTAGAAGCTATTACTGCGGTGGTGTCACGCTCATGCGCGCATGCTGCACGCGTTCTTAAAGACGAGGCGCACATGCATTTTGGTATTCCTATTGGTCGAAGGAGCCCGGAGTGCATGCGTACTACCTGAGCGCGACTCGCGCAAGCCTGGTGCCATCGCAGAAAAATGGCTGCCGCCAGATTTGTCTATACACTTATTCGGATAACCACGTATACATGTCTGCATGTATCAGTTTGTGGATTTCCTTGGATGAAGATAACTTTTACAAGGATTACTATTTGACAATTGTTTCTACTTTTCCAAAACAGAAGGGGCCCCTGGTTACTGCTCTAAAACTGCCATCATTTACACACTTCAGGCATCTTGGGGAGTGGAGGGGGAGGAATGCAGCATTTTAAAAATAGGAATCTTGAGCAAAATATGCAATGAAAATGTAAAAAAGGGAGCATAAGTCGACGTCCCATTTGAACTTTATTTTGTATGTAATAAACCAGGTCTTGGCACAAAAAATTGCTAGAAAGACTGAGTGTTGTATCCAGACGCCAACATTTTTTCTAAACCAACATTTTTTCCAAATTGCCAAAACAAAAGCCCATGTCACAGAAAATAGATTTGTTTGAACATGCTTAAAAAATGGTTCGAAAGGCATAAAAAATGCAAATATCGCAACTGGTTAACGTGATTCGTAATGGAATTTCTGGGAATAACCCATTTTTTCATCAACAAAAAAAGTGCTAGAAAAAGGACATGAGGGAATTACTAGAATAATATTCCTCACCAAATCGTCCTTCATGTTTGATAAAGCCCAGTATCTTCATGAAATACCGGGTGGAAACTGTCGGCACATTTGGGGACAAATCATTTCCACACGTGTCTCCATGTTGTTTTGACATTTGACCTCGATCTTTGCGCGCTGGTAGTTTCGCTCGTACCCCCGCCCTGCAAACAGGACGCTGGTAAGGGCTGACGTTATTTGAGCTCTCATTGGATAGATTTGCGTGACCTGTGACGTAGAACGCGTCACACAAACTAGCTTCCGGTGCCCATCATGCGTAGCGCGCGCTAGCTGCATGCGAAGGTCAATCTGTACTTCCTTCACAAGATTCTGTGAAGCTCATCAGCCCTTACCAGCGCCCTGTATGTAGGGCGGGGGTACGGGTACGAGCGAAGCTGGTAGTGGACATTCCCATTTTTTTTCAAAAGGGGTGTAGAACTAAATTACTTAATATCCACTAACACGAACGTATAAACTGCACCCGATTTTTCACAGAAAATTGTTTCAGTACTCATGTACAAAGAAATAATTCTTTCAGTTGTATTTCTCGCATTTCAAATTTGTATGTTGTTGCTTCGTTGTTATACGAACCCCCCCCCCCTAAATGTTAACATGGAAAGTTCTTTGTAAGAAAACAAAAAACGTAATGTAGATCCGACAAATGAAATAGTGAAGAGAAATGATCAACAATCGTAAAAAATAAATGTTACGATTAAAATGAATCTGATCATATGGATAAATTAATTAATAGGTGAAACAGATGCAAATTCATTTTCAAATAATTTAAGAAATGGAAACCTACGTATTAAACCAAAATATATCAAAAACTAATTTTTTTTTTTTTTACAAATCTATAACAAAACAATGACAGGAACTTACCCAGTAACTACGACTATAAAATCCATAAAGTTCCATCCATTGCGGAGATACGAGCCTTCGTGTAGTACCAGACCTAGAGCCGTGATTTTGATGGTTGCTTCCAGGCAAAAAATGGCAAGGAAGTAAATCTCCGTCTTCTCCTGTAAACGGGGAATATAAGACGCAACAAAAATATTGCATGATAATCTCTTAATATGAATGAATGTAGCTCCCCCCCCCCCCCAAATGTAACATTTAGGGTCGAGAATTGTACTAAGGGCACCACGACTAAAAACCGTTAAGGTTAACATTTGTTACGAGAAAGACATTTTAATGTAGGCCTATTCTTTACGTGCTAGAACGCAATTTGGAAAAGCAATCATTAATTTTGTCCGAGTTTACCAATCGTGCCTAAAGCTAATTCAGTATTTTCTTATGGTTTTCATGGTAAAATACGGTTGCCCCACAAGCGTGCCGGAGCCACGTACGTATCTGTGAAATTCTGTTGTTTTTAAATTAATTTTGCAAATGATATGGAGAGACATCAATTCCAATATAAAGGCAATCTTATTTATATTTTTTTTTTGCATTTCGGTTTTATTATTGCAGAGAGAACCAATTATTGTATTAAAAATGATATTTACAATCAATTTATGTTTTTTTTTCTTCCTCATTTTGATTAATCATGTGGGAAGGGTTGCAGACTGAAACACGCATGCGCAACATTAACACCTTCCCATCTGCGTTTCGCGTGCATTTCACAGGTGGTGCTACCCACCACGGGATCGTGCGGGATAGGTCGTGACACGCACTCATGCGATGCAGTATACGCGGTAGCTGCTTTCCCGCCAAAAAAAAAATCCCGCCATTTTTTACGCGCCACATAAAATGCATGGAAGCAACCTAGTTTCTGTGAGTTGCGGCTGATTATGATACACATTTTCATTTTTTTCACACCGTTTCCGAGTTCGGATGAGACAGTTTTGGGATGATGCCTCGGGCAGAAAATATTATTAAGGCGAAGAGAACAGTTTAGACATGTATAACTCTGAGATGCAACGATATTTCAGAATATGACCTTAATTTTGGTGCGTTTCAGCCAAATTTGTTTTAAACAAAAAAATATCAGCCAAAAGATGGACAGTTTTATGACTGAAAAGGAGAAGGAGGCTAGCAATATTAGCTTTTTACGGCTTCCAGTTCTACTGGTACGTATATGTCAGTGTAATTAATTTTTTTGGTTCATCGACATGCGAAATGTCACTTGACTATTAATGTTGCGGGTGGAAATTAAATAGACACTGTTAAGAGTGATTAGAAAAAAAGGTCATCAATCAGGAAAAAAAATAACCTATTTGAAAGTTCATTTTACCGTTTGAAATACGAACCTCAAAAGTTTGAAAAGCGCCAATATTATGAGACTGCTGATGATACAGAAGTCATGAAACAATATGGAAGCCATTTTTCTGGTTGATATTTCGACTTAAAGTTTTTGGTTTATCATGAAAAGGAAACATTGTTGTGTTTTGTAAACAGAACAGATCGCTAGTGACCACTTTGTTGACGAATTTTCCGGAGAAATACCGACATGAATATTTACTGAGGAAAAAGGACGCCAGCAAAAATGTCAAACGAAGTACATTATTGTGACTCATATATTTTTAGCTATAAATTGACATGCTTTACAAACACAGCGGTCATCTTGCACTTGTACCCAGACGTCAAGACTGTATATCATTATGGAGTAATCAACACATCATGGGTAACAATTATGATTCACTCCGCCCTTGGACCGAGATCATGCCCTTATGGTCACGGGTCATGACTTCGCCTCCTGCCCCGAGTATTAATATTTCACACCCGCGATGTGATGTGTTGGCAGCCAAGTGCAAAAGGCAGTCGGGTAAAATTCTGATAGGAATTTAGCTCATCGTGTCCCGCATTCTGCATCGCTGAACGCGGTAATGTGTACTTTGGATGGGGAAATTTAATACCGTGGATTTTTTTTTCCGGTAGGGGGGGGGGGGGGTGACAATCAACATTTGGCGTACACAATATATATGAGGGCACTATTTGGTCGGGGTAATTACTGAAATTAATTACTGCGACTATTCGCAATGATGTTCTATGAATGGGACACCCACGAAATGGTTAATCGACTTATGATATCATGAGATAGAAATTATATTTGAATGATAATAAATAACCAAACACACAATGGCAAATCGTTCAAATGCATCAAATTTGTGGGCGCTTTTGAAATAATTTTGTGAAATTAATAGATCACTTTAAGGGTGCTCCTCAGTATAAACATTCTCATAGACACCAGTGATATATGCCCATACTTCAAAAAAAAATTATGAAATACTCAGAACTCTCACATGTGTTCAGGCTGCAAATAAAAATGATGATCAGCATGTCATCTTTCATTTTCTTTTCCATTTTTGGTGGCTTGACAATTGACTTTTTGGAGAAATTCGCAACCAAGGAAGAACACCCCTAAAACGAATGATGTTTCCCAAACTGGAAAAGTAGCCATTTTAAAAAACAACATGGCTAAATAGCGCCACTTTCGGACCCAAGTGCATCCACAATGCTCAGAATTGGAAGCCCCGGTCCGGGCCAGAGGTGATGCAGTGACATTATGTCTTCAATTCCCCAATTCCATGGCTCTCAGAACTCTCTTATATGGAATAATTTGAGTGTGTATAACTTTTATTAATGAGCTCGGCGGACGGAGTTTTGGCCTATTTACATGTACTTGGGTGTACGGGTACCCATAAGCGTTTGAAAAATACGTTATCAATGTCTGCACTCGAGGTTGAAAGCAGACACTGGGACCAAAGTTACTGACGAGTAAGACTTGAAAATGAACGATACGTGTCATAAAATCATGACCATTTCACATCACCGCTGTTTTTTTTTTTTGTAAACACGGTGGTCATATCCAATAGCGCCCTTAATTGTGGTGCATAAGGGTTATGTCAATCTACTCACCAGTTCCATAGACATGGGCGTCTTGTCTTCCATTGGTAGATGGACTTCTAGAGCCAGGACAACACAGTTTGCTATGATGGTAGCTAGGACTAGATACTCGAACGGAGTGCGGGTATTGGGTTAAGGAATTCAATGGAAATTTAAAGTGGAAATAAAATCACCAATACAAGGGTGGTAATTTTTTTACAGAAAGATGCATCACTAAATAAACAAAATGGCTATAATTATATTATAATAAATAAGTCACAGGGTATTGAAAAGGGTGAAAGCATTTGGTAGACGCCTCAGGTGTTTTTTTTATTTAAGAAAGGTGATTTCACTTTGATAAGATAAGTTGTGGTTTTTTTAATTAAATGCTACAATAATAAGTTGAAAATTGAGTGAATTAAGGGGCACATTTCAAAAAATTCCGGATGTACTTTGGAATAAATGCGCTTCTGATGATAAATCTTTCACGAATTATTTATTTATTTCGTTTATTTATTGTCAAACGAAACTCATAAACAAAAACAGCGATATTAGGCCTATCAAATCGGGTTTACGAACTACACGACAAGCTCGACTTTACATCCAATATTGTGTCATCATAAATACAATTTCAAATCAATGTTTTGATTACAACAAATCAATATATTGACAAAAAAACACCAATGCTCCGAGGACAAACCAAATGTATGAAAAGTGTTATGTTTGACACGCCCATATATTTCCGAGTATAACTACGATGTAGGACGCGTGTCGTCACAGACAATAAACACAGTCACGTATTCCCCTGAACTTCACTACGCAGAGTTACAATTTCAAGGTCATAATTCGCGTAAAGATAATGAATAGGCATACTAAGATATTCTTTTTTAATCCTATAAAGCAATATCCATAATCCGCATAATTCCCTTCGTAATAAGAAGGGCAATTAACAATAATCACTCATCATAAGTTATTTCTAGAATGTCAAATGCTGAGTGAACGCTCGTGCTAGGATTTCCAGGCTGGAAATGCGCATGCGCGAAAAATCTTCATGATTTAGCATATCACGGCGGACTCGGCACGATACGGCCTGAGTAAGTCATTGGGGGTCGAGTATTCAAGTACAACCCAATTGTCGCCATGTCATGGACGCCTTATTTGCATAATTAGACTTGTATCCAGATCGATATAGTTCCACAGACGCAAGGCCTGTATAGGTCCTACTAATGCGTCAGTGACACGTCCACTTCTAATTATTTAACGAGTTTATTTGCATCACATGTAGTAAATGTATATTGATGCACGCAACATTACCAAACTGATGAGATTTTCGTTCATGTATCTACTATCTACTAGTAAAGTCGCTCTTTTATTTTAAAGAAAAAAAACGACGGAGGTAGTTTTATTGGTAAGGAACAAGGACGATTTGTGATCATGATAGCTCAATTTAAGGCAAATGAGGATTGTTTTCATAAGTTGCAAAAGATTGGCAGAGAGACTGACCGGCCGACAAACCAAGCAGTTCGTTTCATGTTGTTTTGATTGTTTTATGTTATCGTTATACTGTTCTTATTGATGTAGTTACCGATATGAAAATTAAGCAAACACTTTTACTAAAAACCATTTGCTCTTGAGTAAATGGCCTGCAAAATGTAAGCTTTACACGTTTATAAGTTTGCAGAAAATAAAACTATCGTAACCGAAACGGAAAGCGGCACTGGGGAGGATCACGTGCTGGAGGACAGATACAAAAAAGCGCACCAAACGTGACGAACGCAATGCCGTTTACGCGCACAATGCGCTATGCATCGGCACCCGGCACCCGTCTACATGTGGATTGGGTTTTCAGTCCCTACCTGATTTCGTGGGTTTCCCCAGACTATTCTTCTGGGGTTTTCCTCCCACCTCTAAAACTGTAATTTCTTCTCATTGTCTTCTCTATACGTTTTTTTTTCGGGGTTTGCGAGCTACAGTGCCTGGGGCATGCACTTTTGAGGAATCCTTGGTTTCATTACCAGAAAAAAAATATTTATCGTTTATACTTCGTTTCGTATGAATAAAAAGGAGCAAATGCTTCAGATTTCAAATATGCACTTGTCATTCACAAGGCTGGGTTGGGGCAACCTTGAAATTATAAAGCAAATAATTCTGCGCAAAAGCTACAGCATTTATTATATGTTAATCGCGAAAAATTAATATTAACAAAGTTCATAAAGTACAAATGATGCCATGTTCGTATGAATAAAACATGGCATTTGCTTTTACTTCCAATTTTGAAGCATTTACTCGCATCTGTATGAATGAAAATTAAGCAAACACTTTTACTAAATACCATTTGCTAAAATCTGAAAATAATTAGTTTTTACCTTGAAGCTTTTGCTACACTATAAGCTTTTACTTCGTTTCTTATGAATAAAAAGGAGTAAATGCTTCAGATTTCAAATATGCACTTGTCATTTACAAGGCTGGGTTGGGGCAACCTTGAAATTATAAAGTAAAATAATTCTGCGAAAAAATTACTGCATTTATTAAAGTTCATAAAGTACAAATGATACCATGTTTGTATGAATAAAACATGGCACTTGCTTTTGCTACCACTTTGAAGCATTTACTCGCATCTGTATGAATGAAAATTAAGCAAACACTTTTACTAAAAACCGTTTGTTAAATTCTGAAAATAATTACTTTTTACCTTTAAGCTTTTGCTACACTATAAGCGTTTACTTCGTTTCTTATGAATAAAAAGGAGTAAATGCTTCAGATTTCAAATATTTACCAGCAAAAATGATGATTTTCCCTCGTTTGATTCAAGCTGCTCTAATGTACCGCCTCTTTACATATTAAGGCCACGCCCGCAAAAGGGTGAAAATAACACGCGTTAGAATGTTAGAATTTACATCCACTTTGTTTTAAAGCATGTGAAACAAAGTGGATGTAAAATACAGTTTTCTGAGTTTTCTATTTTTGCACTCCCCTTTTTGAAAAATCAAGCTCCGCCCCCCAAATGGGCAAGATCCAAGATGCGTTCACCTCTAAAAATTATGTTCAGCCCATTTCAATTGGACATGCCAATTTTCAGAATTTTACCACCAAACTGAATGATGTTTTCCATATTAGAACCAAACTGCTAAGATATACCGCCTCTTTTACCATTTAGACCACGCCCACAAAATGGGTGGAAAATAGCAGGTGTTAGAATGCTAGAATGTCTTATTTCATGTTTAAGTTTATTTCAGGGCGTAAAAAACCAAGGAAATTTGATGTTAAATACAGTTTTCATGAGTTTGTATTGTTTGCACCCCCTTTTTTGAAAAATCAAGCTCCGCCCCCAAAATGGGCAAGATCCAGGATGGGTCCCGATCTTAAAATGTTTTTAGCCCATTTTGACCCCACATGCCAAATTTCATGCTTTTACCACAAAGTGCACGATTATTCGCTTAGCAGCTCCACTATTAACGGTCTTGCTGCTGTTAATGTTAGACTCCTGTCCCTTCGCTCGCAGGGCAGGCAGTTAGAATAAGCCCCATCATTAAAGCCGGCGATTAACCGTCACCAGTCATTGCGCAAGGTGTTATGATGATGCTGAGTCACCAAGAAAATGAGAGGTTGTCTCTTGGGATTTGAAGAAGGCGGATGCTGCCCCTCCTCCTTGCAATCATCGGCTTAGGAGGAGAAGGACAGAGGGAGGATGCAGGGTTGACGGTGTGGGTTATGGTATCACGGAGAAGATACAAGAAGGAAAGTGCGACTTGCGCTCAAAAGGACTTTGACATTTGGGTTCCAGTCTTGGTATGGGAAATCAGGTGGGGTAAAAGCACCTAAACTACATGCCAACGAATTTTCATTAGGAAAATTTCAACAAGGGGCGGAAAAGTAGGACTTACGTAAAGGTCAAATGACGCGAGGATTCTCATCATTTCTTATTTCCCAGAAATGAGGAAGTGTAGTGAGCAAGGTGAGCAAGGGATATATGCATGACTAGCCAAGCTTCGACACGACATGGCGGGAATAAGTCGCGCCAAAATGAATCATATTCTACGTGTGTGCGTGGAGTACGGTGCAAAACGCATGTACTCTGTCGCCCGCGTACATGATACAACTATACTTTAGCCTAACCGCGTCTGCTTTGCCAAATACCAGGGCGCCATATTGTATTTCATCCCCATCTTTTACTTCTAATCGTTTCTCTGGATATTATGGCACAGCTGGAAGTCCATTATAATACATTTTCCGGAAAAAGGAACCGGGATTTGACGAAAGTCTGACGTGTGCGTTTCAGTTTGATAATTTGCCTGACGCTGACCACTTTTTCCCCTTCAAATTGCAGGCCGATCCCCCCTTTTATCATTATGGTTGAAGACATGTCTGTGAAGTACGAGCGGGAAATGCTGAAAGCGACGTAAATGCCAAACATTGCTGGATAAAATACGAGGTTTATGATTTCGTGCACTGAGCTTGAGTTATTTAACGAGACCTTTTTAACACGAATAAATACAGGGCACGTTGCATACAGTATGAATAATTTATTGGGGATGACCCAGCTCAATTCATTCACGTTGGTGAGCAGTGGTACACCATGTTTAGCAAAATATTTGTAAAAACGATTAGCTAAAATAAGCGGGAAACCAGTCATGAGTGATACACACCATATCACTTTATTGGCTGGTGACCCGTTCTTGATGTCCGTACTTTAGAAACGGTTTGAAGAACTTGAATTGTCACATGAGTTGCTTTCGGACAGGGGAAATTCTTCAATCTTCAATGAAATTAGATATCACATTAAAGCCTGACTAATTCTCAATCCACTCCTTTTTACCCCATTCCATTTGGGTCCCTAGATCCAGAAATACAATCAAGTAAGTGAAAGGGTGTAATTTTACTCAGGCCACTGTCACCTGTGACGTCACCAACTTCAATGCCACTCAATGCCTATTCAATGCTTAACCCAGATTCAGCATATCAGGTGAGAGTGGCCCAAGCCTAATTTACACCCTTTCACTTAATTGATTGCATTTCTGGATCTAGGGACCCAGGTGTAATGGGGTAATAAGACGTGGGTTGAGAAATCGTCAGGCTTTAATGTAATTTCAGTGGGAAAAAAAAAATTAAACATTATAAATTCTGAATGTTGCACATTTT